CCACCCAACCATGGAAAACATCTACAAAAACCTCCAAACTCGGGCAACTCGGGGCGGTGCGGCACTACTATTGTGCTGCGTAGTCTTGAGGTGCTTGGCGTTGTTCGCCAGTGATGTACGGTGATTTACAAGGTGCGACAGGCCCGGGCAGCTCGCAATCATTGAACTTTGCATGTCTCGGGAATGACCTCAGTTGTCTTTCCTTTCAAGACATGCCAGTACTGAAATTCCGATTGTTAAGAGCGCAAGTCTGTAGGACCCTAAAGATCCTTGAAAAACTGAGAACTGGAAAGCACATAGAGTAGCATGCGCAAAGGGTATAGAAGAAACTGTAACGGTTGGATACAAAATGATACAAGACAGTGCACATCACACACCAAGAAATTTCAAGTCTCCCACCCACCTACTGAGCAAGCTATAGGCAACATGTTGTCATTTTGCAAATCCCAGAAGACACAACAATTGCAAATCTCCAGTGGCTCAGTTCCAAGTTTATTGGGGGGTACTTAGCATTGATGCCGTCAACATGTTCATTTCAAGCTGTCGGCAACTTGGCATGATAGCATTCTCAACAAATTGCGTAATGTCAACCCCGGATTAATAGACCATGGTTTATGAAGTTTATTAATTAGGGGGGTAATCCTCCAATAGTCATAATCTAATACTTAACTGGTACCCCCACAATTAACCAGCCTAAGGGTTTATTAATCCAGGGTTGACATTAATATCCAACACATACCTAGCTGGTGGATTCAAGCTTTGCATTCATGGCAGAACTCCAACCGCAACCATTGGGACATGGAAGTAGAAAGTCACCCGGTGTATCCAAACAACCTGCTGGTCATAAAGAAGTCATGGCACACATGCTGCGTATGTATGCTTGTGTAAATCTGTTCGGACTGGGGTTCCTGCCAGTAGCAGCCAGCTGATTCTCTGCCGGTCAAGGTTTAGAACCAATATACACTGCCTTCACTGACACTTTGACACTGTCGGCTAGAACTCCATGCCTAGGATCCAAATGCAGTTCTGTGCGCATCACACGCAACAAGAAATGTTCATGATCAGATCAAGAGATACCTATCTTGCTGTGTCTGATTGCCCTGCTTGAGACATCTTGAAATTCTTGAGACATGGCATCGCAATCGATGACATTTGCAATTTGCAAAAACTTTGGATTTCAAACGCGTGTCTTTGGAGAAACGAAAGTGCGATCAAGGGCAAAGCAAGGCAAGTCTAAACCGCCACTACCTTTTTTTCTGCCGCAGTATGCTTGTCAGATTTCCTTGAAAGCCGCGTTAGCAATTTCAGAGGCAGACATTGTCATTGAATTTCGACATATATATATATCCATGTCATGATCATGATAGAATACTTACCAACCATTTTGAGTCCGTTGTGTCTTATCAGTTGTTTATCTGGGCAAACATTGGATTTTGATGGATTTGGGGTGCCCCAATCTAGCTTGGTCAACAGCAGCTGTAACTTGCTCAACAAGCCACAGCAAGCTGCGGTCATTAACCACCAATTACCCTTTTAGGGTTCGAAATATAGCAACAAATGGAGCTGTTGTAAAGGTGCCCCACGAAAACTGGTGCATGTGTTTACAGGTTTTCTCTCCAAGTTGAATCACGTGGTGAGATGATGCCACCAAGTTTACCTGTTGATTGAACAGCTCCAAAGCAATGCCCAAACCCACCACTTGGCAGCTCCAGCTTGCACGTCCCGCATCAAATGCAAGTGTTAAGACGTTAAGACCCTTGGAACATCTTGGATCATTTTCGAAATATGACCTCGTCGTGCCCTCGGACGTGCTCTGGCTGCCTCCATCTCGCCCTCACGCAACCAGCACAGATGCAGAGGCTGCGGTGCCTCAAAGGTGGAGTCCAGTTGAGTCTGGCTGGTCGTGCTGGTCGTTGAATTCATGGTAGAAATGTGATAAATATGTCATAATTAAATTTATTAGTTGGTGATGAAAATGTATGAACATGTCAATCAATTCATTTCATCTAGTTAGGATGGAGCTTTTATACCGCCAAGCAGAACAACAAACTGGGGAACTTTGCAACTGTGCTTTGGTTGTCCTGGGCACCAGGCTTTCTCCCACGGAATTGACTGCCTTGATGTAGTATGTGACAGTTGCTCCTGTGCAGTCAAGGAACGTCAAGTCCACCCCTCTATTCCAAGATTTCCAATGTGTTGATGCTGATCCAAAGTGCAGAAACATGAAGAAGTCTGCGCCTGAATTTTGAAGGGTGTAGGTGTAGGTCGTCAGGGTATTGGCCACCTAGCAGGAAAACGACACTGATACGACTTGACCTGACCTAGAGGGAGATCCACGTTACATCTGCGTCCAAACTGCTGCCTTTCAGATTTACGGAAAAGCAGGAAAGAAGTGTCAAAAAAGAGATGAATCGAAATATCTGACTGGCAAGATGGGAGGGATACGCCATATATTACATGAATCTGACCTAATCAGCATGGAACGTGTCCAAAAATCATAAATGATGTTGTTCTTTTCTCCAAGTGCCAGGTTTTTCTCTGCTAGAGGATACCCTGTGAACTTAAGTAAAATCCACCATGTCTAGTTCATTTCCGAATGGGACACACCCATGGATTTCCAAAGTTTTTTATATGTTTACTGAAGGCTACCCCAAGTATCCCAAGCCAATCCCAAGCCATAACAGCAACGGCCCGCCGTAACACTGTTCGCCACAAAATTGTCGTTGCCTCAGCAGGTGGCTAACAGAAACAGCTTCACTGGACTTCCATGGAGGTTCCACCTGAGCAACATTTTCAGGTGGATCATCATTTACCTATGATCCATGATCCACCAGATGGTAAATTTTCCATAGTTTCTTGTATGTTTACCAGAGGGAGTGTAATTTTAAAACACAAAGCTGATGTTGTTCCAGTATATAGACTGTATATATGGTGTTGTCTTATACAAATGAGGTACTGGATGGTACTGGCTATTTACCATCTGGTTGTGACTACCATAGCCATGGAAAATCCACCCATTTTTAATGGGTAAACCATCTATTTCTATGGGCCATGGCTTCCATGGCTATGTTAAATAACCAGAGGGTAATTTTAAACACAAAACTGATGATGTTCCATTATATACACTGTATACGGTGTCATCTTATACAAATGAGGTACTGGATGGTACTTATATACACTGTATACGGTGTTATCTTATACAAATGAGGCACTGGCTATAATTGTACCAATATTCATGGCATTTCTCCAAACATCCTGTGTAACCCTCTCAATCCCTTTTTTGCCCCCATTGGGGGCCCTGGCTGACTAAGAAGTGCAGGATCACAGAGTTGCCATCGTTGGCCTCTCCAATTGACTGCTGGGTGAAAATGGTATTGTAAAAAGTGACATATTTCTAATCACGGTAGATATTTGATGTGACATTTGAAAATGGGGTCACCCAAAATTTCAGGCTTTATCAATTCCATGTTTATCATCATTTGTCCTAAATAATGGGTACTTAAAATCATATAAAATCTTAATATCCCCATGTTCAGACAGACCCCAAATTGGTATCATGCAATTGATAAAAGTCCCAGCTGCAATCCTGATAATCAATAATCAGTTATAGGAATAATTATAACGATTATAGGTATTATGATAATATTATAACTGACTATTGGTAAGTTATAGTAATAGTCCGTTATAATTCGTTCAATGATGTTTGCACAAGTTGCAACTCAACCTTTGGATCTGCTCCAAGAGCCAGACGTTTGGTGTCCATGACATCACCACCTGGGATGGCGATTTTGTGGATCGTGACATAGTTCGACCATCAAAGGCCAGTTATTTTCCCAGAAGTTTTTGCCCATCTGGTTGGTGGTTTTAACATGTTTTAACCATCTTGAAACATATGAAAGTCAATGGGAAGGATTCTCCCAAATGGAAAATAAAAAATGTTCCAAACCACCAACCAGCCATAAATGTCGTTGATTTGAGATCCCTATAGCCACCTGTTGCGCGGTTGTGCTTGTGACCGAGTCCAAAGTGGGCACGCCGGGTACCTGTCCGGAGTGGCAGCTACTGAAAACTGACCCCTAATCTCTAATTAATGTGGATATAATTGCTTTGAACTGGGTTTAAACTGAGTCTAATGGGGTTTCATGGGGATCTGTAATTTATACAACCTTACAAGATTTGAGTGGGTATCGCGGGAAACCCGAAATTTACTGGATAATATTAATAATGACTCCCAAAAGATTGGCCATAACTGGCATAACTTGGGGATTGTTCCATTTTCAGACACACCCAATATTCTTCATTATTGAATTCTATTCTACATCTTTAACTGGTTGGTGGTTTCAACCTACCCCTCTGAGAAATATGACCAATATATAGAAAAAATGTATAAAAATCTTCCAAACCAGCCATCAGTTCTTGGGATGTATATTTGAAACTTCAACCAAGATAGAAACGCAACTTCCCACAGGGAAACCTCCGCACTGACCAGGTCGATCGGGCCGGCCCAGGTGGAACCCAGGCCAGCGCTGTTGACCTGGGGTCACCACTGGGAAAATGTCAGTTTTGGTCAGTTTTTGGTAGGCAAAACATGGCAAAACTATAGGAAAATCTTGGGAAATGGATGGGAAATGGTGAATTTGGTGAAAGTTGCCAGCATTTTTCAATATTGTGAGAGCAATAATTTTGGGAGATGGATGAAAATTGGACATGCCCAAGCATTATGGGATTGAATGGAGTGTGAAAATCCATAGTGTCGTGGAAACAAATGAAGGACATCGAAGGACCTCATCTAGCTGTTGGTTAGATCCGGGAAATCCTCTATCAACCAGCCAGTGAGAAAAGGACATCCATGGCTGAAATGGTCACCATATTTGAGAAATGTTAGGAAGATTTCAATATTTTTGTGTTCACCACTGTTGATGGGATTGCCATTTTCTAAGATTAAGAAACATATGTGGGAAAGTGTGTGATTACAATTAAAGTGTTATGATATGGGAACACTAAATTTGGGAAATATAGAGGAACATAGAGGAACATTGAAAACATATTTCGAGTGACACACGGCCAGGTTGAGAAATGCTTCGACTTTCTGAGGATCCAACAGCCCTCATCTGGAAGTAATAGGTGGTGCCTGTGGTCACAGCCTGGCACAGATCACCATTGCTGTTGGTGACAGTATGGTATACCATGGTATACCTATTATATATATATAATGATCCAAGAATTCGTGATGTTCCCAAGTACTCACCCAAAGATAAGCAAAATGGCGAGTGCTATTCTTTATTTCTTCCTTTTTCCACCAGTCTTTCCCGGCCCTTCCTTGGAGAAGAAGGTGTCGGTTGGTGAACCCAATGTCTGCGCAGTCATGGTGCCGGTCGTTGGTCCAGCGTACACCTGGTCGACAGGAAAAAGGTGACAGTCAAAACAGTGGTAGCACATGAGTTGTCGCACCTTTTTCTCTAGCAAGACGATATGCTTACGGATTTACTTTAAATATCAGAATTGACAAATAAGTGGGCCAAATATCCTCTAGTTGTTGTTTAGTTGACCCATCATGTTGACCCCAATCACCCCCCCCATTTTGATGTGGTGCATGCCTCATAGGTAACAGAAGCCACAGCATCGCCACCCGCATCAGCGACGGTGGCAATGGCATCCCATCCTTAGGCTACAGTTGAGTCCGATCATGAACCGATACACTCTGAAGATGTCAGAAATTGGGTCGCAAAAAAAAGGCTTGGATGGTTCCAGACTTGTCAAAATTTGAAAGGCCCAACATGCCCAACATATCCAACATGTCCAATTTTCGAGGTTCCAAAATGCTCCCCTTGTTTTTTTGACACACCATTTTTGTGTGATGCCATCCACCCTGAGAGAGCGGCCAACTTTGATGGTGCCTGAGACTGCTGGGTCGGAATGCCTGGCAGCTCTGGCTCTGAGGAAAAATCTACCCATGGCAATGGAGGTTGGCCAAAGGTTGAAAGGTGCAAACCATACATCAATCATCATCAATAATCATCAATAATAATCGTCGTCAATATTTCACAATTTCAGAAGAGATTTGACTTTTTGTATCACAAATTTCACAATTGAATCTTAAGATGCCAAAAGAAAAACCATGAAGCACCACTTCACCAGCCATTCACCGGACTTTTTTGTCTTGGCGTCTTGGCCTTCCGAAGTTCGTGGGTGTGGTTGGCGTGTCCAGCGTAAAGCCCCGTGGAGGATCCACCAGCGAAGACCACTCGGACCTCACCGTTGCGTTGTAAGGCGAGCAACGTAGAAATTTAATGATTCATTGTGATGACTATATTCAATATATTCATATATATATATATTCAATAATTAATTAATTTATGATCATGATGATGATTGATGATGTTGGGTGAATATTAAAACTATTGTTAGTCGATTGGCGTGCTGCTTTAAACTGACTGAGGGCTCTCGGCCCAGATGTCTTAGTCTTCGCCTCTAAGGGCAGAACCATGTGCCGCTGCCCATCTTGTTGACAGCCCGCACGCGGAACTTGTATTGCTCGGCCCTCGATGCACGTTTGAATCACACAGGGACCTACCCTCTGGTTATTTAACATAGCCATGGGAAATGGCCCATAGAAATAGATGGTTTCCCTATTAAAAATGGGTGGATTTTCCATGGCTATGTTAGTCATAACCAGAGGGTAATAGTTTACTAAAGATTCAATTGATAGTCCAGAGTAGACCTGGGGAAACCAACAGCTGATTGAGTTGAAATTGAATATACAGTATATTTAAAGTATGTACCCTCTGGTAAATTAACATAGACCCTGAAAATACACCATTTTTAGTGCATATTTAGTGGAAACAAATCCTCCAATCCCTATCTGCCAGGGTCTATCTTAATTTACTGTAGGGTATATGCATAGACTAGATGTGTATAATTGCATGCTTCCAAATTCCAAGCAGTCCAGGAAATGTTCCCGACTCTTTGGACAAGCAAATGCCATGGAAGCTGAGCTTGTATGAAGTTGGAACAACAGAAAATTGGGTGTTTGCAAGTGGACACGGCTTTCTTACAGTCACGTTGCCACAGGGTCTTCGGAATCCCTACTGCTGGCTGAGTCTATAGAATGTTGACTGGTGTTGGCAATATAACATATAACCCTGTCTTGTGGATGATATGATATCCACGTTAAATTCGAAAGGGACAATTGCAACTTCCAGGCCAACATCTATCGGGACTTGATCACCATTCAACCCATATTCATTTGTGCATATGTACATCTAAAGGATATTATCATAGGGATGTTCAAATGGTTCAAAATGGTTCAAATGATCACATGCAATCCCATCCCCCTAATTCTGGGCCCCTTGCATGCCCCATTTCTTAGGGGTATCTAGCATTTCATATTAGGAGGAAAGGGAATCATCCCCCATTCAACCATGATATTTATAGAAACATATCCTATAAATCACATACTATTTCTCTATATATATATATATATATAATTTTATATATATATATACCACATTTATATCATCATATATCACGATATGTATCACATTATCACCCTATAGAAAGAACGATATTTTCCATGTAATCACATATCATCCCCAATCTTTCCCCATGTTCCAGGCTCCCCCGCGCAACCAAGCCCAAGCCGGTGAGGAGAACACTCGTGGTGGTCGTGTAGGGAGTTGCTTGACTTCCACCCGCATCCCAGGACTGGCGGCAGATTTGTCGTGATCAAAATGCCTGAACCAAAAAAACATGGATGAGCTGGAGGAGGCAAGACTGAATTTCAGGGTCCGTTAAGATCCTTAGTAATCCATTCTTTGAGCCACATTCACATCTTTTGGTGATACCAATTCGCCGTTTGGCCTTGGTGGAAAATAGAGAAATTGGATGAATTTCCTATATGTGATGCCATTTGATAGTCAATGGGCTGTCCAAAAAATGAGGGATTGCCTCCCATAATGGCAACTTTAATGAACAGCAGGAAAGCATGATCAAAATCGTTTGGAATTGGCGCTACCCTATCTTAAGACACACACACACATATGTATATATATTATATATATATTATATATATTATATATATACCATAATAAATTATGTCTTATCCATCTGAAAGGTCTTTTTCGGACACATCCCACTGCCCAACAAGCCATCCTCCTTTGCTGTTGCCTGTGTGGTTGTATCTGATACCCTGTACATTTCGCCCTCATAGTTGTAGATGAAGGCCCTCAGTTAAACCGAAAATGACAACATCGTGCGGAATGAGCTGCTTTGGATATCACTTGTCGAAGAAAGGAAGCTGCTCTGGAAATCATCAAATTTCGGAAATCATCAGAATTCTGTGGCAGTTTGGAGCTTTTCCATCAAAAAATGATATAAATTCTGGAAAAGCTCCAAACTCCCACAGATTTGGGCATCCAAGTGCTGGACAGCCCAGAAAATGGCTTCACCCGCCCAGTAGGTTCAGGACCCATTGCTGGAAGGTGCAGTCCATGAGAAGGTCAAAGACGGTGTGGTGGCTGATGCCGTATTCCTGTCAGCTGGTTTTCACACAGCTACTCTGAGGTATCTATTTGCTCCAGTGAAAGTGTCCATCCAGTGCCCCAAGATGACTGTAACAATAGTGGGAAACATGTTTTATCGCAGGTATGCCAACATTGAGGATATCACTGATATTGCCTCTTAGGAGCTCTGTGACTCCGTTCATCGCAGAAAAGATCCCATGGTATCCAACCATCCGTTGAGCAAAACGCTACTGCTGATTTTCCTCTGATTTTCTGCTTAAGATTGGGTAAACCCCCCCCTATGGAGGAGTTTCAACATAGACATCCAAAATCTATGGTCCACAGGACCTTCCCCAGAGGCTCCGAGCACAAGGTCAGTGATCTGTGCAGGAGTTGCTGCGGCATAGAGTGTCGCAGCTGTGGACAAGGTTCCTGGAGACAAGCGACGAAAAAGCAGCCGCACCGCTCCATCAAGCGTGCTGTCACGTGGTTGTCTTCCCCTACTTTGGATTGTTATATCTACCAGGATATATCTAAGCAACGTTGGTTTTAGAACTATTACAGTATACAATATATGGTTCATGATTATATATATATATATTATATATAATATGGATATAATATGGATATAATAATATGGATACAATATGGATATAATATGGATATAATATGGATATAATATAAATATGGTTGTGTAACTCCAGTATATCTTAATTCACTGGATAGTCACTTGGGGTACTAGCCTCAACTCCGAATGGATTCTCACCTTTCCATCTGTACTTCCTCACCTCCCAGCTCAATTTTGAGCTCTTGGTATATATTCTTTAGAGGAATGAGAATCACCCACACATCTTGAAGGTTTACCCAAGCACAAGGGGGGGGCACTATGTTTTGCTGCAACCCAATCAACGCCTGCCTTCGCCGACGTCATTGATGGCTAGCATTTGCACCGTGTATCTGGCAGGTCGCTTCCCACTTGCCAAATCAGTATCCGAAAGCCCATGGCTTCGAGTTTTCGAGGGGTCCCTGAACCAACTTATCATTCATGATCCATGATTCACCTTTGACAAGAGCATGCAAGAGTGGCAAATCACCTATTAAATCACAATAAACAAAAGCGGATTCGCCCAGTTTCCTGCAATTTTCGACCGTTCAGCTTCCACAGTGCTTCAGCAATCAGCCAGCAAGACGTCTCGCCAGAAACAAGGCCGGTCAGAGTACAGGTTTGTGGTGCCGGCTTGGTCTCCATGCCACAAGTTGCATCCTCGGTACAGCTGTGATTTGCGTATTTTGCGTCTGCTCCTAAGAAATCAAATCCGTATATTGATTATTATTTTAGATAATATACATGTTACTGTAATTATACATATATTATAATATATTATATATAATAGTAATGGAAATCCGAAAGCAGATTCCAAGTTGACATCTGAGCTGAAATTGATAGACCATCCTGCTCCCAGAAAAGTTCAGACCACTGAGGCATCTACAGCAGTGGTACTCATCGATGTACCATCTCCACTGTTCCTGAATGCCTATCGAGAAGCAATGGACACCATGTTGATTTCTCCGTGTTGTCTAAAGCCATAAAGATCCATGTGTCGTTTCAATCCAATATTAATATACTTCATGTATCTTTACATTTATCATCATTTCTCTCATTTTGGGGCTTTTCCAGTATAGATATTCCATACATGGAGCATAGATTAGGTTTTTTTTCAGGAAAGAAGTGACATAACATAACTGGTTGTTGTTGTAAATTTCCTAATGACATAAATTGATAAACCAGATGCCATAAACAACGACCATTTGGTGCTATCGTTTGGGGACGATTTCAATCCCATGATGCCCGCCTTGAAGCCCACAGCTGTTCCACCCTGCATGTCTGGCACCGTCCAGGCCTAGGGTGATGGTGAAACGGGAATGGGACATGGGGATTAAACATGGGATACCAATGGAAGATGACAAGTGGGGAGATTAATATGGGATAATATCAATATCTTACTAATTGTGAAATAGGATGAAATCATTTGAGCCCTAACTAATCAAAAACGACATGAAACTGAGGCTGATGCCAAGACAATGGTGGTGCTGCTACCAGAAGCAGCGTTCTGCAGAAAATGTCACGTCGCTGAATTGTAGAGTGCAGCCATTTCATACTGCCCTTAGGCACTTTCAGAAAATAGTCTCAGAATTTTGCGCCAAAGACTGTAGCAGCTGCTCATTTTCACCAATTTCACAAGCACCAAACAGGCGGAAACACGGCTCCTGTGTGGGTGGTGTCATCTGAGCAGGTTCGCCTGCAGCCTTCCAAGTAAGTTCTGACAGAGGCCGGAATTGACGGAGCATATCCGGCAGCAACAGCCAGGTTACAGCGTTAGATCCACTGATTGGATCTGATTGGAACCAGAAAATTCATCTTGAAACAGGGCTCAGATATTCTCAAATGCAACGTCCTGCTTCCAAATCCCTTTGATGAAGTTGTGATCAGAGAAATGACTCCAGTTTCAGCAATTCCCCTTAAAACATCCACACCTTGATGTAGGACCAGGTACTTTCGGTGTAGCCGCGGCCATTGTAGGCGCGCAGCAAGAAACCGTAGGTCGTCCCAGGTGTGAGGCCTGCATCAAGTCTGGGTCGTTTGAGATGCTGATCTCACCCCAAAATTGAGATTTACCCTCTGTTAATTTAACATAATCAACTATGGAATATCATTATCATCATGAATAAGTAAATCAATGTCAATAATCTATAAATCAGCGATTTTTCATAGTATAGCATTGTTAGATTGCCAGAGGGACACCATGCAAAAAGTAGGAATTGACCGTCAAAACATGGGATTTCACTAGTGACTAGTGGTACCCTCTTGCAATCAAGCCTATCAATGAAAACTCCAGATTATTGATAGCACAATCATCAACGTGTGCCAGGTTTGATTGCCAGAGGGTATTAGATGGTTTTGTACCAACAATGGAGGACAATATCACAATATGGGGATGGGTCAAAACCCTGGTACCTAGTGAACCCCAAAATAGCTGGTAAATGGATGTTCATCCCACTAAAAATGTATCTATAGGTATTGACCCATACCCATATCCCAATTATCATGGGGAACATTATAATCATCCATTGGATTGTTGTTGGGGCACCCAAATTTGCCACAAAGCGACATGGGATGGGTGTCAAAACCCCCAAATAGCTGGGGGATGCTCATCCGACCCACCTGTCCGCTGGAACTCCAGAACATTGGCCACCAAACCTGGTATTGAGATGTTCCTACCGCAAACTGAGAGTAACAAATTGTAAGACAAATCCATGGTGTATATATATATATATAGATATTCAGTATCATGATGGTGTATGAATAATATACAAAAATACAGATAGTTGAAAGGACAAGTTCTAAAAACCAACCAATAACAATAGTACTAGTCCTTCTATCAAGAAATACTCGCTGAGTTAAACAAGTTCCAACCATCTCCGCAAATCAGCTTTGAAAGATCTGAGTGTCCAACTGCTGTCCAAGGGATCTGTAATATCTCCAGCTCCTACAATGCGTAGCAGTCGGGGGAGTGACACATTTGGATTTCTTTTACCATCCATCATTGGGTTGGTACATATATATATATATATACATACATCTACATGACAAGAATGGTTGATGTAACATAATATTAATATACATAATATATATATATATATATTACCTGTAGTATATATATAGCACATATATGCACATATCATGAATTGAATGCGTGATTTCGGCCAACATGCAGGCAAAAACACCAGGGCTCGAACATCCCTGAGGACATAAGGAGGGAAAACATGATAAGGACAGTATTTGGGACAACCAGCGTTTGCCAAGTGGTGGTTTTCTAAAACAGGCCAACCCCCTTCCATCATTGGTTTCCCAATTGAAAATTGACCAACAGCTTAGATGAGAACTTAGCGCCCTCCATTTTAGGACACCCCAAAATTGAGGAGCCACAGTCTTCAGAGAGCTTCACAAGTCTCATCGGGTCCTGGGTAAATCTCTTGGTCTGACACACCATCTTGGTTTGTGTCCATGAACACACGGTACCTTCAGGTTCAGCGTCACAGGCGTCACATTGAAAATGCACATTTACCTATGGTAAATTCACCTTGACTCTTCCAGTCACCTGACCCAAAATTCGTCAATTCGTCAAACCACAACCATGATAGTCCAGAAATCCTTTGAGGGAAAAAAAACATGCGAAAAAAACATACCATCCTATTCTTTCATTGGTAAATCCATATAAATCCATGGCATTCCAATAAACGTGTCATATTTTTTCCCTTCCAACACACATCCCAATGGCGGGCCCTGTCATCCCCCTGTCATCCCCTGCGCGGGCCCAGTCATAGGACAGCCATTGTCGGCTGGCGCCGCCCATTGCACCGTGATGGTACTGGAGGTGGAGGACTTCCGGGCCTCGCCATGCCGCTGGTTGGAGACATCACAACTTGGGGATGGGGGAGATGGTGCATGGGATGTTTTTCTTTTTTTTTTATATGCATATAGTCATATAATGTAATATAATGCATATATAATGTGTATATATAATGTGTATATATATATGATTAAATATGTATAGGGAATATAATGGGATATAATGAAATGTAGTGGGATGGAATGGGACGGAATGGCAACGTGTCAAAAATCCCAAATCAGAACAACCAACCACTTTGGGGTTGATTCCCCCTCTTATCCATCATTGACCGTGACCTCGTTGTGACCTCGTACTGTAGACGTGACTTGCAATTTCTGGTTCCCTCGTGAAATCCAACGATTTGATCCAGGCAGTTGTATCCATATTATCCAAGGATGTTCTATGTATTTCAACATATTTCAATATAGTTCATTATATTTCTATATCTATCCAAATAAACCAAGTAAAGTATATTTATCTATCATCACCCAAGGATATTCATGGATATCCTATATCTTTCTATGTATTTTTTGCATATATCCATTGTTCCATTGATCGTTGGAATATATCACTATTCTATTTATATTTCTATATCCATCATTATCCAAATAATCCAAGGTCCAAGCATATACTTCTTACTTATATCATATATCCATTAATATCCGTTACCCAATTATTATTCAATGATTATCCCAGGATATTCATGGACTATTATCATATATATATATATATACAGTAGAATATCTAGATATCCTATGGAATTTACAGTCCCATTTCTGGAAATCTCCATATGTTAATCGATATCTATCCAGTAAATGATAGGCTTATGGGTCAAAACATGTCAAAACCCTGGTACCTAGTGAACCTCAAAATAACTAGTAAATAGATCTTCATCAAAAATTGGTAATACCTATTAAAATTGGTATCTAAACAGGGCTGCCACCTCAATAGCTAATAGGGCTGCCACTCAAAATAAACCCACTCAAATTGGTATCAATAGGTTTTGATATCTATCCATTAGTATGTTAATCTATAATGATATATTATATGATATCTATCCAGTAAATGATAGTTCCAGATACTATGGAAATATATACTAAGTTACTATTAAATATACTATGGAAATCTCCATCCATTACATCAAATGATAGTTCCACTCCTGGGCCCCCACCGGCGCCGCCGGTGTGGAGGGCGCGCCGCAGGCGCGCACCGACATCACCGTGCTGCGGTCCGACTCCGCCGCGCTGGTGACCACCGTGACCTGCCAACGGGGCAGCTGGGGACCAAAAAACCTACAAAAACCCATGGAAAACCTACAAAACCCATGGAAAACCCATGGAAAACCCATGGAAAACCCATGGAAAACCCATGGAAAACCCATGGAAAACCCATGGAAAACCCATGGAAAACCCATGGAAAACCCAGAAAACATCAGAAAACCGGATCTGAAACCTAATGAAGCTGTTCGATGTATTTCGATGTCACCAACGAATGCAGCAGCCCCACCCAAAAGGGGCCTGCACCAAATAGGTGCGATCTGTCACTAGGCCAGTGGCTGTGTAGTATCTGTAGGACCTCGGTTGTCCGGGCAAGTTGCGGGGTGAGTTTCTTGGGTCAGTGGAAAAAACATCTGGGTGTGGGGTGTGGGAATATTTTTTTTTCAATGGGTCTTGGCAAGTTCCCATTTTCTTGGTTTCTTATATCTCCATTAGAGTATCTTCTTCTTGTGGACTGGGAATAATTTCTAAGTTGAGGATGATACTTGGGATGATGTTTTTCTTTTTATTTTCATGGGGTTTACCACACTAGTCGATGGATGGGCTATGACTATGTCAAACTCAAAAACTGATGGGTCAGCAGAAAAATAATGCAAGGCTACAAGCATTTCACTGGGATACTTGAGATCCTGACTTAGGATATTCAGCAAATAATCAGCATTATAAGAACCACCATTAACCACCATTAACCACCATTAATCACCATTAATCACTGGGATATTTTGATATGTCTCATGTTTCCCTTGAGACCTGCCACTGGTCCAGGGCTTTCCCTGAGGCTTTCACGTGTCAGTCACCTTGCCTCTGTACGACAAAGCGCCGCCCAGACCGTCGTTCATGTAAACCTGCCGAGTTTGGAATGGGAAACTCTTGGACCAAACCTACACCCTCCACCGATCATGTTATGTCAAAACACCATGTGTAGATCATCTTATGTCCTATATCTTCCAATCCGTCTTTCTGGCCGGTTCAAACTGTGCCTAGGACAATTGGGACACCACGCTGACCCCAAAAAAGAGACACTTGGCCACACCTTGAAGGCCAATAACTCCGCACTGTTGAGGGCTCCTGCCATTTTTCGACAGTCAGGGGAGTGCCAACTGGATAATGTGTCCAGCCTCTTGCGGATGATCAAATCATAGGCGCAAATGATTTCTGAACATCTTTCACTGCCAAATGATTCACATCAGATTTCACGAAAAGGTGGAGGAATTTCACCCTTGGAGGTGGCGTCTGGTGGCCAACTCTGATACCAATTTCCAGCTCCTTCCATGAAGTTGATGGTCACGGAGTTGGTGGTTCCCACAAAAGAATCGGTCCTTGGGGCAGATTGCGAGGCTAAAGCACCAAGATATTCAGTCAAAGTACCTTTGGTTACTTAAGATGGCTATGGAAAATGGATCATGTATAGATTATGATGATGATGCACCTATTAAAAATAATTAAAAATTGTGACTTTCTATAAACATTTCCGTTTAATAACCAGAGGGTAATCCACTTCGAACTCACTTTCGATGAAGTCTGAGCCCCCAACACAGTGGGCGCATCCGGCTTGTTGGCGCAAAACATGCGCGACTTGGGTGAGTACTGACCGACCCCGGCACCTGTGACGGCGGCCACCTCAGAGACAGCCATGGCCGCAACCCATTTCCTGTTGACCACGTGGGATGCTAAGGCAGGGACGCGGAAGTAGACGAAGTTCAGTGAGCGGTCGTTACCACCGATGTTGGTGCAATCCACAGTCACTTGTAGCGTACCTCGGACAGATGTCAATAGCAACCAACTTCAAGCGATCTGAACAAAACTACACTGAGCTACAAGTTGTAATCCCTGAATTGGCTGACAATTTTACAGAAAACTCAAGCAACCCCCAAAAAATTGGGGTCCAAAAAAACACAGCTTCCTATCGATTTCCCCTGAAAACATCGAATCCGTCCAAGGTGGTCACCCACAGCCGTGGTCGTGGATGGCAACGAGACGTCCGGGAAGTCGGCTTCAGCGTAGCCGATGGCATAGTAGACATTCCTCACGACATGTCCAGCGGCAAGTTGCAGGTGGTTGCTGGTGGTTGCTGGCCCTTTGGAATCATTATGGCACCATGTAGGAGAACCATGGAAAACCCATTTCCAACAACCATCCGTTATAAAAGTGATGTAGAACTCTGTAGAACCATTTAAGGTAAATCATATCATGATCATGTTCAATAAATATGTGTTTCCTATGCACCCTCCCATGGCAAATGTTCTTGCTGACCCAGTGCTACAGCTTGGCACAGCATCTGGGTCTGGCACCATGCGGTGATGGGAACGCCACCATCGGAGCCTGCAGAAAGTGCATGCTGAGTGGTCGGATACCATCCAGGGGCCGGCGCTATTTGTGCCTACATTGATAGATGGTTTGTGGTGGATTTTGGAGGGTAATTGAAGAGGAAAATTCTTGGACTGAAGTATCAACGAATTGAATTTGTACAAGTTATTGTGCTGACTATTCTTGGCCGAAATGGTCATATAATGTCATATATAGGCAAATGTACTGCACACTCATGGTATATGGATTGCAGGAATGTGTCAATCAATCCTGAGGATTCTACATGAAATACTCCTGATCAGGTAAATTGACAACATATACATGGGTCTGTCCAAAATGGGTACATTATCCCAAATGATATTTGTTTTTTTCTCCTCAGGGAAAATCATGATCAACATTGATCACCCATCATTTTTGGGGGATTTCATGGGGGTTTTCCATGGGTTTTCCTATGGTTTTCCTTATGTTTTCATTCGTGGAAACACCACGAAACCACGAAACCGGACAGCATGGACAGGTGAAGTTCCGAACTTGGGCCTGGGAAGGTCCAACCGACCTCGGCGGGAGCAGATTTCAACCGCACCTGGCTAGAAATCGATTCAGCATGTAGTAACAATATCTAACAATAACAGATGTAACATTATGTAACTGTGGCAAATCATCAGTTTATCAATTTATATCAATTTATTAATGATTTATATCAAGCTATATCAAGCCATGTAACTTTAGCATAAAACTTCATAGTAATAACTATGGAGCTTTCCAGGTGCCATGCCGTGAGTTGGTTGTTGCCCGAAGAGGAGATGTAGTGTGGCGCCGTCGGCGGATCCGCATCGGCACCTGCCGACACACAACATGGAGATCTCTGAAAAAAGAGGTGATTTCAATAGGAAAATCATGGAAAATCCATGAAAATCCAATAAAAATGAGGATTTTAATAGGAAAATGATGATTGAAGACTAGTATAAATGGATGTCGAGGACTTTTTTTTGCAGACCCAAATGTGTTGATGTATGGCTTTAGGAGAATGGCTACAAACATCTGGAGCACTATCCGATGACCAGCATATGTGGCAGTTTGGCCTTAAACTTTGACCCAGGCCCATGCATAAGTATAGGTGGAAAGAAAAATCATAAAAGGATTGATGCTATTTGATACTACTGTCTGTGAACATCCCTGAAACTCAAACATGTTCAGACTGCCGCAATTCCAGGGGTGTCTGATTTGGACCCGGACTCCAACAAGTCGATTTACTGGTCAGAATGTGCACCATTCTCAACTAGCTTCGAAGGCTTCGCACCTCGTGGTGGCCTTCTTTGGCATCGGCCGCCTTTTTTCTCTGCGGGTGAAACTGGATCGATTCGAGTCCACCTGGGATCCCTTCAGTCCACACTCATGGCTGTTGGCTTCACCTCATCGCAAGCGCACAGCTTTTCCACAGGGGAATCCTCTGCTGAAAATGGCTGGCTTTTCTACTGCAGTGAAAATTACAGGAGGGTAAGCCGCTTGAGCCACCCCTTGGTTTCCGGAGCCATGCCTTGGGAGACAGCTTGGGAGACTGTTTCGGCGACTTGGACCTGGAACAGGAGAAAGTTGGATGGAGAATCCCTTCATCATTTCAGCATATCGCCAGCCTTCCATCAGCGAGCAGCATGACTGAGGTGCCAACCCTTTTGACTTAACTTTTGCCTTGCTAGGGGACGCTTTGGCTGAAGCCTCAAATCTGCGTCAAAAATCGGTAGCCACCCAGTGGTCTATGACGGAAAGAACCGCAGCAGGTACTGTGCTCCTCTCGGCACAAACAACATGCACAACATCACAGCACTGAGATTTTCACTTTGGCCTTTGGTTCTTTCCCCATTTTGTTTCGGTGAGCCGCCTGCCGTTGCTGGTATCGTTGGTCCGTGGCAAGCTGTACGTAGGGTCTTCTGTGGAATTGCCATGGCCGCAGCCTCCTTCTCATTCCGCTTCGCACTCCTGGCGTCTGGTTGTTGTGGACACCCTTGAGAGTCAAGATGAACCAGAAACGGAGCTGCAAACATATATAAAATGCCGGAGTCTTTGGGTCCATCCATTTTTTTTACATGTTTTTGTTGGTGTTTGGAAATCCCCGGGGAAACCCCCCATCAACCCTCGGTTTCCATCCGCATCTGACATCTCGAGGATTCCCGACAGCCTGTTTTTCTTCTTCTTGCCAAGCCTCGGCAACGACCAAATGAAGCGTCGCCACACGTCGCCACACGTCGCCACACGAAACAAATGCATCCTCAACATCCAATAATGGATCCCAAGTGATCCAAAATCATCTTTTAAACCCTTATCATCCTTTATCATCCTTTATCCCTCAAGCCAACCTTGCCACTGGACCTTTCGTCCAGGGAGAACCGGGACTCGGACCTTTTGCCCACATTGGTGAGGCTGGTACCACCGCCGCCAGATTGGCCTCATTTCACGCTTCTTTTTTGCCAACTTGAGGCCGGGGGTGGATGACGAAAGCTAGCGGGGTGGGAGAAAGAAGGAAGGGAAGACGTACCTTCAATGCCAGCGGGATGATGATGATGATGATGATGATGATGATGATGATGATGATGATACTGATGATGATGATGAAGATGAAGATGAAGATGATGATGATGATGATGATGATGATGATGATGATGAAGATGAAGATGAAGATGATGATGATGATGATGATGATGATGATGCTCATGATGATGATGCTCATGATGATGATGCTCATGTTGATGATGCTCATGATGATGATGATGATTATGATGATGATGATGATGATGATGATGATGATGATGATGATAGTGATGATAGTGATGATAGTGATGATAGTGATGATGATGATGATGATACTGATGATGATGATGATGATGATGAAGATGATGATGATGATGATGATGATGATGATGATGGTGATGATGATGGTGGTGGGGGGCCCCCCTTTCACGTGAAAAATCACGTGATGTCCTTGAGCAGCCCCCTGAATACTTGCTAAAGCAAGAAGACTCCAGCTAGCTGACGCTAGCTTTTGTGAATAATGTATGTCATTATCCTTCACATATCTTCACATATATATGGGTATGGGTCAATATCTATAGATACATTTTTAGTGGGATGAACATCCATTTACCAGCTATTTTGGGGTTCACCAGGGGTACAAGGTTTTGACACACTGCCATATTTAGAGAGAGAGAGAGAGAGAGAGAGAGAGATAGACTTCTGTTGGGATTCGTCAGCAGTAGCTACTGTGGGATTTCAAGTTGCCGTTCCAAGTCGTTCCAACCGATGAAAACCGCTCGACAACTCTCAGCCTCGTTTGGCCATGGCTACAACGGCTGGTTGTGTGCTGTCTGTTCCAAATGACCAGAGAGCACTGTAGTGATCATGTTTGGCTCAGCCGTACAAAGAACTTACAAAAAAGGGCACCTTTCTTTACAAGTGACAGTTCATGTCTTTGCATTGCTTGGACATGTTGCAGTCTTTTTGCCTGTAGTTGTTCCGAGCAGCCACATTGCGGCACAATGATGGTTAAAGTGAGTACACAAGGCAAACTCTTGCGGTCTGGTGCTGTCAAACTCTGTGTTTGATTTGGTCTTTTGTTTTCCATTATCAGAAACATCTAATGTGGTGCTACTCCAACAACTAACGCAAAATCATGGTTCATTATATTCATGATTATTCATGGTATATGTATGACATTGTATGACATTGTATGACATTGTATGACATGTTATGAGATATTATAGAAAAAGTTTGGATACCTTCGAACTTCCCCCTGACATCATAACTCGAAGTTCAAAAACGCGCCCGGTGCACCTGCTGTTACCGTCAGAGTAGGCGATACAAGGCTCTCTCCAACTTCAGAAACAATCTGCGCGGCACGGCAAGGACTGAAGAACCACATCCTATCAGTCCTATCAGTCCTATCATATGACTAATATATAACTTATCATGATCATACCATTATCAGAATCTACCACCCATCACCTGTCCAGAAACTGTGACAAAAAACTCTTGGGGTGTCTGCCAGCTTTCCTTCAGCCGACCCATCCCGACCCATCATCCATCCTTCACTTGGAATCGGTAGCTCAAGCCAGCTGTGAGACCCGCCGCGGTGTATTCCGTCTGGGACGTCGAGGTGACAGAGACCTGGCGGAGATTCCGGTTGAGAAAAGTTGGATTCGGTGAGTATTACCCTCCATTTATTTACGGGATTTTCGATGGCTATGTTAAATAACCAAATGGTATTTCATACAAATCAATACAGTGTATTCTAATGGGATATTGGAATGATGGAGATTGTTGATAACCATAATAATATTGATGTCAATTGATGTATTTTAACCATAATCATGTCATATTCCATATCAATACACATCACAAATCAATGCCAGTCAGAATCATTCATCAAACTGAGTGGAATCTGCATCTGCCATCTGCCGAGCCTCAGTAAAAGCTCCATTGAGGCCATCGTCATAGAGGACTTTGTACCTTGGCTGTGGCATCAATGAACCATTAAAAGCAAACTGTTGATGGCGTAAAAACTGTTAACTAATATTAATGAGATGGTTGATCATTAGATATTCGTCATAAACTAGACTGTAACCACAGTCATAATTGTGAATCAACCACCAATGATTCTCAAGAATGAATCATAGTTCATCCATTCAATCATTGCTCACATACATTCATAATTAAACCCAAGTTCATGATATTGGTCAGTCATTTCTCCCCCTTCAACATAGACCATCCATCAAAAGTGACCACTGGATCCACACCCTGCTGGGTCCAAGCTCCAAACCCCATCAGCACGGCGTTGTTCAGAGTGGTTGGGGCATACCTGGGCTTCCACTGGTCCAACTCTTGCAGATAGGACTTGAGAAAACAAAGTCCTCAACAGACATGTAGATCATTTAGATCATGTAGATCTGCTGTATAATACACCTAGAATATCCTAGAATCCCATGGATCAACTGATCGATATGATCAGTTGATGTGCTGAATCAAGTTGAGGCTGCCACGAAATTGTCACAGAACTTGAGGTTCCAGACACCTCCGACCGATGGCTCCAGATTATGCTATCCACACAGAAATTCAAATTAACTTTGCAGCTTGGCAAACTCAGATTTGGGCACTTCTGTTTGGTCAGAAAATCATGTTGGTGCCCAAATCCACAGAAAATTTCTCTGCCTTTTCACATTTACACATTAGGATCATTCGGTCCTTATGTGGTCGTTAGTGAAGCAACAGCTTCGGCACCTTGGTGGGGATCGCCGGTTGCCCTGGAATCTCCGAGCATCGCCAACGATAGGAGTTGGAAGGAATCCCCGTGCCAGCGGCGTTCAGACCGGAGACCTTGGTGTTTAACGGGACTGGATCAGGGCCCACAAACAGTTTACCAAACAAAAAATGAATGAAGTTGATTGACGCAACTATTTGGTATATTTTGCCTATCATAGTTGTATGGTTTTCTAATCGAAAATCATCTGGTTGATGGTTTCAATCTCTCCCATTCCAGTTGGGTTTAGCCATCCTATCAACCAGGATTCCAATGAGTTCCCGGTCGCTAAGTTCATGCAACTCTCCTGCTCAAGGTAGCTGGTTACAGGCTAAGCAGTCAGCTCTCAGGTAGACGTACGTCAACTGCACCTGTTGGAGCCAGAATTCTGTCAGAAACCATGGCTGATCTGTGGCTTTGCAGCAACGATGCTGGATGTGGCTGGTGCTACCAATCATGCCGGAGCTTCATTAGCGCCGCTCCACTTGGAGGTATCAGTACCTCAGTGAGATCTGAAACGGCAAATTCTCCAGTTTCAAGGGAGAAAACTACCTGAAATCAGAGGCTTTTTCTGTGGATCTCTCAGATCCGCCAGGTCACAGTCGACTGCCTGGGTGTAGGTGGAGCCACTGACCACGGTGTACCTGAACCAGCGGCGATTCTGAGGAAATTGGAAGCGTTTCATGAAATGGGTCTGTTTTAAGGTATGTTCCTTTTTTTAGTACAGAAGCTTCCCATCTCTTAGAATTGTCTCAAAAAAGTTATAGATGTTATAGTTATAGTTATAGTACAGTAATTCATCTTATAATATTCTTATAATCAGGAGACCTTCTGGTAATCTAACATTGCCATGGAAGCCATGGCCATGGAGATCCTGGCGCACTGAGGGCTGGCGGCGGCACTCCAAGTAATGCCATCCTCATTGCTGCTGCATGCGATTGAAGCCCCAAAAATAGATGGACAAGTTCAAGACCTGGTATGAGGTAAATATCATCTGTACCACCCTGGAAACACCTTTCAATGTTTTTAAGGGTTATGTTATATACTATATACTATATGATATAAATATATATATATATATGCCCAAGAAGTGGTTTCCATCATCTGTTGCTTTTCAAAACAGCGTTGCGCCCCTTTTGGTCCCTGGGGTCCCCAGACTGTTGAACCATAGACATACCATCCAGTGATGGTAGAGCCACCATCACTGCCTGCGTCAAGCAGATGATCTTGGAAATCATCAATTAGGGATGTCTGTCTCAAGTTATAGGCCGCAAGTGGGACATCACCGGAATTGTTGTGAACTAGGAGAATGGAAAGTGTACACTCTATCATCATTCAATTGACTAATGTGGGGTAAAACAATTTCATAAACCATCCCCCAGTCACCACCATAAATAAATAGGTGGTATTTTTACCATTCCCAGTCATGGGTGGTTTTTTTTGGCATTGTTTTTTACCTTCCCAGTCATGGGTGGTAAAAATGGCATTGTTTTACCCACATCGACCCACATTTTTGGGTGATACGTAAATCGATTTCCGAATCGAAATTTCCCCATTGAACCAGCCACCTGGAGACCAGGCCAGGTCGATCTGGATGTTGCTTGAGGATGTCACCGAGACAGTTGGAGGGTCGGGAGTCGCCTCGCAATGATACATACCTTCAGGAGGGGCATGGAGGGGCCATAGATACGATATGGGTATTAATAGCCATGGTTAATGATGGCTAAGAATGGTTAATATATGGTTAATATATGGATATTATATGGCATATGGTTAATGATGGCTAATAATAATCTGGTTGGTGGTTGACCTACCCCTCTGAAAAATATGAGTTCGTCAATGGGAAGGATGACATCCCATATATGATGGAAAATAAAATTCATGTTCCAAACCACCAACCAGCAACATGTTCAACAAACTCAAAAGATCAAACAAAAATCCACTGGCTCTTAGGTTTTCAAATCACAGCAGATATTTCATGGTACCCTCTAGGAAAATCCTCGAACTAAATGGGTGATTTTCTAGCAAGCCGTGTTAGATTTACTTTGGACACCAGAGGGTACATTTACCAAGCCCCATTGAACCCATAGTACCCCATTGAGCCCGAGTCATGCTGAGGCTGCAGCTGCAGCGACAAAGGTTGCGATGGGAGAAGATGCACTCGTGCCGACTTCAGATACCACCTGAACAGCCAACGCCAGGGATTTCCCTGCTGCCACTGGGATTCGCCACGTAAGTAGTGGCGGATAGTGGTGGATACTGGCCCATAGTTGTAGTCATCTTAGCCGTTGCGAATAGACAGCTGGTGCAAAGTTGCAAACAACTAATCATCCACAACAAACAAAACATCAGGACATTTCAATTATAGCCTATCTGATCCACATCAACATCTTAAAAAAAAAATACTTTACTTCGTGTGATCCCCACCATGACATTTATACATTTTCTTACTGGCAAATCTTCTGGCATTCTATCTGACATATCTTCTGACATTCTATTTGGCATTCTATCTGGCATATCTTCTGGCATATGTTCTGGCATATCTTCTGGCAAATCTTCTGGCATTCTATCTGGCAAATCTTCTGCCATTCTATCTGGCATATCTTCTGGCACTCTATCTGACATATCTTCTGGCATTCAATCTGGCATTCTATCTGGCATATCTATTTGGCATATCTTCTGGCATATTTTCTGGCATTCTATCTGGCAAATCTTCTGGCATTCTATCTGGCATTCTATCTGGCATATCTTCTGGCATATTATCTGGCATTCTATCTGGCATATCTTCTGGCATATATTCTGACATATCTTCTGGCATTCTATCTGGCATTCTATTTGGCATTCTCTATCTGGCATATCTTCTGACATTCTTTCTGACATTCTTTCTAACTTTCTTCTGCACATTCTTTGTCCCATATCTTCCCTACTTGGCATGAGGTCCGGCAGGGAACACTTGGCATGGATACTCGCAGATGAGGTCCGGCAGAGAACACTGGGCGTGGCTGGTCGTGGTTGAGGTCCGGCAGGGAACACTGGGCGTGGCTGGTCGTGGTTGAGGTCCGGCAGGGAACACTGGGCGTGGATGGTCGTGGTTGAGGTCCGGCAGAGAACACTGTGGATCGCGGGTCGCAGTTGGACGAGGACGACGAGGACGACGAGGACGACAAGGACGACAAGGACGACAAGGAGGACGAGGAGGACGAGGAGGACGAGGAGGAAAGGAGGAGGAGGAGGAGGCAGGAGGCAGGACGAGGCAGGAGGAGGCAGGAGGCAACTGACATAAAATCTAACAACCCTCACCTGGCAGGTGGGGAAAAACACATCACTTCATGGATTTGTCTGAAAATAGGATACCCCACAATTTTCACAATTTTCACCATCATTTTCCCAATGACCATATCTGGGGATATATATATATATATAGCCCTCTTGCGACATTGCCCCCACCTGAACTTTGAAGCGGTAATACAAGCCAGCACTGAGGCCATATTTGGTGAAGGTTCGCTGCGTGGTGTCGGTGATGGTGTCAATGGACCATGGCCCGTTGTTGCCGTCGTCCGTGTAGATCTGACGAAAAATCCATGGCGAACGGTTCACCATGGGAAAATCCCATGGGAAAATCCATGGAAAATCCACTGAATCCATAGGGGATCGGCGTCGAAAACATCCAGCTCCCATTCAAATACAATCAAGAGAAACCAAAACATGGGAAAAACACAATTAAAAGACATTAAAAAACCATTAACACACCATCAACAAACCATTGATTTCTACCCTTGGGGCATGTCTCTTCAACTGCTTCTGCCGGGGGAACCAATCCATCTACGCGCCTTGAAACCAGTGAGGTAAGCACCATTTAGGCCTCAGGATGGCTCACATTCGAAAGGGTCAGGATTTGAGGTCCCCAACAAACAAATTTCCGCAGGTAAACCCACTGATTTCCATATCTATGTCAAATTATCACAGGGTAGTGGTTAAAAACGAACAGATATGTCCTTTCTACCACACGTGTTTCCTCAGGGCAGAAGAATCTCACTCACAGTCAGTCAGCGACCCCAAACTCCCCCAGACTCCATTAATAATCAAACCGGATTTCGCGAGAAAATCAGATCACAGGAACAACTTCTTGGAGGAGATATGGCATGTACCATCTGGTTATTTAACATAGCCATGGAAAATCACTATTTTTAATAGGTAAACCATCTATTTCTATGGGCCATTTTCCATGGCTATGTTAAATAGATATGGCATGTAGATATATGGCATGTGTGGGAAAAGCCATCACCATGAAATCACCATGGCATGTCCTCTGATCCCATCCACGAGGCACCGTTGGTGTCAAAGCCGATAGTGATGGAACTGGATGTGGAGGCAGTCTCAGCCGTGGCAGTCAATGCGCTTGCAGACCCTGTGGATCCCTGTGGCATGGGAAGTAATAGGGATAACCAATTGCAAACATGTGTGTATCACAATGGATCGCAATTATCACATCTTTCCCATTGCCAATTAACATTACATGGAACAATATAAATCTGGATATTAACGGATAGGGGATAAAACTGAACATGTCAAGATATGTCGGAATAATTATGACACCGGAACATTTGTCATGGAGAGATTTAGTGGAAACATGTCCCAATGGACCCACAGAGGTCGCCAACTCCGCCGTTCTAATTTGACACCTGTCCACCTATCAACCAACCATCAATGAATTATATCTCTCCATGTTTGGTGGTTAAAACCCAATAGTTTTGGTTCTTAACATCATATCCCAGCTACCATTTCCCACCCAGACTCTGTTTCCACATCTGAGCACTGGACCACAGTTGGAATCAGAGGGGTGCCAGGTGCCTGCCATGGCACGTTCTCGATAAAAAATTGACGTTTTCGTGGGCATATCCCATTAAACAAATTGGTTCGTCCGACGTCCCAAACAAAAATCTGATGGGTCCCACTTCGGAAGCCACTTGTATCATCACTTTCATGAATCTAGGGGTGACATGTTGAGAGTATTCACTGAGCTTTTGGAGTTGTACGTACGTACGCGCACACACACACACACACCTGACACTAATCTGTGCCTGTGCATATATCATATGTATACATGCACTTCGTGCTGCACTTTCAGATCTGCAAATGATTGTTTTATGCATCATTTTGCGCGGGTCTGAGATGCTGACTCATATGTTGGTGCAGCTGCATTATTGTTTCAAAGCTGCTGCATTCCCCACCATATCAAACACATCGTATAGTGTTTTTTTCCAAATATTTGACTATCAGTTGCTAGACCATAGCGCAATCACATAAAATCATACCAAAATCAGTTTTATAAAAGTTACAACTTAGATCACAACAATACCACTATTAACATGAGATTTCACAAGTATATAATCTATGATATTCATCGTTCACCATCATCTTCACTATTGTATTATATGTGTGTGTGTGCCATGGTCAAACTCAAAACAATCATCCATCCCAAATTGGGAATCCTGTTGATGGGTACATTACACCCTGTTAATTGGTGGGTGACCATCCCCTTCTATGGAAAAGCAACCCAAGTTTGGACCAAAGAACATCTATCAAATTCAAATTCATGCACTACCCTCCAGTAAACTAACATAGCTATGGAAAATCAACCATTTATAGATGATTTACCCATTAAATATGGTGGTTTTCCATAGCTGTGTTAGTTTACGTATATCAACTATGCTTTCCCATTATGTCATTGTATCCAGTTGTAATCCCCATTATCTCCCCAGTAAAATCTATATTCGAATTGTATGTCCAATTAAATCCCCGTAAATCCCATATAAATCCCATGTAACATCCCATATAAATCCCATGTAAATCCCATGTAAATCCCATATAAATCCCATATAAATCCCATGTAACATCCCATTCATCCACGATATTTCACCCACTTTCTCTGTCTGATCTAAGATCCCCCACAGCAGAGCAGCGGCTCTTTACAGCAGTAGACAAGGCGCCCTCGCCCGCGCTGCTCACTGCCGCCATCTTCAGCCAGAAATACCTGGGCCGTGCCGGCCGTGCTGTCAACATCTGTCAACATTGCTGGGGATGGGTCGAAAACCATGAAGTTATGATGCGATAAAAACAGGTAACAGGAGTTTATCTTTTTTTTTTCCACAATGGGGCGTCAAACAACTGATGGGCCTTCAACAAGCCAATCCAATGGAATCCAGCAGTAGCAGCTACTGTAAAATTGACCGACTCAACTTGTCTCCCAATTTCAGGGTAGAAACTGCCAAGTCAACCGGCTGGCGGCACCAGCTTGAGCGGTTTCAGAGTCTTGGTCTTGGCGCCGGCTATTGCGGCTTCGCCAAATTGCAAGAAGATGCACAAACGTCTGCTGACTTCCAAATATACCCAGCAGCGACGCCCAGGTTGGACGACAACTGGAATGCTTCACTCTCGCAAACGGCCAGGGCAATTGGGTCACTAGATTTACAAGAATCGCCCAACACCACAAGGGAATTGTAGGCCTGCAAAAGATCATGACTGGCCGATGCCATGGATTCCGCACAACTCCAGTCGCTTCCATAGCAGGTGTGCATCATCTTTGCTCCTTCTTTGATGACCAAGCTGATGCCTGTCTGAACAGAAAGAGCGCTTGACTCGCAATCCGCAATGCTGAACAAGGTCTTGTTGCGAACGTCACAGTCTGTGGCAGCTTGCACAATTTGTGCGTAGAGTGTTGTAAGGGAAGCGATACTGGTGGCAGTGTCCGCAGCGCAGGCTGCCTCGGTCACCATGTCAGACGTATTCACAATCTCATTCTTCACCAAAGCATTGATGCGTGGCAGCTGATCTGTTGCAGTGGACCAAGCGACTTTAAGCACACCCTGGATCCAATGTCCAGCCTCTTGGGCTGCCGTGTTCACCTTTGTGGCGAATCCGGTATCACCGTCGTTGCTCCGAGCAGCGGCAATGTTCTTGAGAACCTCGCCAGCATGGTCAACCAAAAACCTCTGCATTCTCAGCAAAGAGGTCTGCTCTTCTTTTGCTTTGCCGCCAAATGCGTCAATGCCTGCATCTTGCAAAGAAGCGCTAGTCTTGTTGGTCAAGGTAATGAACCTCGGCGCTACGATTTCCAAGACAGCAGCAGCCCTCGAGGTGGCACCCACCAGGCGGCTGAAGTCGTCCTTGAATGAAGTGCGCATTGCTTTGGCGACTAACACTACCAGCTTGTCGTTCAAGCTGTCGATCTCTGCAGACATGTTCAGCATCGTCTCCTTTACATCATGCTGGAAGTTGAAGGGGCAACGTTTGAGCTGCAATGCGTTCAGGGCACATGTGTCGGAGTGGGTGCAGTCATCGTCCACCACAAGACTGCCCTCTATTGGAGCATCATCTAGCGATGCCCAAGAAGATGCCACCCAAAAGGTCAAAATGGAAAGGCGCAGCATCGCCCCAGATGTAAAGCGCTCTATCGAATCCAGTGCAACAAAAGCACTTGAGAGACAGACGTGAGCCAAAATGGCTACGGATACTATCAGAAAATCAATCATCCCTGATGTTTTAGCCCCCAGTTGATCAGCTATTTAGATGTAATTATTCGGTTGTTTCCAATTAAAAACTGAGGGATATTAAGACATATGTGCTGCAAGTATCTGCTTGTTGGAATAGAAAACCTTCGGACCGCCGTTTTTCTTGAAACCTTCCGCTCCCAAACAACGCCTTTTTTTCCTTCACCCTTCCATGGTCCCTTCCATTGTTCCGAGGTGCTGCTGTCCCCGATTCACGGCATAAAAGTTGGTACAGTCCAGGGAGTACGACGTGAAGGCGGCCGATTCAGTCGCCTCAAAAGGAACCGGATCATGACTAGTGACCACCAAAAAGAGAATTGGTCAACAAAAACACCATAGATGATCTAATAATAGGTTTATATATATATATATATATTGAATATAGGTAATTATCACCATTTTATCACCATTTGAGTAGGATTGTCCTTTTTTCCATCCTTTTGTGGGGGGTTACATGGCGTTACCATGAATCGTTTTTTCGGCAAGGGAGGATCATAATCCCGATATCGTTGCACCAAGTGGATTGGTGATTCAAAAACCATGTTTTTTTGGCCTTGAAAAAATCAACTATTGGAGGTCACTGCAATTTTTCCCTCCAGAAGTGAGCTAGGCAAGCCTCATGTCATGAGGTTATGATTCAGGCAGATCTTTCGGTAAACTTGTAAGCATCCAGTCAGTGTATTGCAGGAGTGTAAATGGTAGCATGCTGGGAATTGAACCATTAACTGAGCATAGAATTTAATATTTAATGCACAGCGCATGGAACTTGCACGATGCGGCTCATTTCACTTGTGGCTTTCACATGCCATTGGTGGGTGGAGTTGATTTTGAGTGGCACCCCCAAGCCTGGCTTGCAGCACACCCCAAAGAAACTGTGTCAAGGTCATCCCTGAGGAACGGGCATATGGTGTGGTTGGATATGTGATGCCATCATCAGAGGCATAGATGTTCCAACCAGTGATGGCTGTTCCACCTGCACAAGTCGCGTGGTATGATCCCTATGATCCCTTTACTGAGTCGCTTGGTGGTTGGATTCTACACCCCTTGCTGGCTCGCCAAAGATATTCCAGCTATCAAAAGCATCAACGTCAGGGACTCCAACGACTGCCATATGTCCCATCTGCAGCACCTGTGGAACCCAGCAATTGCGCACTGTAGACCAAGGTGGTATCCGAAGTCGACACCTGGTCTGCTCCAGGTCCAGCAAAGATTCGCCATGACTTTCTTTTTCGTGTTTTCCGGACATTCACCCGAAGGACCAAACACCAAGAAAAATATACCATTATACGGCTTATACGATGGAAAAAAATATGCATTCACAGTCTTTATTACGCATCCATAATCTGGAAATAATTACTAGATTAAATCCAATCCCAGTTTAACAAACACGTTGTGCGGAGGGAAAGTTTGAAAGTTGGCTCCAGTGGGTTCTTAAGGCTCCAAGCAATAGATACCACGGGTGCATCGGGTACAGATGCAGCCACTGCGGACCTCAAAGTGTCCGGATGATCCAAATGTCATCAGATGTCATCAGTTCTTGGCAGTTTCACCAACCCAAAAGCATGGTGATCATGGTGATCTCTCAGAGGCTTCCCCCATTTAACTGATCATCGACGTGGGTGGAGTTGGGATACCAAATGATCCAAATGTTACCACCGCCTTCAGCTGAGGAAGGAACAGTACTGCCGAAGTGGAACTCTCTCCGGTTTCGGACAAGTACTGAACACGGAACCTCCAAGGAAGGCAGGAACTCCTTTTGGATGTGAACATGTCTTGAAAGGCGGGAAACTCGTTCATCTCAAAATGTTCAGGTCACAATTTGTGTCTTTGTCAACTCATTGGCAATATTGGTCAATCAGAAACAAGCCTCCAACTTGCTTGTGTCACGTGTCAATTTTCTCAGCTGTAATACCAGCCCGTCCAACCCGCCCCCAGGTGCCTATAGGTTTGACCAGCTGACAAGCCCGTCTTGGTGTACTGGACCTGCAAGTTTTTCAGCAGGCAATGGAGTAAAACATCAAATCACCTCAAGTTGCATTCGAAAATCATTCCCCAAATTTTCCTGAATGCCCAGCCCTCACAAGTGTGTTTATTTGAATCTCTGGGTACCCAAGTTGATGCTCAATTATAACCTTATCCACCAAACTTAGCAATCGAGGTTATACCATGGTATACAGAAGTTTCCAACAAACCCAGAAATATCAATATACATATGTATATATATATATATGTATATATACGTGTATATATATATATTGACAGGTCTCATGTTCAACACCAGCCCACTCAATCATATATATATATATTACCCTTCAGATATATTCCATTCAATCTTCCATTAAAGCGGCTCAATTTTCCCCAACGCCTGCAGGTTGTCCGTGAGCGTGACTGTGGTGAAGGGTCCTCCGGCGCCATCATCGAACGAGACCTACGCGCTTCACCGGTGGAGAATGGTGATTTAAGGGGATTTATATGGGATTTATATGGGATTTATATGGGATTTATATGGGATTTATATGGGATATTTGGGATATTTGGGATTTATATGGGATATTTAGGATTTATATGGGATATTTAGGATTTATATGGGGATTTAATTGACATACAATCATATAACCTCTGGTAAACTCATATAGCTTTAGAAAAGCAACATTTATATCCATTTATAGTGTGTATTCATCGAACAAATTGGTAATTTTCCAGAGCAACTTTAAATGACCAGTCCACTAACATGCCCATTCTTCAACTAGTTCTTGGGAATCATGATGGAAATGAAAGACATGGGGTAATCACAAAATTGGAAACTCCATTCCATTCATGGTCCGGTTGATGAGAGGTTTCTCCACCATTTGATGGCCAAAAAAAATGTCGTGTGTGTAAATCCGTCATTTTCACACAAACCAGTATCTGAAACACCAATCACATGTGGGCTTTCGTCGGCGTTGCCCAACTAGCAAACCTCTATCCATATCGATATGTTTTTCTTTAATCCAACTTGCCCTCTGGCAATCCGACAGTTTGCTATGGAAAATCAACATTGTTAATAGATGATTAATCAAACTTGACAAGGGTCATTTTCCAGTTCGCAACTGTTGTTAATTCATTACTAGGGGGTAGTAGTTCTTAATAGTTTAATAGTTTCTAGTTTGTAAATGATTGTCCCACTAAAACCTTCATTGTCCATGGGACTTCCCATTTCAAACTTTCTCCAACCACCCCCTCGTCCTCCCCCTGGTGTCTTGCCTTGTACCCTTGATGCAGTGCATTGTGAAGCTCCGTCGTCGTGGGCGCGGTCCTCAGGAGAAAATCCGTGGTACGATGGTTTCAATACGTGGATATACCCACATTTCAGTGGCCATAAGACACAGGAAGTATGGTGATTCACAAGCCAATAGATTTGGAATAGCGCATTTTCAGAGACAAAGCCATGTTTTGTTCATCCATTCCAAACAAATTGTGGGACAACTTCGAGAAAAGCAGATCTTTTTAAGTAGCATCCAGCATGGCTTTTGTTTCTCAAAGTAATGCCGCGTTCAACCAATAGATGTCCATCGTTGTCCATCTTGTGCTGTGGTTTTCACAACTTCTATGGTTGATGATGGTTGTCAATGATATGGGTAGAAACTGCAAGCAACCGTTGTACCCACAGTAGCCGAGCCATACCAGCTGAAAAAAACAAACCCCATGGCTATATGGATGCGGTTCGCGATCCTGCCCATCTCACTGATCAAGACCCCCCAGTCATGTTTTGCTGCATTTCTCAGTCATGGATCATGATTCATCATTCTGGATTAATTAATACTATTATAGTACCATTATTTCCTGAAATGATTATGATCCCATTATAATCCCAATATCTAATTATCATTGTATCCCAATAATCCCATTATAATCCATGATCCCAATATCCCAATCCATTATAGTTATATCCCAATATCTATTGTCTCATGATCCCATTATGATCCCATTATTAGGCCCATTACGGATGATTTCTGGGTGAATCCTTGACTAATCATGGGATATTCTGGCAGAAATTTCTGGATTATTATCCCATCTTTATCCCATTATGGGATTTGGTTTATAAACATTTATAAACCCCATGAACTACAGTTATATCTCCACCATAAACCATAGAATTCACTGCCATATATCTCAACTGAACGCTATCTTGAATCTTGGGGGCCCCATCCTGTAGGTAATGGACTCAATATGGGCTCATAATCCACCACTGATCCCTAAGGCTCCCCACCATCCGACGGTGATCTGCGTGGCGCTCGAACTCACCACCGTCGGGGTGGCCGGGGTATCTGGCGCCGCCGAGCAGCGCGAGGCCAGGGTGCCCTGGACGGTGCCACAGTGACGGTGGGTTGGGAGAACAATATCCCCATGATAATATCCCACATGATATTGTCATGGTATACAAAATACTATATTTGGGGATATTGTTGGGATATCTAATATATAAATATATACACATATATCATAGGGATATTCAATTATCTGGTATCGTTTATAATATACAAGCAACATTGAGCAACACTAAGCAACAATCTAAAGCTGGCTGATGAATCTAGGTTATAGTCGGAACACAAAAAGTTAGGTGACTGTCAATGAAGCCTTAACTCAACCCGCCACCTGACCCAAGATGAGATCAACCAAAAAGTTGACCGAAGACTCCAACTATCGAATTGCTATGGATATGTTTCTCATTAATTAACCACTAAACAAACCGTTCTTAACCATCATTCGGCTGAACGGTCAACCCGCCACAGCTGTTGCTAGGCTGAAACAGTGCCACAGTTTCACCCTGAGGAGCCAGCAGACAAAGTGCCAGTGCCCGCCAGGCTATAGCCCGCGACCTTCACCTGGATGCGTGGGGATGAAAATTCTGCTGTGTAGATATGCTGTGTTAATTGTTGTCATGTTATATAATTGTTATTACTATTATATATATATATATTTATGATATATATTATATATATGATATATATATATATGATATTATCATGTTATTGTGATATTGGTGTTATCAGTGTTATCATGATATTATGATTACTGTTATCATTACTACTGTCATGCTTATTATGCTCATTGTGATTATTATCATTATCATTCTTATTTTTCCTTGTTGTCATTATTAGTTTGTGATTATGCTCCTTAGAAAAAAAAACATAACGCGCATGGCTGATCTGATCTGAGAGCCAGACCCACAGCATTGCTTGGCCAGCCGAATAGGTCGCACAAGTGATGGTATACCTCAGTGAAGTGGTTTCAATCAGGGATTTCAATATTTTACAAAAATGTTCACCTCAACTCTTCTTAAGACCAAATCAAATTCTAGAGTCATTTTGATACGCCCCAACTGCATCAAAAATTCATGTACGCAGTTGGAGCCAAAACATGCCGAAATGAGCTTGACGCTTGGCTTAGGTGAAGACAGCATCAAATATGAACCAAATAAAATCCATGAAATCCATTGAAATCCCATATTTTTTCTTCAACAGGTACAGTTGATGCACATCCACGTCTCACTGGATTCAGATATTTTGTGGTTCGTGCCAATTTCAAAATAAAAAACATGGTCATGACGAATGGTAGATACCCTGAGGCATAGATGTTCTAGCTGATTATGGTATACATCCGTATTACTGGCAAAACTTCCCATCACCAATTGGATTTATCGGCTTTCATCCCACGTTCCAATCGCTAAGATTGACTGTTCAAACCCAATTTCCAATCGCTAAATCCGCTAAACTCATCCTAAGGTGTATTCAGTTGCGCCTTAGGCCTTCATGGTTCATAATAACCTCAATAGACCAGATAGGTTACTAACCCCCTGTGATAACCCATCAACCTTCAAACAGCCACCATGTATCAACTAAATATCCTACTGTTTGCTATGTTTGCTGATTAAAACGTGTTAAAACCATTTTCTTGATAGTTACATCATGATAAATCCCGACTTAAGTGGTAAATCAATCAAACCCATCCTTTATCTGCATTCAATTTTCGTTCTCCCCATATTTTTCCCATGGTTTTTTCCCATGGTTTTCCCATCTGCCAGCCCATGATTTTCACCCCACCGAGGCGCTGCATGGTGTTCACATCCGCCACCGTGTCGCTGGGCGCGTTGGTCGCCGGCCAGGTCTCGCCGTCCGTGGAGATGTAGACGTACCAACCTGAAACGATTGGTGGATGCTGGAAACACCTATGGATATGGTGATGATACATATATATATATATATGGGGATAAGATGATATGGTACAAGATGCATCTACAAAATTGTATCACGTGGTATATTATTGTAATATGTATTATATACATCGTTATTACGTACAGTATAATTGCTGTATTGATGATGTCATATGCAGTAATATGATTGTAATATGCAGATAGTAGATATGCTTGTAAATTGTAGATATGGGGCTGGGTATGGTAATTTGTGGACACACCCAATCAATGGATCTCCCTGAGCCAAATGGGTCAACTCTTACATTTTATGTAACATAGGCTGATCACCATCCATTTGAAGAGTGTCCCGTGCCGGTCCTCTTCAGTTGACAAAGAAAAATGATGAAACATGATCAAACATGGGGTGTGATAATCCCCATATATTGATTAGCATAATCTAACATATAGTGGTTAGTACAATCCTCTACCAACATTAATCCCCACTAATAATTAGCCATTTATACCATTTATTGATGACAATCAAAACAGATTGTCCTCAACCAACCCGGGTTTTGATCCCGATGGCCTTCGATGATCGCGCCACCATTAGAACCCGAGAACCTCAGTGTTTTGGGAATCACAGGACTTGAAACGGAAGTACCATCCCTTCAATTCACAGAGCCAAAATAGATGGTTGGAAGGCTATTCTCAGAATTTATCATTATCTTGGAGGGGATGGTAAAATCTACTTCATAAGTTCCAACGCCAGGAAAACAAGAGACCCCCCCCAGATCTGCCGGAGGTTTTTCTTCGCCACGGCTGAGCTAAGTCCAATGCCACTGCTATCTTTTTGGGGCAACATGGAGCACAGTTCATGGCTCCTTTTACCTTGGGTCTTAGCCCTGCCACAGAAAATTGTGATTCGTTAAAGATTTGGAGTTTGATACTGGGTGTTGCGTTGGCGACGGAATCAACAGCATGAATAGTACCATATCGTAGCACTGCGTAAATGTACTGTAAATCAGGTTGAAGGATGTCCAGCATGCAACTCCCGCACGAAACCAAACCGGCGCAAAACGATTCCAAGTCCAATTGAAAGCAAACTGACAAAGATCATAGGTTTCAAACATGTTCAAACTCAGCATTGAAACTCTTGGTACCGAATCAGAAAACGTGAAAAAGATGTGGCTCAGCATTTGCCACCGCGCTCAACGTTCGCGATCTGCAGCAAGGATATGAGGGCAAACTGCTAAAATTGTTCACCATCAAAGCAAGATAAGCAAGAACAGGAATTCAAGGGGGGGTCAGCATTCTTGTGACATATGGGTATGGATCAATACCTATTAATACCATTTTGGGGGAATGAACATCCATTTACCAGCTATTTTGATGTTCACCAGGGGTACAAGGTTTTGACACACTGCCATATCGACTTTGACATGCTCTGATTCTAGCTATTCCCAGCTGAAACCTGGAAAAATCACATCGACCCAAGGCCTCCCAGCTGATGGTTTCGGCACCATCTGGGCGGATGCCAGGTGCAAACCCTCATAATTCGATCTTGGATCTTAGTCCTAGTCCCCAACCAATTGCACCTGGGGGTCTATAGACCAGATCTACCAGTCAACTGGAATTGGAAACCCACATCTTATGTGGGGTGAAATTACCAAGTCGAATGGGACATCTTTAGCCACCGGAAATGACACCCCGAGATCCCTGAGATCCCTGAGCTTGAAACTCTGGGGGATGTCAGCGCACGTTCCAACGAAGTCCTTGTACTCGGCGACGATCTGCTCCAGGCAGATCCAGGTGCACAGTTTGGTATCGAACAGCACCCAACAAATTGGGTCATTTGTGGTGCTGAACTATTCATCTCTGGGATGGGTCAATAGCTACATGATACCATGGATATCCATGGATCATATGTGGATCATATGTTGGGGGATTAAACATCCAGCTGCTGGGTCAAGTCTTCCGGTTGTCCATGGCGACCAGCCTTTCCCGCAAAGTTGGCAGCATAGTACTTGTGCCTGTCTTGAGAGTCAACTCACTTCATGCTTTCCAATGGACACTGAAGGTCGGGAATTGTGGGACTGTCCAGGTAACTCATGAGCTACCACCACTTAGGTCAATCAAATTGAATCACTTGCTTGGTTGGGAGGTTCACACTTAAAAATGATACATTACTATCACAATGGCTACCTCCTAATTTCCGGATTTTCCAATGCCAATTTTCTGTACCCCACTTGGACAACAACTGAGTTCCCAGCTTTCCCTTTCCGCCACCGGCCTCGGTGCAGTCTCACAACATATGAAGCCATCGGTTTCCGCCATCCGAAAAATGGTGGTTTTTTCCATGGTTTTTCCTGGGAACTTTCCATTTTCCCATAGAAAATGTTGAGGATCCAGGGTTTTTCCACCCTTTGCCAGCCGATGTTTGGGCTTCCCAGCTGTCATAGGTGCAAACTTCCCCTTGCCAGATGAGTGGATGTATGCCCTTGGCTCGACGAAGTCCCAGGCTCCAACGAAAGGGCTACCATCCAGTAAAACCCACCATTTACCATCTGGTTGTTTAATAGCTAGCCATGGAAAATCACCATGCTATTAATAGGTAAAAAATGGTCAACCATCTATTTTGATTAGGGCCATCTATACCATGGCGAACTGTTAAATAACCAGAGGGTAGTTTGATATAATTTGATGGTGTTCCCATTAAAACTTCCAGTTATAGTGGATTTTCCGGCTTATGATTTTTGACAGACCCCAAGATGCCATTGTTTCGCCACTGGATTTCAGCTTGGCATCCACACTTTCCAGCTCCACACGGGGCATCTGGGTCATACCTTGGTTGCTCAAAAAAAAAACGGTGTGGTGGTGTTTTGGTGGTCTATAGTTTGGTACCAAAAATATGGCCAGCTGATGTCCATTTAACATGATGTATAGTAACTTCAAAGACATTTATCATAATTTCTAGTAGGATTTGACTTTTCTATCTTTTTGGGGTTACTGTAACTGAAACCTCATCAGCAGGAAACCCAGAAATCTTCGTAGTCTAGCTGTCTGCGAAGCGTAAATCGTGGCAGAAAGCTGCCCTTTGAGGTGCTGACACCACCACTCCAGGGGTCGGAGCCATGGTTTTTCCTGGCAGCGGATGATCCAGCTGAAAACTGCAGCTGGATCAGCTGGCAGCTCTGGGGCAATCACCGGCATCCGCATTCGCGATCTCATAGCAAGCGCCCTGCTGATTCGAAACCGGCCCAATGTCTTGGCCTGAAACATATCACTGCAGCTGGCAGGATGGCACGCTAGCACTGACCATCTGAGAACCGAACCAATTAGGACCTGCAGCAGTGCTGAATCTGAATCTTGCAAACTTCCCCCAACAAACAAATTAGTATTGCTGTCAGATTCAAAAAGTCATCCTTATAAACTTATATTAAACTTATATTAAACTTATATTAAACTTATAAACTTATATTAAACTTATATTAAAAGTAAAAAAAAATCAGATAGTCATAGATAGTCCATAATTTTCTACAGTTTCTTTTGACACATTTGCTGCTGACTCCCTGGTGACTGCTCGCCTGCATCGCCTTGAAATCGTCCAGGTTCTCCTTGTAGGGCTTTCGCGTGGGTGGCGGTCCAGCCTCGATGTTACCCACACTGTACTGAAGAATTCCATATACCCTCTGGTAATTTAACATAGCTATTGAAAATGGCCATTTATAGTTGATTTTCCCATTAAAAATTGTGATTTTCCATAGCTATGTTAGTTTACCAGAGGGTACCAATCTGGATTTTGATCTGCTCAATAGTGCTGTTCCTTCCAAAAAAATTAGGGATATGTTTAATATGTTCCATGTCGAAAAAAAACACCAACAAAAAGATCATCCCCGATGTTTCCATCAATTTCATTGTCATGTCCCCTGAGCCGCGAGCGCCAAAGATCTCGGCCGAAGCGTGTCCAGGTGCAGCTGCGAGCCCTTCACAAGCGGTCACCGATGGGTGGGGTGAACTCCTCAAAATTTGGGGAATAAAACCCCATTTTGATGGTTAAATCCACCATTTTGATGGTTAAATCCACCATTTTGATGGTTAAATCCACCATTTTGATGGTTAAATCCACCATTTTGATGGTTAAATCCACCATGTATCAAGAAATGCCCCAAAATGGTGGATTTAACCATGAAACATGGGTGAAGCCACGGATTTTGATTTGCCATAACCATCATCAAAAGATGATAAAGATATGGGAGTGAGCATAAATTCTGGTATGGATCGTTCCGCGGTGATCCGTACTATGGATCGGGAGTGCTTACGTAAGGTGCCTGATCCGTACCCTTTCGTAAGGGCTCATCATAGCAAACAAATTGTGCTGATACTCTTACTATCTCCTACTTGCTATTACTTCTCCTCCTGCTACTGTTGCTGCTAAAACTGCTACCACTGCTAGTAGAAGGAAATACCAGCACCAGCAGCAGTAGTGGCAATAGAAGGAGGAGATGCAGTAGCAGTAGAAATAGCAGTAGCAGTACCAGTAGTACTAGTAAAAGTCATAGTAATAATAGTAATCTAATGAAAGTAGCAGCAGCAGCTGCAGTTGTACTAGGAGTAGTAGTAGTAGAAGTAGTAGTAGTAGTAGCAGCAGTAGTAGTAGTAGTAGCAGGAGTAGTAGTAGTAGTAGTAGTAATAGAATCGGTCTTTCATATTGGCATTTGTTGTGGCGTGACTGGGTTCGGGTATGGATCGGGTATGGAACGGGTATGGATCGGGGTATGGATCGGGACACGCTATCTGGGCCGGCTTTCCCGCTATGGCTGTGAAGGAAGAGAACGGGGTATTTCTAGTCTGGTCTAGTTCTACACGTGCCAGGCAAAGCAGAAACAGAAGGAATTGTAATCATAGCGCCACTATAGAAGTACAAGAAGCACCTAGTGGAACTAGAACCAGTCTTACTAGCGTTCAAGGTGCACTTGCAGTATTGCTAGTAGCTAGTCAACTAGTTGCATTTGTCCAACTACGAGTACCAGAAGCACACGGAGGAAGTGAATCAGCACCAGCAGCGGGAGCAGGACCAGCAGGAGCAGCAGCAGAAGCGACAGCAGTAGCAGCAGCTCCTGGGAGGAAGATGACTAGTAGTGGCAGCAGCAGCAGCAGCAGCAGCACGGAGGCAACGGAGGCAACGGAGGCAACGGAGGCAACGGAGGCAACGGAGGCAACGGAGGCAACGGAGGCAACGGAGCAACGGAGGGCGGAGGCGAGCGGAGCGGAGGCAGCAGTAGAAACAACGGTAGTAGCAACGGGAGTAGCAGTACGAGGACCAGAAGTAGTATTAGGATAAAAAGCAGCATTAGGGCCAGCATCAGTCTTTCTTCAACGAGAAAGGGGTACGGATCAAGGGTATGGATCAGGGGTATGGATCTCGGGTATGGATCACGCAGTATCATGGGGTATGGATCGGGGTATGGATCATGGAGTATGGATCGTGTGTGGGCCCGGGACCTTGATCCATGCTTTGTATTTATACCCGCACCCATATGGGAATTTAGCCATCAATGAGTGGAGGCTTGAGAAAAAAAGCAATGATCTTAATCGGCAAATTGAACTCGTTTAATCAGCAAAAATGACGATAGTACAGTACATGACTGGTTGGTAGTTTTCGCGATTTGAACCCTTCTGAAACAAATGAGTTGATTGAGATGATTCCAAATAGAGTTGGAAAAACCAGTATTCTTAAAACAACCAACCAAATGGGTGCTTGGCTGATCCGCAAGTCTCAATGCATCTAACATATTCTACCTCCATCATTTTCATTTGCCGGCCATGGATTCATGATGTTTTATATCACTGTATATCATGCATTATCATATATCTTTCCAGTGATGGGTCTACAATAGCGAAGAACCCTCATCATTTAATCATGGTTCGTAAATGATATATTAAATTATGATTAAATGATGATATATGATATATGGGGCATGATGTTTTATATCACAATATACCTTCATGATAGCATCATGCCCCGGGACCATCACCTGCCAGACCGGCTGCTGCCAGCATCTCCCGTCGCTGCAATGTCCTGAGGATTTTCCCAGCCATAAAGCTCCATTGAGTTGGGGGATCCTATGGCTTATGAAATGGATTCTGACAAGTGTTCCGATGATTACTGATTCGTGTTCGAGTCCCGCACCTTTCAGCAGCATCTGGCTGGATGAATGCATGCTGCGCAAACCGCAACAGCCCAACCACCTCAATATCTCGACCAAGGAGATGGGAGACACTTCTCTTGTTATCTGATAGAAATGTCTGAACCAACCATACATCATGGGTTTGAAAATCCAGAGGAACCCCCACCTAAATCCATTGGTTAGTAGCGGTTAGACCTATTGAACATTGCCATCTCCGACCGATCAGAAAAAGGTGAATTTCCTGAGCTGGCCGCGAGGCCCAAGACGGCCAAGTGGAGAAAGGAGCTGCCTGAGCAGGTCTTTGGAATGCACCTCGCTGAATTTGCCAAAGTTCGGATTTTTTCTCAGTAAATCAATGAATCAGGTAATTCACTATCCGGATGGCACAGACCATCACTATCTGGATGGTTTAAAAGGGATGGATAAACCATCCATAAACCATCCATAAACCATCCATAAACCATCCCTCTCATTCCCTCTCCACGGGAATAACGGATGCACCTCTCCGTGCCATGGCGTTTTGGCGGCGAATGGATCCGGTGGAACAGTCTTTGAGCCGCCGGAGCGGTGTAATGCAGTGGAACAATGCCAGCAGTGGCAGCGGAGGCATCTAAGTCAGTTGCTGCACATCCCCGTATGATGCATCGGCGCATATCTATGGAGTGATTTTTTTGGATCGATCTGGGCATTGACACAACCAGCAATGATGGTTTTTGGCAACAACTTCCATAGGCAGTATGAATTTCCACGTCCAAATCCAATCCAGAAAAAGCCCAATCCATTGAAAGTCAGCCCCAACTGAGGAGAAAAACAACACCGCTGAGTGCCAAACTGCCAGGCAACTGTCAGTGTTGTGTCAGTTGACCTGAGAAAATTCGCTGTGGTTGGGAAGGCAATAGATTCATGTTGCTTCTCAAAGCAAAATTCCTCAACGTCTGGGAGCTACTCCCGTTTCAGGAAAGCTGGACCACTTAAGACACATCCATGTTTCACCAGTCCCCAGTTGTTTCTTTATCATAGCAAGTTGGTTTTGGTGGTCAGCTTGCTTCAGGGGCATGATACCCTCATCCAAGAGAAATGGCAGCATTATTTGATCACCATCAAGTTGATCCCCAAAAAAAGTAAGGAAATCTATCATCTATCCATTTCTATCCATCTGACTGCTACTATTGTGATCTTAGACACCCCACCTTTTCAAGACCACCCAACCAGGTTTACAGCAAAAACATCCGCAACTGAAACAAGTCTCCATCCCTTATCGTCTTCAGCTCCCAACGCTGATGTATATGCAGTCTCAGTGGCAGCTGATGGGGGTTGCCAGGCGGAGGGGAGGATCAGACCATAAACATTGAGATCAAGTGTGGGCGACTTGGATTCGAGGAAAACCTGCACAACATGACCCGTGACTTGAACTTGTGATCAAAAAAATACAAACCCTAAGGATCTGAAATGCGTCTTAATGTCAAACCGAAGCAAGCCGTTTGAAGCATCTAAAGGGCTTGCGGCAGGTTCCAAGAGTACTCTTGTAGGAGGTTCATTTCAACCCATTCCAAAATCACCCTCAACTAATTAATTACCGAGTCCTCTCCTGCAAACAGAAACTGAACGTAATTATCCTTCAAAACTTGTTTAAATTCCCTAACTAATGTCACATCTAATCACAAAAAAAAAGAGGCTCACAGTTTGATCACAGAAATTTCATGGTTTACTGCTTCTAGACATATCCAAAAATCCCAGTTTTTTGTGGCCACCGAGCCCCTCACTGGCGCCGCTGGAGGGGAGGCCGCGATGATCGGCCCACCGATGTCGGACTCTGTACTGCAGCCGGCCTGAGGTTCAGGGCTGGGGAGAACTCACCCTGTCAACCTGGCTGGGATTTTTGAAAGAGAATCAATGTACTTCGATGTACATTAATGTACATTCATGATGAATAAGTTCAACCTTAATGTACATGGTTATGTACATCATATTAGGGTAATTTCAACCTTTTAACGCCAGACCCAAGATGAAAAAGCCCAGATATGGAATTTAAACATGTTCTCAGTAAGTATTTGGACATCAATTTATCTGGTCAAATCCCAGGACTGAGCTTCCGACAATGGAGCACAGCTTCAATTTCACCCGGTAGTAGTTGCCAGTGACGATGTTGGAGGTAATGGTGTAGCTCAGGACAGTCCTTGGTTTTTAGCGCCCAAAACTCACCCAGGACGTTTCACCAGCTCTGCCTGAGATCCCCTGACGTGTCATAGACGGCGATCTCATCATAGGTGTTGTCCGCATCATTGGCGTCATCGAGCTCAGTGTTGCCAGAGGTGCAAAGACTTCAAGGATTGGATGAAAGAAGAAATGGTTCAACTATGTTCAACTACAATCACCTTCATGCTATATCACATGCGCTCACCAGTCCATCCATCATGCTCGGAAACTGGTTCAGAAACCGCCCTAAGCTCTTGAAACCTCAGTATCTCAGGCCATCCCACTCTTCCAACTTCCCATCTTCCCATTCCACTTACCACATCTGGCAGCTCCCAACCCCATCCATCCATCCTGGGCATCATCCCCTGCTGACCCGGGCTGCCCCACCAAGATGCGCCACCCCGTGTGGGACGAGCTGCTCAACTGGATGTTCGTTGGTTGATACAGCGCCACTGTGACGCTGGTGGCGGTGGCCGTGAGGACCGGCGCCTTGGTGGCACTGGAAATCATGGGAAGAGCTTGGGGTTGGGGTTAGTAAATGTTAGTAAGTTTGGTTGGGGAAAACATAAGGGTTTGTACAGATTTCTGGGAACATGTTCGGAGGTATCCAAATGTTAACTTGGTTTTCAAAACCATCGGTGTGGCCCAAAGATCAAGTGTACAATATCAGAAGAGCATTGTCTCTCCTGAAATGATGATGATGATGATGATGATGATGATGTGATGAAGTGTCCATTGATGGCACCCTCGTCATTCAACAAAATGCGCAGCCAAAACTACCTTCCATCATTATCACTTCATAAGCAACATCCCTGCATATCCCCGCAAAAGTGGCTGCAAATCAACACCCAATATGAAATTCTATCCAAGCCCAAGATTCAACTCAATCAGCCACCACCCAATCATCCAATCCCCATCTCTGTCGAGCTACCGCCGGAGTCAGTGGAATCGGTGCACAGTAAATGCCCGTAGGATCCGAATCCGCCTCAGTACAGAAAGAGTCGACAAGACTGGGAGAGGTCAATGGCTGGATTGTTGGATTGTCAACAATTGAGCCTAATTTGAATATCATTGAATCATTGATGATATAACAACATCAATTGGAAACCCTGAAAACTTGACCTCATAAGAATTTCTAGGCAAATCATTACATGTCATCCCCAAAATCTCCCTGGCACTGCTCTGCACAGAGCCTATGCGCCCTGGGACATCCTGGGACATCCTGGGATTTCCGGACACCTTCGCCGGTGCCCACGCCGTTCACAGCTGACACCTTGAAGTAGAACCTCCCAGCTGCACCAGTGGAACCATCTTTTGGAAGCAAACCAAGGCAGCTGGGAACTCATGGATTCCACCATTCCCGAAACACACCCCAATATGGAAAAAGAACAAATCCAATACCTAGGTTTCTCCAGGGGATATCGGGATAGTTCATATTGGAGGGAAGGGATTGTCATGAAATTTGATCACTCAAAATATCTCAAAATGATGGCCTCTTACTTCTTGAACATGACAGCCGTGTGAGAACTATACTTGTTGAGAAATGAGGTGCCCCCACTTTGGGTCTCTAGGCCCCAAATGACCCATCAATCCTTCAAATCCCCTCAATCAAATCGGGAATTATTGGGCTACAATTCACAACCCCGTGAACATCATTAAGAAAAGCAACAGCAGAGTGCATCATCAGCTCTTCAACCCTTCAGTTCTGCCCAAATTGTTTCATACCCCACCCCGATCTGTCAACATGTGCCCACCACGCCCAGGGCACATCTGCGAAGAACCGCAGTTGTAGGTGAAACTGTAAACGGAGGCATCTGCTGTGCTTCCTGGCCGCAATAGCTGAGCTACCCATGGCCATGGGCATGTCTATGAACGCGCACAGATTTTGGAAAAGTGGCCATGTATCAAACAAATTTCATGGACAATTATGGGCATTAATGGGCGCATTTTGCAGGAATATGCTGCTATATATTGTGCAGTGCATGGCACAAATTCCAGGTCATCCTGCATGAGATTTCATGGGCCCATGACCTGCAGCTGCATAGGTAGTGCCACCATCCAGGGAAACCTTGATGTTGTACCTTAGTAGCCACGTCAAAGAGGAGTTTCAACCCAAATTCGACACTTTTTCTGGGGCTCTGAGCAATTTGAAAAGAAAACACATACTGGAGATGCTAAGGGAGGCTAAGTGCGGCTCTGAGATAAAGGAACACCTCCATTGTCCTTGCATTGCTGGGCATTGCGGCATGTCACATGACAGCTGTTGGCACAGCCACGGCAAATCACTGCGAATCCAATGGATTGGTGGCAGCTGCGCAACGTGCCGTTGATTTTTTCTGTTTTGAAAAGCTGCTGTGGCTGGAGAACAAGCCGCTAAAGTCTGCGAAGATTGCCGCGACTGCTGACAAAGCAATCGTGGATCTGTCCCCTGTGAGCAATCAAGCACTCTTTGGGCACTCCCAACCTCTTTCAACATCAAAATTTGGTCACACAAACGGAACAAGGCAGAGGTCACCACCTGCTTGTGTGACTGCAATTGACTGCATCTTCGAATTGCGGCTCATAGCCAAGGCATCCATGACGACCAGCTGCCTGCATTGTTGCCACCCTTGGTCTTGCAATAGCGAGCAGCTCGCTGGACTTTCTGATCGCCAGTGAATTGGGCCACAAGTTTTTTCGAAAACTCTGGGTCCTCGGCATCTTTGAGAAGACGATTGTGGGTTTTCAGTTTCTCCAGCCCATTCACACGTCCCTGCCACCCTGGCTGTTGGTTTGCCTTTTCGTTTTCAATGAGTTGCTGCAAATAGGCCTCACTGGGCATGGTGTGAGGCCGCATGGCAATCTCGTTGAGCCTCTCCCTGCACTTCTTCATCTTCAAAATCTGCTGCGCCAAGATTTGGTCACTTTTCTTCATATCATCCAGGAGGCCTTGCATGATTTTCTCCTTGTCAAGCCGGCCTTTGTTTGCTTCGTCGTACTTTACCTTCAAGTCATCAAGGGTCTTCTCCTGTGTCTCCATATACCATTCCAAAATGTATGGAAGATTCTGATGCTTGGACCAATGGCACTTTTTGGGGCACTCTTGGCAGTATCCATTCCTCATGACGCAGCAGTTTGCTTTCTGCGCATCATTGGCAAAGATACAGTTGTTGTGGCAAGTCTTGTCACATTCTGTGCAAGTGGTGGTATTGTTGCTGGTGGCAATCTTGCGGAACTTTGGCACCTGCACCTTCAACTTGAAGTCTTTGGCGCCTTCCAGCTGGTCATCAAAGAGAGCAAACTGTGCAGCCTGTTGCTGCAAGGAGTTGGCATATCCCAGGGTCAGTTTCACCTGAGGCCCTAAATTCTCCAAGGTAACCTCAAGCTGTTCGCGTTCACTCATGACCTGCTTGCTCAAGTGCAGGCTCTTGGGGTCCATACCAGACAGCGAATGGAAAAAGTCCGACATGTTTTTCTTCCCCATGTCCCAAAACATCTTGCTCACAGCATCGGTTTCAGAGCCATTGGGGTCCACAAACAAGGCAGAATTGTTGAACTTGAAGAAAGCCCTCATTGGAATGCCACCTGCCCGAACTGCTTCGAGTGCCTGGGGCTTCTCACCATCAGCAAACGTGAAGCAAAGGAGGATGTTGTCCACGATGTCCTTCCCAAACAAACCAAGGATGGCGTTCCAAACATACTGCTGTGACTCTGTCAGACGTGCTGCTGAGGCAGGAGCCACGAAGCAAACACCTGTCAAAATGTCTACGTGTGTTGACATGTCGTGGAAGAACTTCTTCATCTGGTCCACGATCTTGTGGTCGAAATGGAGTCCACGTGTGTCACCAAAGCCCGGAGTGTCAACAATGGTGACATTGCTGTGCACTGGGCTGCCTTTCACAGCCGGGATCTTGTAGGCTGTGATTGCGTCAGTTTGACTGGCAGCGCCTCCTGTTTGCAAACTCTCCTTGGTGACGGTTTGGAGCTCGTCCACAACCTTGAAGCGGATGTTTTCTTCCCACTTCACGTCCAGCAAGTAGTTGAGCATGCCATCTATCTGTGTGGATTTTCCGGCTCCGGTTTGCCCCACGACCAGAATCACAGCTTGCTTCGCAACATCAGCCTCAACGTGTGCAGGAGGAATCTGGGCTTCCATCACACGGAGCGAGCACGGGTGCTGCTTGGGCTCAATGTTCTCACCGAAGGAGTACGTGTACTCTTTGCGGTCTGTCTCCTTGAAAGGCAAGTAGGCCAACTCCAGGCCATTTTTCTTCTCCACTCTCATGGCCTGTGCTCCTCTCAGCACATCCAAGAGCTTTCCTCCGATGGATGGTTCAGCCAGAATGGCTTGGTGCTCCTCCATCACCAGCTCTCCTAGCTTCTTGCGATCTTCCTTGGCAAAACCGCAATCCATAGCGGCTGCCATGAGATCTTCGGGCGTCATCGACATCAGCATACTGACTTGACCATAGTCCCCATTCTCGTGGTTGAACATCTTCAAGGCATACTGCTCCAAGTTCTTCTTCTTCAGGAAGTTGACAAGATCCTCAGGTGCATCAGAGAGGACAAGCTCGAATTCTGTAGAGCTGTCACTGCTTTTGTCACGCATCATGTCAAGAACCTGCAAGAACTTCATACGGGCATCCTTCGCCATGCCCCAATCCACAGCCACATCTCTCAACTCCTCATCTGGCATCTGAAGCAGCTTCTCAGCCTCCTGGATGCTGTTGGCAAATTCAGACAGGCCATTCTCCTTCATCAAGCCGCGCAGTTGCTCCGAACGTTCTACTTGAGCAAGTCGGTCATGCAAAGCTGGAAGGAGCTGCAGAAACCTCTGGCGATTGTCTTTCTTCATGCCAGCATCAGTGGCCACATCTTTCAACTGCTCTTCATCCAGTGCCAACAGTTGGTCCATGTCAACAGGGATCTTGTCAACAAATGTGGACAGATCATACTCCTCCATCAACGCAGTGAAGTGCTTCCACAGATGTTGCTTGGGAAGACTCGCCATCACTTGCAGGAACTGCTTGCGCTGATCCTTGTTCATTCCAGCCTTCGCTGCCAAATCAATCAAATCATCTTGATCCATATCAAGAAGATCAGCAGCATCCACCGGGAAGTGCTTGGCAAAGGCTTCCAAGCCCACCTGTTGAAGAAGTTCTGGCAGGTTCAGGGACGCCATCACTGTCGTGATCTGTCGAGACAGAATATTTGATCTCGGGTGCTGGGAGCTTGACACAAATCGCTGCCAGCCATGCCACAATTGGCCGCACTTGCATTTTCAGAAATGCATGGAAGAGTGCCAATCCAAAGATCCAAATGGTCACACTCGGTGAAACATGTGAAGCTTCACATTTAAAGTGACAGTCGACTGCAACTTGCCTGAAACGTTGGCAAACATCAAACACAGATTTTAGCGGCACAGTGACAAGTCCTTGCCAACGTAGTCCCATCCCAACGTGATATCCGTTGCTGAGGAGGTGATGACATACGGAGCAGATGGGGCCTGGCACAAACATCAGTTGTACAAAAGAGCTATAAGAATTATAAGATCTATTCAATCTATTCCAGCAGCAAAGTCTTCCGCTTTCAGTGTGTGTGTGTGCACGTTTTCACGGTGCAGACATGTTGAGTTTCTTCTCAACGCCATCTGCTGACACACACACACATGTTTCGCAGCTTGCCTCTGGCAGCGCACCGCACACCAAGTCCAGCCTTGATCAAAGCTACCACCACAAACTGCACCAGATTCTTGCTGCATTTTGACGGCAATCGACACCAATAAACATAGATTCCGTGAGGGTATTCTAGGTTAATCCATTCATTAGATCCAATCTACAGATATCTACAGATATCTACAGATACTCCAATAGTTTGATCCATTCATTAGATCCATTCTTAAGGTATCTTTGTTGGGCCACCATTTCACCGCAGTGCTTGGTGGAAATGCAAACTGGGCGGCAGACTGCGAAGTCCAGCTACCGCACTCGTTGATGTTGCAAGCGCGAACCTGCCAGCGGGATCCACGGGGGCAATGGGTTTCTGGCTGCTGGTTTCAGCAAAAAAAGTGCACAAACTTATCGTGAACTCCACCGGGATTCAGCAAACATCAACAAACAACACAAATGTGGTTGAGAGTTGGATTCGACCCATGGTCAAATTTAGCTCCACAGAGTAGCTATGCAGGTGCGCCTCAAAGCGGTAGGTGTTGCCAGCCGTCAAAGGCGTAGAAGGACTTGCCTAGCAGCTTCCATTGGTCAGTACCGGGACCAATGAAATGCACGTGCAAAAGTCATCCAAAAACTCGTGAGCATCAACTTAAGACATCTGAATGGCAGGTTCAATTAGCTGACCACTGCATTCTCAGCAAACAGGTCATAGAAAATCTCAACTGACACCCATTTCTGCTTCCAAGATGAGTTGGAATTCTGAGCCGCTGGCAACTTTGAAGGCAGGCGATGTGGTGATCGTTTGCACCGCTGTGATGGTGGTTTGATCGTTCCACCGCACCTAGAAGGCGCCAGCAACTGGCAGTTTTGGACAACATATGAGGGTTTCCTTAAATGGGGGTACCCCAAAAATGGGTGGGTTGAAAAAATGGAAAATCCCTATTGAAATGGATGCGAGTTTTACACAATGTTACATATTCCCCTAATAGGCCCTAAAACTGTCAAGGGGGGAGGGTATATCCTCCATATTCCCTGGCCATTCAACCATCGAAGGGGACAAAGTGGTCCCCTGCAGTGCCTCGTAGCGGATGATGGCGGCTTCATTGGCATGGACTGCTGCTGGAGTATCCCATCCAACCTGGCGGGTGGCCTTCCTGGGGACTGCATGGGGTGAAGGGTAAAGCCACAGGATACCATAGATTTTACCATGGAAAGTGGAAAATGGTGGATTTTTTTGTGCAACTGTAAATATTCCCTTTGTCCAATTCTTGGAGTGTGAGACTTGTTCGTAATAAAGCATGCTGGGATCTGTAGGTCACCCCATGCCTGCAAGGTGTAGATGGAAGAGGACACATACCTGCAATCAGCAAGCAGCTGGTAGCTACCAACTACTGGTATCACAGATCCTATCTCACCCACGAGGCATTTTGGATGGAGAACATGCCCAGATCTTCAAGCAAGTGTCTGAAATGCGCCACAGTCAAAAACAAGAGGGTGCCAGGGTGCAACTGCATTTGCCAACCTATGCCAAACTTTATACTGCACATCAATACTGGCGAAAATTCTGGGTAAAGCCAGCATGGGGCATGCTGCTTCTCAAGGGGACCATCCACAGGGCCTGAAGTTCTGTGGAACGCCAGGTGCTTCGGACGCCGCAAAGGAGGAAATGCCGCTGTAGGCACCCATGCCTTCGGTGTCCAGTCATCATCCCATTTGGACCATGCCACATACTGCAACTTGACTATGGTGTGGTAAACCCAATTGCCATAAACTACCATTTGGGGGATGATTTTCAATCCCAGCCACATTTATGGCATCGGGTCATTGGGTTACACCACATTGATATCCACTACCAAGTCGCCAGTGGCAACTGAGACACCAACCATTGGCGTTGCTGGCTCGGATCTGGCGCGGGACAGCTGGCGCATGAGATTGAGATGTGGCGATTGGGATCAACACCCTATTCATTGGGAATAACCTCTGGTAATTTTTGACATAGCTATTGAAAATGGCCCTTGATAGTGGATTTTCCCATTAATAGCAGGGTGATTTTCCATAGTTATGTTAGTTTACCAGAGGGTACAAACACACATCAACTCCCAGCTATGGGATTCACCGAGGTCCTACATCTGAGTGCAATGCCTGGAATCGGTAGGTCTCTCCCGTGTTCAGAGTATCCTGTCTGTGGGTCAGAGCCGTTCCCGCCTCAGAAAACATTTGATCAGAGATGCGACACCAAGTGGTGCTGGTATCCATTTTATCCATTTGTTGTGGATGAATAGCTTTTGTCATTTGACTACCTAGAGATGATGGTATCAATGGTATCCACTTTTATAGTTTAAGCCAAAGTTCTACAATGAAAAATATGATGGCGCAGGATTTCTCTTCTATTGATGGTATTGTTGTGTATGGTTCTGACTGGGTCTCTGGCATAGATCTGGTTCACAATGCTTCCACCCGTTCCAGCGCCATTGTCGAAGTACAACTCATACCTCAACAAGCAAATGTGGGCCATATTCATCCATATTCAACAACTCAAATCAGCATAAACATGCATAAGCTATGAAGGATTCAATTGAATTGTCCTCTCATTCACAGCAAAAACACACCTTGATCCGAGGCGTCCACTGCGTGATGGCCAAGCCAGTTGGCGCTGTCCAGGACACCTGCCATTCGGCAGTCCAAGTGGCCAACAGAAACCTCAGGTCATACTGATGATCTTTTTTGGATCATGTGCAACCCGGTTGCTATGATTATTATCATATGATACCATATATATATACAGTATACGATAGATACAAGCATTGTAGTGGTAGAAGATGTTCCAATTGTACAATGATGAACGATAAAACCCAACCATTCGATGTTTTGTAAGTCTGATTGTAGAAGCATCAGGGACCATTTATCTTTAGCATCAAACCCCAATCCTTGCCAGTTGATGAACCATTAACCCGCTACAGATTCTGATTGATAGTTTACTATAGCGATAGTGGATCAATCATCAAAGTCCGATTCATTTTTGAGTTGTCCTAAAATCTCAAAAAAATCACTGCGGATTGCGCTTCTTACCCTCTAGTAAATTATCAAAGACCCTGAACCAAGTTCTGCCAAGTCGTGGAAACTCATCTTCCAACCCCGACTGATGGAAGGGTCTATGTTCATTTGGATGATGATGAACAATCTCCCACTTTTTTGGAGGATTTTCCGATTTTCCCAGCTGTAAACCTCTATTTGTTGTTCGGGAATTTCCCAGCGGAAAATGCCATGTTTCATGATACCGGAAGGTCACCATTCATGATGATTCATCACTGTAATGGTGATGACATTAAGCACTATCATTTAATTCATCACCAATCAATTCATGGTAAGTCACTATAATTCCAAAAAAAATAATCATTGGTCACCTATTACTAACCATCACATTTCATCACCATGACATTATTCCACGAATCGCAGCTTCCCCCTGGCACCCCATCCCCACCTCAATGCTGGTCTGCGTGGCTGCCACCAAAGTCAATGGGTCGGCAGCGAAGGATGGCAGTGCTCCGGCCTTGGAGAGGCACACCGGGCCACATCACTGCCACTTATATCATATATGTAATATATATAATATAATGTACACATATATATATATATGTATATATGTATATATATATATCTATATATCGTATATATTACAATAGTAAAATTTATTGTATAATATTGTATAATATTGTATATGATGATTCTATGCTTACAGGGACGACCCGCTGTTGGCCTTGATTGAAAAATGGATGTTGGATATGTTGGATGACGTATTCGGCTTGAAAATCAGAAGAAAGCTGAGAGATTTTGATCAAACACCAGTGGAAAAGTGACTCTAGAAATACATAAAAAAATACCCCATGAGACTGCAAACAACCAACTTAAGTTCGTAGTTCAATAGAACTTTCTGGTTGAAAATCACAACAGCTTGCATGTTGCATGTTGCTCAAGTTGCCCATGATACCAATATATATATATATATATTATTATAATCTAACCAAGCAACACTAGAATATGGGAAAACCATCTCCACCAATATCCATTCATCAGTATATTCCCATCTTAATAATTATTACCGAACAATAGTGATGAACAATTGACCAATATTCATAATCAACCAATTATATCATATCATATCCAATCAATATCCAACAAATAATGATAACATCTAATACTTTAAGCATTGATTAGCCAAACATATCCAGTCATATCAATACATCATGCCAATGAATCACGATTCTCGATTCGGATCCCCCATCACCTGAGGACCACACCGTAACTTCCAAGCCTCCCGTGGGAGAGCCAACCTGCAACTGAGGGCTATCCGTCCAACAAAATCCATGGGGGGCCAGGAGAGTTGGAGCTGGGAAATTTGACCTTCCCAACTCCAACTGAGATAGTCAGTGCTTTTATTCCCATGAAGATCAAACATGTTCACAGGAGATGTTTTTGTCGCAAAGTTCGGGGGGGCCTGGTCGCAGATTTTGGAAAATCCTGGGCTGAGGGCCCCCACATCGCAGTTGTCAGCCGCGCACACATAGACCTGCTGATTTTTGAGGATTTTAGTTCCAGGATGATCATCGGATGATCACCCAAAAATGGAGCTTAAAAAGACAGCATTTTCAATTCATGATTTAATCATGACACAAAATCCTGTGAGGTTGGATGATTACTGTCCCAAAACGAAACCTGGAGATTTGATCCTCAAAGATGACATGTTTTCCAATCTGTTCAGCCCAATTTTCAGCTCAATTTCTGGCAACGAGAGCCCAGCCATGAAGCCGTAAGTGGTGCCAGCTTGCAGACCTTGCTGCACGTGGTAGAGGACCTCAATCTCCCAAGGTTGATGATTTCGGTGTTTCACTGTACCATATATATATATCTGAAGAGTCTGAAGATGACATGAAGAAATGCCATGTTCAAAGTTGATCAAAGTTGTCTTCCAAATCTCTGAGGCTCCGGCTGATGGTCCCGCATCATGTGCCAGGGAGTATGGATTGGAGCCTTGTCGCATATAGACCTGTCACGAAACGGCCATATCTTCGCAGAAAAATGGCTGTTCAATTGGACCGAAACTGATGAAGACTCACTAAAAAAGAGTCCAGCAAGTTCTCCAGTACTCATTTCCAGAATCTTGACCAAACAGAAATAACAGCAGAATCACCAGTTATCAGAAATAACAGTTGATAATCAACAGAAACAACAGAATCATTATCAGTTTTCACCAGTTGATCCAGTGGATCACCTTGTAGCCAGTGATGAGAGCACCCAGGCAGCCTGCGACAATGGCAGCCACTGTTCACCGTTGTGCGGCCTTCATCGGTTTTTATATGTTTTTATTCAAACGTGGAACCAGAATCAACACATATTAAAACAAAATAACTGATTAGTAACATAGCATAATTACCAGTTGATATACAAAATAACTGGATCAAAATAACATAGCATAGCTGTATAGATCTGTATAGCATAATTACCGGCGTTTTTACAACCACTTGTTGCTTCTCCGGACCTCATCCCATGCCATGGGAAACCCACCTGTGGAGGCCGGTGGGGTCCACACCAACTTCACCGAGTAATCCGTGTGTTCCGTGGCCACAAAGCTGGCCACTGGATCTGGCCTGGAGCGGGTGGAAGGTGGGCATCATGGATTAATGGTGGCTTTAATGGTGGCTTTAATGGTGGATTTTGTGGGAATTGAATGGGTCTGGCTCAATGCCCAGAATATCCCAGAATTCAATGGATATAACATGATATGACCTGAAAATGGATATCTAGGCGAGCTACAAGGATGATTCCCATCCAATTCCCATCCAGTGACGTCAGAGGTCATTTTTTTTCCGGCCAGAATTTATGGCAAGTTGATGTCGGGTAAACCATGGGACAAGGATGCTTGAAACCACACTTAGGATGTGGAGGGATCTTGGGAGGACAAACATATGGAGGCCAGCCAAACAATGGGTTATCCTTATTCATAGAAAACCATCCGATTACATATCCAAGTCAGTGGGGATAAGTTTAGTATGACCCATCCAAGTTTGCATTTGGGGCAGCGATATTTTGAGTCGGAAACGGGATCAAATCATCCACTTTACATCTTGAGGTTGATCGGCTTGAGCCCAACTCATATTTGTGGCCCTGGAAAACATGCAAACAAACTGGCTGCGGGATACGAGATCCGTCTGAAAGCATCAAAAACCATCGGAAATTCCCATTTGTTCAGCAGAAATACAGGATTCTCCAGCAATCTCAGATAAAATTTGCTCCCTGGAGATCTCATTCTCTTGTAAAAGTAACTATAGCTATGGACAATCACAATATTTAAAAGGTAAATCATCATTTAAAAAAATCTATCAATGGCCCATTTTCGCTATAATAACCGAAGGGTAATGGCTGAGATCCATTGAAACCTTCTGAGTTCCCGGGCAATGCACAGACTTGGGTACGATAGACTGGACTTGCCTCAGCTGCCAAGCTCGAGCGAAAGCAATGGAAAATTCCGGCCGTTTATGTCATCATATCATACCAATATGTCTATATATAACATATATACTATCTAAAAATAGGTGTAATTATCGATAATAGATGAGAACAGGTGATAGATGATAACAAGTGAAAACAAGTGATAACACATAGTAATAGATGGTAATACGTCATAAATAACAATACACAATAATAATGATAAATCGTGATAAATCAAAGGATTTCGGCACATATTTCTTCCGTGCAGCCATTACCAGTGATTGCCTGGTAGCCCGCGCCTGTGACAAACCAATGGCATTCTCCGCGTAGACCACGAAGCGTAGGAACTTTCCTTCCGGCCTGGCGTTGTGCTGAGGAAACCTGCAGAACTTCCGGGGCCCATCTTCGCAAAGCTATGCAAAGCTTGGAAGAAAAGGTGGTGAAAGTTGAAAGGATATGAAAAGCATTGAAAAGCTATAGATTGGCAACATTTTCATGACCCCAAAAGAACAGTCATAAGAACAGGATGATTTTAAGAACATTCTGGATCCGTTCTTCCACAATCTCCAATGCCATCCGACCCAAGCATGCCAGGTATCGCAGAGAATCGACGGTGTCGGAGAAGGTGGAACTGCTGTAGGTCCTCATTGCTGGTTTTCTCCAACAGTCACAGGGATTTACCCTCGTTCTTAGTGGTGTTATAAAACCAACCACGACGTGGACATAATTCATGGGATACACAACCAACACATATATATATATAATATAATATATATATAATATATATAATATATATATATATAATATATATAATATATATATAATATATATAATATATATATATATATTAATATACATATATATATATATTAATATACATATATATATATATATATTAATATATCTTATTTGGTTTTGTCCGGAATGGGTGATGGACCCCAACAGAAATTGTCGAGGAACTGTTGCAAAAAAAAAGGAGAGAATGCAAAGAATGTCGGGGTCTACTTGGCTTACCCAGCACATCAGATCTGAAGTGAAGTGCATTCCAAAGCCAACATGATTCGAAAGTCCCGTGTCCTGTTGTTGCTGAAGTCGGTGTAGTCACCGCTGTCGTAGGAGAGGACATATCCTGTGTACAGCAGATTGACTTGTGACAAACTCATAGTGCTGAGCAGGACTGTACCAGAAAACGGCAATCTTTTCTCAGGTCAGGACTGTACAAAATATTCAAAGAATCATTGGTCTAGTTGCTATGAATATACTCTGGTAATTTGTTACATAGCTATTGAAAATGGCTATTTATAGTGAATTTTCCCATTAAATATGGTGATTTTCCATAGTTATGTTAGTTGCTATGAATATACTCCATCTTATGCTGGTTGGTGCTTTTCCCTCTTGAAACATCTCACCTGTGATGGGCGAACTGCCGTCATTACTTGGAACTGTCCAGACGAGCTGTACCGACCTGGGAGGACCGGGCAGGAGGACCGTTGTTTTGCCCAGAAAGCCATGGGGGAGTTTACAGGGATGTTTATACCAAGCAAACATGGCATGTTATCATGTTACCAACAAAGAAGTGGGGATGTATCAAGAAGAAATGTGGATTTGGCAACACAGATCTGGACATTATCAAAATTCAAGAAGAAATGTGGAGTTATTATGAAAAACAGGGATAGCACTCCCAGAAATAGGGATGAAAATGATAGAGTGCAATGATGCAAGGTGGTACACCCTAGCCCTATCAAATATTAGTTGGAAGCCCAAAAAAAATAGTTGAGAAATGATCATTACCAAACTCCTGCAATCAAAGACACACAAGCTGCCATTGTTGACTTCCTTTGGGCAAGCTATGGCAAGCCTCAAAACCAATGCTTAATAGAAATTGACCATACATGGTTATAAAATGTTATAAATTGCTAAGATCCTGAACTTAGTTGACTTCCCAAACTGTCCTGGTTCATATCCCAAATGTCGCTGTAGTTGTGGTGCTCATCTCCCAAACCAACCATCTCAGTTGCCCCGGCGTGGTGGTGCGGTTTTCTGCAGGATCACGAGCAGGAGCATCCATCCTGGCAGGACTTCCAACATCTGCAACCAATGTGGGGCTTTTGCAAAAATGGTTGATAAACACCAATCAACAATGATAAACCATGGTAAATCATCATAAACCTTGAACATCCATCAGTTTCTCATAGTTTATCATGGTTTATTCCCCATGAAGATGACCATCAAATTGGGCTGACCTCCCTTTCTAGAAACAGTCGGCCATATCTTCCACCAATGTTTTTGATGCGACATGGCTTGAAGAGATGGACACCATCCAAGGCCGGATCCAAGCTCTGTACGGGTTTCAGACTCTGGTCCCGTGTTTTAACATGCCAATCATGAACTGCTAGAGCCAACATCCAACAGCCAAACCCTGTGGAGGAAACCCAACACGATCCGCTGCCAGCATCCCCCCCAATTCTTGCTATTCATAGAATATATATAGAAATTATAATGGAATTATAATGGATCATGACAAGTGATGATAATCACCTCCAAAAACATTGGGCACCAATGAGTCACTAGAAGCTCCATTTTTTTCCTCACCACTTCCAGCATCAGAGATGCTAAGCTGCTAAGCCATGCCAGGTTCTCTGTGTTGGCACCGTTCCTCCTGGAACCAACGTCTCTGAAGACCTTGGTGGTATGAGTCACTCATGGAACATGAAAAACCATGAAAAACCAACTTTTTGTTTATCTTCTTTAAAAAAAAGGAACAACTTGAACTTCCACTTCGACTGGGGTGCTTTTCTCCCCACATGTGTGCTGTTTAAATCCGTAGAGTTTTTGTATGTTTTTGTGGTCTAAATACCTCCCTGTTGCACCGATTAAGGCCATGGCTGCAAGGATTCCCCAGCTGCATTCAGCGCAGTGGCAGCAAATTTGTAGATGAGGCCACCTCTTTTTCAGCCATACAGGGGGAGCACCAAATTCAAGCCGTCAACCCAACAACAAACCACGGTCAACCACTTGATGATTCTAATTGTGTACATTAACTTCTCTATATCTTTACCCATTTGATGATTGGTTTACACTTGAAAGGCCACTACACATTCGAATGATGATACTTGATATCAATTGATATACTTTTTTCATGACTGTTTTCAACATCCTGAAACATCTAGACATATCTAGAGCATTTCCCCTTTTTTCAGGTGCTTTAATTACTGGCTTTACCACCCATTTTCCACGTGTTTTCCCTTTGAGTCCGAGACCTGAAAGGCCTGTGACTGTGAAGGACGTGATCTGAGGTTGTCCTTGACCTGGAATGCGAAAAACTCTGGAGACCCCCATGGTTCCCATTGGGAAAATGATATTTGTCCATTCAGAAGGTGGGAGTTTTCATATGTTTTCCACATCGTGTGGTTGGTTTAGAGGAGTTTATATAATGAACTTGTCTATCTACTTGGGGGAATCTTGGGGACCTATCTAGATTCCTCTACAATAAAAAGGGCTACATGCGTCTTGAGTCTGCTGTTGCTTGCACCCCTACATCTAAATGGTAGCCGCGGTAGCCCTAGTCGCCCCATGACTCCCATGAACCAGCCATCTCTGCGTTGCGGACCGTTCCACAGCACGATGTTGATCGGATCGTTGGCTCCATTATTCCTGTCAAGGTCTGCTACCCTCTCACTGTTGGACTTCGGTAGCGCGGTACATGGTATCATCTCCATGTTTTTTAAAGCACAGTATCAGATTCACCAACAAAAATTGATGGCTTCGCAACTTCTATAGTGTCTTCCCTGTTCTCAAGAGAGTTTTTTCCTGTCTTAACAACTTTTTCTGCCGAACTGGTGGATTCCCCAATTGTTTAACAATTGCCATCAACAATGGACTGGTTTTAGGAAAAACTTTACCGGAAAACCAGGATGACTTTCAACTTTCAACAGTGTGGGTTTCAACTTTCAACCCTAAAGTTTCCATTCTTCATCCATTTCCTCAGATGTTCATCAGATTTTGCTGCAGAGTTCCCACCTGTAAAGCTTGTATCCCAGCAGTTGCGAGCCACCGGAGTTCGCTGGAGGGGTCCAGGAAACTTGCAGCCTCAAGCCCCATGTCTTGGCTGGAGGGTCAAGGGTAGGGGAACCAACATGGAACCAACGGTCCCACGTACTGACCATGTCCTATTGAACACAGAGCATCAAATATTGGCGGCCCAACAATCATGAGCCGTCGACATCGAATTCCGAATGTCGCAAGTTCTGTACAGTAATTGGTTGTAACATGTTGAAACTCTTCACAAGTCTCCTTGGCATTTCCCCCCAAACTACAGGGCTGCTCCCAACAGCTCAGATACAGAACTCGATAAAAAAGTGGCCAAACATGACATCTTCCCGCCCTCCCCAAAAACTCATAGCTATGATTCACCGTGAATTGCTGGGAGCAACCCTGTGGAAATCATTTTAACATATTTTAACTACTTGGTCAATGGCACAAAAATCAGTGGAACTTCACCTATCTGCCCATACTTCACCCTTTCTCGGCTCTGAGATTCTGACCCACTCTGAGTGCGTGAGGAAGCCACCACTGTGGGTGCGCCTGGTGGATCCTCGGTGCGGCACTGCCGTTTCATGTCCGACTTCGTTCATGACTCCCAATCTCCCAAAGAAATGATGATATGTGAGGATATGTGACATCTTCGAAAAAAGAACAGCTATTTTTGATCAAGCAAATCTCGAAATTCTAGAGATCTTTTTTCCAGATCTACATCTATGTTTCTTCGCTGCTCCTATCAGCAACATCTTAGCAGCCCCACCGGTGCAGCAGCAGCATAGAGTTGGATCTGGCAGGATCTCAAGATTCGATCGGTGGATCTTCATCAAAAATGATGTTTTTTGTTTAGGCTGAGGGAATAGCTGGAGATTGGATAACATATTATAAATATATATATACATATGTAAATTATATAATAATATGTATTATGATAGTATCGTTTTTTTTTGATTATAGCATATTATAACTATAGTGGGATTTGTTCTATGGATTTCAAAGATGGTTTGACCAGCAAAGATTGGAATGTACGGATGATCATTGGGATAATTCTTCTTGGGGAAAAAATAATTCCATGTCTTGCCTATCAAAGATAGGGCTAAGGCCTAGGGGTTTCAAACCAATCGAGTGAACATCGTTGTTCAATTGCTAGGGTGAGAACCGCTTGTTTCCCAGTCAACATTGCCACAACATATATTGAAATTCATGGTTCCGAGACGTAATTTTGAAATGTACGGGGATGTGTTGAGACCTTCTGTTCCTCAAGAGTTGTAAACAATGGTTAACGGTTAAAATGTTCATGAAATTATTTGCTACTGAGATCAGATGTCAGGCAGACTCTTCGCATCTTTAACTATAAACATTTGCCATGCAAATGGATGTTCGTTCGCTGCCATTTTTTTTTCAGCAACAGTTTCAACATGTTTCAATATGTTTCAATGTGCGGATATCTGCCTCAGCATAGTTGGGCACTATGTCCGTCAGTGCATTGGTGTCAACCACCCGATTGGCAGCTGCCACCTGTGTTCACCGGGATGACTTTGGGACGGGGCGAATGACCCAGGGGTCCAAACAGAGGTTACCTACCGAAAAAAAAAAACATTGCAACGGAAAATCCACCATTTATAAATTTATAGCTTATTATAAATTTATAGCTTATTTGTGGATTTTCCCATGTAAATGCTCATATTATAGGGGGATGGGCCCCAGCGAGTCGTGTTTCATTAGCAGAGGGTAGTGTTCCTTTGGAGGTTCAAAAACCATTCATCAATTCGCGTTTTTGTGGATACCCAGCAGATCTACCAGGTGTTTCTCAGTTGCCAGCAGCTCCGGGCGCCTTCAGGACATAGTAATACCCCAAGGTCAAGCCAGTCACCGTGTAGGTGGCCGTGGTGGGATAATTCACACCATCCGTGGCATCCACGAAAGTGGTTCCACCCAACCTTGGCTGTTGAGAATTCAGCAGAACCGATGGCGGATTGTTGATAAAAATGGTGGATACCAATGGAAAATGCCAAGTATCATGAGGAAAATGGTGATAAAACATGTAAAGCATGAATACACCATGCAATATTTAGTGTTCCCCAATAATTTTTGAAATAAACCCATGGATCCTTAAGAAACCCCCTCTACTGTCGTGGGCAGCGCGCGCTTTTGGTCACAATCCACTTGGAGTGCTCTCAGCCATCTCTACCTGAAGCAGGTTGACTCACCAATTGGTTCAAGATGGTGGTATCACATTGGGATCATTGTTGGGATGACTGGAATAATCCTGATACTTGGGAGCTTGGGAGCTTGGGAGCTTGGGGGATGGTTCACCGGAAACCAACAGATTTTACATGATTTTACCATCAAGATCTGATTGTTTCTTGTAAATCTTCTCACCAGTTCTGGGACTCACATAGGTCATCTCTGCCGTATCCGCAGGCGACGGATCCGGCCTCAATGGGCTCGGTTTTCCCAATCTTCGAGGCGCGCACCTGGAGAGTTGGGAGCCATGATCCCATGGTTGGAGCGAGATAAACCCATCTAACCCATCTTATCCAACCAAGGTCTTGTCTCAATCAACTTTGCAAGTCGCGACTTGACCACCCCACAGGCGAGTGTGCCCTGGCCCTGCTGTTGTGACCCTGCATTGTTGCCTTTCACTGCTGTAGGTTGCCAACCTACACCCATAACATGCCTCAAGTTGGCCTTGGCCCTGCTGTTGTGACCCTGCATTGTTGCCGTTCACTGCTGTAGGTTGCCAACCTACACCCATAACATGCCTCAAGTTGGCCCTGGCCCTGCTGTTGTGACTCTACATTGTTGCCTTTCACTGCTGTAGGTTGCCAACCTACACCCATAACATGCCTCAAGTTCGGTTGGCCCTGCTGTTGTGACCCTGCATTGTTGCCTTTCACTGCTGTAGGTTGCCAACCTACACCCATAAACATGCCTCAAGTTCGGTTGGCCCTGCTGTTGTGACCCTGCATTGTTGCCTTTCACTGCTGTAGGTTGCCAACCTACACCCATAACATGCCTCAAGTTCGGTTGGCCCTGCTGTTGTGACCCTGCATTGTTGCCGTTCACTGCTGTAGGTTGCCAACCTACACCCATAAACATGCCTCAAGTTCGGTTGGCCCTGCTGTTGTGACCCTGCATTGTTGCCGTTCACTGCTGTAGGTTGCCAACCTACACCCATAACATGCCTCAAGTTCGGTTGGCCCTGCTGTTGTGACCCTGCATTGTTGCCTTTCACTGCTGTAGGTTGCCAACCTACACCCATAACATGCCTCAAGTTCGGTTGGCCCTGCTGTTGTGACCCTGCATTGTTGCCTTTCACTGCTGTAGGTTGCCAACCTACACCCATAACATGCCTCAAGTTCGGTTGGCCCTGCTGTTGTGACCCTGCATTGTTGCCGTTCACTGCTGTAGGTTGCCAACCTACTCCCATAACATGCCTCAAGTTCGGTTGGCCCTGCTGTTGTGACCCTGCATTGTTGCCGTTCACTGCTGTAGGTTGCCAACCTACACCCATAACATGCCTCAAGTTCGGTTGGCCCTGCTGTTGTGACCCTGCATTGTTGCCGTTCACTGCTGTAGGTTGCCAACCGGTAAAAGGATCACTTTGGAACACACTCTCAGGCATCACTTTAGAACACAGCCATTTTGCATCACTTTAGAACACAAAATAAAACATCTCATGGAAACCCCGCCATACACACAAACACACATCAGATTTACTGACAGGCGCGAGACTTTGGAAGAAAAACGCGTTCCAAAGCGAGACCAACACAAAAAACCTCCTCGTATGAGAATTTGACTCGTTTCAACCATGTCATAAAGTCCCACGCCTGCCACGTAAAAAGACAGTCGATGTACAAAAGTGCCACACCTGCCACGCAAAATGAAGGTCGATGTCAAAAGGTCCCACGCCTGCCACAGAAAATGAAGGTGAATATATGAAACAAAAGCCTTGTTGTACTTGATGTAAGAAGAGCAACGAGACCTTTAGGGTTTATATGTTGTTGCACTTGATGTAAGGACTGCCACGACACCTTTAGGGTTGCACTTGATGTAAGGACTGCCACGACACCTTTAGGGTTTATATGTTGTTGCACTTGATGTAAGGACTTCCACGACACCTTTAGGGTTTACATGTTGTTGCACTTCATGTAATAAGAGCCACGACACCTTTAGGGTTTACATCTTGTTGCACTTGATGTAAGAAGAGCCACAGCACCTTTAGGGTTTACATGTTGTTGCACTTCATGTAATAAGAGCCACGACTCCTTTAGGGTTTACATGTCGTTGAGGGTTTACATGTTGTTGCACTTCATGTAAGAAGAGCCACGACACCTTTAGGGTTTATATCTGGTTGCATTTAATCTAAGAAGAGCCACCACACCTTTAGGATTTATATCTTGTTCTACTGAGTGCCACGACACCTTTAGGGTTTATATCTTGTTACACTTGATGTAAGAAGAGCCACGGCACCTTTAGGGCTTATATCTTGTTGCACTAGATGTAAGAAGAGCCACGACACTTTTAGGGTTTACATTTTGTTGCACTTCATGTAAGGAGTGCCACGACACCTTTAGGGTTTAATTACATGTTGTTGCAATTCATGTAACAAGAGCCAGGACACCTTTGAGGTTCTTATCTTGTTGCACTTGATGTCTTGTTGCACTTGATGTAAGAAGAGCCACGACACCTTTAGGGCTTTAGGGTTTATATCTTGTTGCACTTGATGTAAGAAGAGCAACGGCACTTTTAGGGCTTATATCTTGTTGCACTTGATGTAAGAAGAGACAAATTTTGTTGCACTTGATGTAAGAAGAGCCACGACACCTTTAGGGTTAATATCTTGTTGCACTTAATGTAAGGAGAGCCACGACACCTTTAGGGTTTATATCTTGTTGCACTTGATGTAAGAAGAGGCACGACACCTTTAGGGTTTTATGTTGTTGCACTTGATCTAAGGACTGCCACGACACCTTTAGGGTTTATATCTTGTTGTACTTGATGTAAGGAGTGCCACGACACCTTTAGGGTTTAAATCTTGTTGCGCTTAATGTAAGAAGAGCCACGACACCTTTAGGGTTAATATCTTGTTGCACTTAATGTAAGGAGAGCCACGACACCTTTAGGGTTTATATCTTGCTGATGATGATGATGAGGAGGATGACGATGGCGATGATGATGATGATGACGACGATGATGATGATGGTGTTGGCGGCGAAGAAGAAGAATAAATATGCTGAAGAAAAATAGAAGAAACTTGATGATGCTGCTGATGATGATCGTGCTGTTGACGATGAGGATAATGAGGAGGATGAGGCTGATGAGGAAGAGGATGGCCAAAAAGAAGAAGAAGACGAAGAAGACGAAGAAGAAGAAGAAGAAGAAGAGGAATAAACGGAAGAAGAAGCATGGTGCAAATGCTGATGATGATGGTGAGGAATGAAGATGATGATGACGACGATGATGATGATGATGACGACGACGACGATGATGATGATGATGATGGTGAGGAGGCGCGTTCGAAAGCGATGCATGAGAGCGCGTTCCGAAGCAATGCCTGAAGACGCGTTCCGAAGCGAGGCCCTTACCTTGCCAACCTACACCCATAACATGCCTCAAGTTCGGTTGGCCCTGCTGTTGTGACCCTGCATTGTTGCCTTTCACTGCTGTAGGTTGCCAACCTACACCCATAACATGCCTCAGTTCGGTTGGCCCTGCTGTTGTGACCCTTCATTGTTGCGTTCCACTGCTGTAGGTTGCCAACCTACACCCATAACATGCCTCAAGTTCGGTTGGCCCTGCTGTTGTGACCCTGCATTGTTGCCTTTCACTGCTGTAGGTTGCCAACCTACACCCATAACATGCCTCAAGTTCGGTTGGCCCTGCTGTTGTGACCCTGCATTGTTGCCGTTCACTGCTGTAGGTTGCCAACCTACACCCATAACATGCCTCAAGTTCGGCTGGCCCTGCTGTTGTGACCCTGCATTGTTGCCGTTCACTGCTGTAGGTTGCCAACCTACACCCATAACATGCCTCAAGTTCGGTTGGCCCTGCTGTTGTGACCCTGCATTGTTGCCGTTCACTGCTGTAGGTTGCCAACCTACACCCATAACATGCCTCAAGTTCGGTTGGCCCTGCTGTTGTGACCCTGCATTGTTGCCGTTCACTGCTGTAGGTTGCCAACCTACACCCATAACATGCCTCAAGTTGGCCCTGCTGTTGTGACCCTGCATTGTTGCCGTTCACTGCTGTAGGTTGCCAACCTACACCCATAACATGCCTCAAGTTGGCCCTGGCCCTGCTGTTGTGACCGTGCATTGCTGCCTTCAGCTACTGTAGGTTGCCAACCTACACCCATAACATGCCTCAAGTTCGGTTGGCCCTGCTGTTGTGACCCTGCATTGTTGCCGTTCACTGCTGTAGGTTGCCAACCTACACCCATAACATGCCTCAAGTTCGGTTGGCCCTGCTGTTGGGACCCTGCATTGTTGCCGTTCACTGCTGTAGGTTGCCAACCTACACCCATAACATGCCTCAAGTTCGGTTGGCCCTGCTGTTGTGACCCTGCAGTGTTGCCGTTCACTGCTGTAGGTTGCCAACCCTACACCCATAACATGCCTCAAGTTCGGTGGCCCTGATGTTGGACCTGCATTGCGGGCCTTTAAATAATGTAGGTTGCCAAACCGCACCTATAGTATGCTCAAGGTTCGGGTGCCCTGCTGCTTGGACCCCTGCATGGTTGCCGTTCACTGCTGTAAGGTTGCCAACCTACACCCGATACAATGCCTCAAGTTCGGTTGGCCCTGCTGTTTGTGACCCCCCCCCCCGCCGCCAATTGGTTGCGTGTCTCCCGCAACCTACTGCTGTAGGTTGCCAACCTACACCCATAACATGCCTCAAGTTCGGTTGGCCCTGCTGTTGTGACCCTACATTAATGCCCTTCACTGCTATAGGTTGCCAACCTACATCCATAACATGCCTCAAGTTGGCCTTGGCCCTGCTGTTGTGACCTTGCATTGTTGCCGTTCACTGCTGTAGGTTGCCAACCTACACCCACAACATGCCTCAAGTTCAGTTGGCCCTGCTGTTGTGACCCTACATTAATGCCCTTCACTGCTATAGGTTGCCAACCTACACCCATAACCTGCTGCATTGTTGTCGTTCACTGCTGTAGGTTGCCAACCTACACCCATAACATGCCTCAAGTTGGCCCTGGCCCTGCTGTTGTGACCCTACATTGTTGTCCATCACTGCTGTAGGTTGCCAACTACACCCATAACATGCCTCAAGTTGGCCCTGGCCCTGCTGTTTGGACCCTACATTGTTGTCCTTCACTGCTGTAGGTTGCCAAACTACACCCATAACATGCCGCAAGTTGGCCCTGGCCCTGCTGTTGTGACCCTACATTGCTGCCTTTAACTGCTGTAGGTTGCCAACCTACCCACAACATGCCTCAAGTTGGCCCTGGCCCTGCTGTTGTGACCCTACATTGTTGCCCTTCACTGCTGTAGGTTGCCAACCTACACCCATAGCATGCCTCAAGTTGGCCCTGGCCCTGCTGTTTGGACCCTACATTGTTGCCCTTCACTGCTGTAGGTTGCCAACCTACACCCATAGCATGCCTCAAGTTGGCCCTGGCCCTGCTGCTTGGACCCTACATTGTTGCCCTTTACTGCTGTAGGTTGCCAACCTACACCCATAACATGCCTCAAGTTGGCCCTGGCCCTGCTATTTGGACCCTACATTGTTGTCCTTCACTGCCGTAGGTTGCCAACCTACACCCATAACATGCCGCAAGTTGACCCTGGCCCTGCTGTTGTGACCCTACATTGCTGCCTTTAACTGCTGTAGGTTGCCAAGCTACACCTATAGTATGCCTCAAGTTGGCCCTGGCCCTGCTGTTGTGACCCTACATTGTTGCCCTTCACTGCTGTAGGTTGCCAACGTACACCCATAGCATGCCTCAAGTTGGCCCTGGCCCTGCTGTTGTGACCCTACATCGTTGCCCTTCACTCCTGTAGGTTGCCAACCTACACCTATAGTATGCCTCAAGTTGGCCCTGGCCCTGCTGCTTGGACCCTACATTGTTGCCCTTTACTGCTGCAGGTTGCCAACCTACACTACACCCATAACATGCCTCAAGTCGGCCCTGGCCCTGCTGTTTGGACCCTACATTGTTGTCCTTCACTGCTGTAGGTTGCCAACCTACACCCATAGCATGCCTCAAGTTGGCCCTGGCCCTGCTGTTTGGACCCTACATTGTTGTCCTTCACTGCTGTAGGTTGCCAACCTACACCCATAGCATGCCTCAAGTTGGCCCTGGCCCTGCTGTTGTGCCCCTTCATTGTTATCCTTCACTCCTGTAGGTTGCCAACCTACACCCATAACATGCCGCAAGTTGGCCCTGGCCCTGCTGTTGTGACCCTACATTGCTGCTTTTAACTGCTGTAGGTTGCCAACCTACACCTATAGTATGCCTCAAGTTGGCCCTGGCCCTGCTGTTGTGACCCTACATTGTTGCCCCTTCACTGCTGCAGGTTGCCAACGTACACCCATAGCATGCCTCAAGTTGGCCCTGCCCTGCTGTTGTGACCCTACATTGTTGCCCTTCACTCCTGTAGGTTGCCAACCTACACCCATAACATGCCGCAAGTTGGCCCTGGCCCTGCTGTTTGGACCCTACATTGTTGTCCTTCACTGCTGTAGGTTGCCAACCTACACCCATAGCATGCCTCAAGTTGGCCCTGGCCCTGCTGTTTGGACCCTACATTGTTGTCCTTCACTGCTGTAGGTTGCCAACCTACACCCATAGCATGCCTCAAGTTGGCCCTGGCCCTGCTGTTTGGTTGCCCTTCACTGCTGTAGGTTGCCAACCTACACCCATAGCATGCCTCAAGTTGGCCCTGGCCCTGCTGTTGTGACCCTACATTGTTGGACTCATTTCCAGATATAGAGAAGGGTGGTTCACCGGCACCCTGGTGAACCTCAAAATAGCTGGGGAATCGGTCTTCATCATTGAGGTATTGACCCATCCCTATACCCAGTTCTTCCCATACTCAGCTGATTCCCAACTTGTTCGATGGTTGTATTGAAAAATATGTTCTCGATCTACCCAAGGTTTGACATGCTAAAAATAACCCGTGTTTTGATACCAATATATAATATGACGTTATACAGGTCGTTTCCAATCTTCACTAATCCCTTTTGCCTCCACAAACACGAGGCAAACTGGTTATGGGTTGGTGAATTTCCCAGAAATCCCAATGTTTGATGTTTATATAATGTTATATAATGTTATATAATGTTATATATATATATATACGTATATAATTATATATATACCCACAAAAATGCAGCAACCGGATCATCAGCACCTGATGATTTTCATGGTGATCCTCCAGGGGTTCCTTCTCTCCCACTTTGGTTTCCTGTAACACGGCCAGGGTGGAATTGCGCACCCTGGATGGTGTGTATCTCCACAAGTATCTAGGTGTGTAACTAATGGAAATCACCGTATATCATCATGCTATATCATGTCATATATAACGTCATTTCCTATTATTCCATGTGAGATCATATAGCATCATGTAAAATCTAGTGACATTGTCAGTTTAATAGCTATGAAAACACGCCAAAGCATCTCACCTCATCACTACCTTCACCATCCTCTGCTGCTGCGTAGGCAAGTTCTTTGGCAGATTCGGTGTCCTCAGCGTAGGCAAAACCACGGACTACAACCCAGAGCAAGATTTCCCGAATTGGCTAAAGGGAAAATTTACTGGAAGCCTGTACATGCACTGAAAAAAATATGGTATGTATAGATGGTTGTTTCCTGTATTTTCTCTCTTGCAATCCAAAGAACAATGAGTATCATGTTTGACCAGCAGAACATGCAGTCATTATCTTGATTATCAAAAATTAGCAGATGCAAGTAGATGTAAGTGTATATCAGCAACAATGTGGCAGCAGTTATATAGATACCACAACCAACACTGGGGTATTCCCATGATTTTTCAGCCATGTCCCCAATTTTTACCCAAGCTTCAAAGGCAGTGCTGCGCAACAACAGCAGCAGCAAGGGACCGATGACCGACAGCGCGGTGACCCAGATCCACAGCACAGGGCCGTTGGATGCCTCGGACCAGCCTTGACATTCTCGGCAGCTGCTGGGGCACCCCGAAAATGCAGGCACTGAACACCTGGGAAAATGCTGGGAAAATGCTGGGAAAATGCATGGAATGCCACTGTCAACGGTTTCACGGGTAACTATAAGGCCCAGTCACAGTCAATTCAAGACTGTCTAGGCATGTCTGTGCTAAGGATCCGGCATACTTTGGTGTGATGAACACAGGTTGAAACCTGGCCAACTGGAGAGTGAAGCCAACCTCTCTGTGACCTGCCATCTGTTGCCCAAAAAAACAACTTCAAGTGCTCAAACATACAATCCACCGTGACTTTTAGGGTTGGTGCATCTTGTTTTCACACATCTGCAGTAGTTAACACCATTTTAGGACCCATAGGATCCATAGGATAGTTACCCCAATCCTAACGATCATTCCATCCCTTGCGGTTGCTGTCCCGAAAATTGGACCCCAAATCCAGCACCCGTTGGCACCTGTCGAGGCATTGCAAGGTACCGGCGCACCTGGGGCCTGGTGATTTTCATGACTTCAGAAAGCACTGAAGATGTGGATTTCACCCAGAAAAATTGACGTTGGATTTCAGCCAAAAAATGAGTGTGGGGAATGAACCCATATGAACCCCAAAACTTCAGCAAAAACCAAGGCCCTCAAGGGACCCTTAAGAGACCCAAAGGGACCAGCCTGGCAGTTGTATCTGCAAAAGGCACCAGTTCCAGGTTCACCTCGGCAGCTCCACTTCAGCCGGTCACCAAAATTACCCGTGGATTTTCTCCCCTTTCATCGTACTTATCTTCGTTCATCCAAGAAAAAGTCCAAAAAGTCAAAGACCTGAAGTTCCAAACATCAAAATCCAAAAAAGTGGAAAACAAAAACTAAGGATATCCCTCTCTAACAAATGGAATCCCATGGATATGTTTCCCATCCCCCCAAGAAAACACCGCAACGACTCATCCAAGGCGCGACAGCTGGGACAATCCGGACAGTAGGTTTCCAGCAAGACCCCAGAGATCCAACCAGTGGGAAGCCCGGCCAGAAACCTCAGACGGTGGGCCGACGGTGCAACCAGGGGGTTTTGGGCCATTTTTTGCCGGGAAAACGAGAAGAAAATTGGATGGTTCATGATGGTTCGGTTGAAAACGACCAGAAACTTCCAACTCGGCTGGTGTTACTAGAAATCCTCGACTTCTTCCGCTAGAAGTCGATGGTTCACTACAAAAAATCGTCAAAAGCGGTGGTTGGAGTCGTCTACTTGTTGACACCATAGCCCAATGTCAGAACCCAACACCCCCAACGGAGACCCTGGGTCCCCTACTGTGGCGTGAACGCGATGACCATGAAGATGCCCTGCAGTGGTCTATTTTTCAGCTGAAAATTTGGTGGATTCTAGCCATCCTTCACCAGATATATGGGATCAAGTTGTTTATTGTTTTTTGCATGGGAATATAACGAAGAAACAGTCGAACTTAAGCAAGAACTACTAAGGAACGGGTTAGTTTCAGGAAAGTGTAATGATGTTTTAAACCATTGTTGTTTTGCAACCAAACATTGGGGAGTTCTTGTAAGTTGTTCCTTGCTATTTTTTCAAGAATTCAACTGCTTCACCATCTTTTGACATTTTTTAGTCAGGGTCGCCAGGCAAAAAACTTCCCGGAAGATTTCATCAAGGCTGAGGTTCCAAACCTCCTTGCCATCTGGCGACAAATCTGCAGAGAAGGTGTTGAACCTTGGGCTCCAAATCACCTGCAGCAGCAAAGTTCTGCGGTGACGGCCATGGTTTTTGGCATGGCTCGCGATCAATGCCGGGATATCAAAAAGAAACAACATGAATAGCGCCAAGATGCACGGTCACTAATCCATCGCTTGTTTGGGATGGTCTGGCTAGCCATAAGATGTAGAAGACATGGGTGTCTGAAAATTGAGTAACCCCAATTCCAATGGCTTAAATCCTCATGTCCCTCTCAAAATCGCCATGGGTGGGATAAATCCACCCCTGGTGGCCCCACCTCGCCCAAACTCATGGTCGCCAGCCAAGCACAGGTGGCACGGATCTCAGAAACCAGAGATGACGGGGAGATTGACCAAGCAACCATTGGTGTTGAACATTGAACTTACCCTCTGGTAAACTAACATAACTAATTATGGAAAATCACAATTTTTAATGGGTATATATCAACTATAAATGGCCATGTTCAATAGCTATCTTTAATTACCAGAGGGTAGTTACTTCTTTTTTCTGAAAAAATTGGTCAGGGGTCAAAGTTGGGTACCCGAACAACTTCATGACCCATTCCTGGATGTGAATCATTGAACCAACTTTGTCAGTTGAGATATCTTCAGATACTTCATTTCTCCGAAAATGAATAGATGAAGGTGTGTCCGAAAATAGGGTACCGCCAAAATTCCATGTTTTATGATTCATTGTCCTTTTTCAAATTAATGGGGGTGGTAAATGTGTTTCCAAAGTTAGTGATTAAAAAAAGCCATCCAAACTTTACTGGTTGGTGGTTTCAACCCCTCTGAAAATATGAAAGTCAGTTGGGATTATTGTTCCCAATATATGGACAAATAAACTAATATTCTTATTTTTGCAGCCATTTTCAGACAAATCTGGGATTAGTTGAACCACTTGGGGATGGTTTCCTCCAATTCCCATCATCGATGGGGTCTCGGCCGAAGCTTAGGCCCGAACAGAGACTTCGAAGATCATAAAGGCTGGTGACAAGGACATCACTACCTCGGAATTCCATTACAAACAATGGCATCATCTGATGTTTCTCTAGGAACTTTAGGGGAAAACAACAAATCCACTGGTTTATCGCCATTTCCCCTATTAAAATTGCCATTTGGGGAGCAAAAACCCCATTTCTAGGCAAACCCAGCCAGCAGGCATCTTTCTTGCCAACCCAGTTGCGCTGCCCAAGAAGATGGCCGGAAAATTCCTGCAACAGACCCGTTTCACTTGGAACATGATGATCAACCACCGGATAGAAATGGGGTATACGGTACACAAAACAACCCCGTGTGGCAAAACAAACTAATTAATGATCCCCGAATAATCCCGAATACATTGAACGGATTTGAAAGTCCACCTTCACTCTCAGTGCCATGGCCTAAGACACCACGACTCTGTCCCTGAAATTGGACGTGGAAATAGATGGAACAACGCCACCCAGAAAAACATGGAAGATTGGATGAATTCTCCACTTGGATATGGCTGATATGGCCATCCTCATCCATCTGACTCCGGGCTAAAGTCCGCCACTTCGGTCCTCCATTTCGCCATGACCAGCGTCACCACGGGTGGAAGCATTGCACACATCCAGTAGTTGATGCTGTTCACGGTGCCCCAAGGCGCCTTGATGGGCTCCATGGATGGTTTCAGGTCCTAAAGAAAACACAATTTCTATGTTGGAGACTCCAAAACACTCTACCCTCCTTATTTTGACACCAAAATAGATGTTCACCCCAACAAAACTGGTTTAGAATTGTTTGTTTACTCGCAAATTAGACCAACTTTGACCAATGTCGGAGGATCCAAGATCCAATTTGACCAACTGACCCATTTTCCAGTTGAGTTCAGCACATCTTCACCCAGCTCGCGCACCAGGTATTTGGGCATCGTGGCGTTCATGTGATGCCATTGTGCCTTCACCCCAACCAGACAGGTACTGCAGGCTGCAACCATCCACAAACCACGGTGATGCCTTGGGAGCGCAACGGTGTGGGAGCTGGAGGGATGGGAGTCCTAAAAGTTGTCTGGATGAAAAAATGACATAAACAAAATAAACCATTTTCAAAATCTGGATCGAAATGATCTGTGAATGGTTTATCTAGGATTCCTATCTATACATTATTTGTATGTACATATAATAAATATACATATATATTATATTATATTATATTATATATTATATTATAGTATATATTATATTATATATTATATTATATATTATATTATATATTATATTATATATTATATTATATATTATATTATATATAGAACATATAATATAATATATATATATATAATATGTATAATATGTATATATATATATCAAAATGGGTCGGGTTGAAGTGATTGGCCATTTCATTGCCCCAAAAATGTTGTTGCCATCAACACATCAGAACCACGGCCATTGATGACTGGCTGCAGAATGGACATGTTCTCCCGCAGAACTGACCGCACAGAAACTCCTATGCTGGCGATTTCTCCCTGGAAAAAGAAATGTCATGGCTACCATGGGCAAAAACCCTTGAAGCAAAAGATGTTGGTTGATGCTGCAAAATCCTGACCATTGGTACATGCTGAAACAGGCTTCGATGATGTTCAGTGGTTGTTACAACCATCTCCAGCCGTCCTTGCTTTGGCGACGCCAGTCCGTTCTCATCATCCTCTCCAGGCATACATGGGTCCATCCATGTTCATGAGATTGGGAAAATAAGTGGTTGAACGGTTCAACCGCCTATTATTAGTGAGATATCTTGATATGGTTCAAAGAAACATCAACATCAAAATCAAGTCAAACAGCAAAAGGCTAAGATTTGAAAAAAAGTTTAGCTTTCAACCTCTTAATCTCCAACGAAAACACACAAAAAAAAACATCCCATCTCCTCAAAGGGGACGTGTTCTTTGCAGCACGAAAGCTGCGTGGACAAACTCGATGGCAGTAAACATGCAAAGAAGAAGGACAGGATGAGCGCCGCCTTGGAAGACTCACAGAAGCGGCAGCGGGGTTCGTTGTGGCTGGAGAATCGTTTTTGGCGAGGTCAACGTAAATATAATATATAATATATATAATACATTATATTATATTATATATATGTATATATATATATATGTTGTTTGATTCTCCAAGTCTCCAACTATATTCCAATGCATATTCCAAACAAAGACAAATACATCTAGATTCTACAGCCAACAAAACAACCACAACAAGATCCCCCAAAAACCTCCAACGACCACAGTGTGGCAAGACCCTTGTGGCATCCGGCCTCCGTTAACACGAGGCATGCCCTTGTGGGTGTGGCCAATGATCCAAAAACCTCCACGAAACCCAGGGGATCCTTCACCTGCCATGTGCGGAAGATATCGATGACCACATCTGCAATGCCACCACCTGAGGCAACAAAAACGATGCGAAAAATGCCATGTGGTCCTCCCAAAAGTCCACCAACACTCATCACTTTTCCTGGGTTTTGGGGCACCATGGGGCACCCTAAAACCCAAGTTTCTCCAACAAAAATATGCTGCCGCCTGCATTGTGCAGGGCATAGTTTAGACTGAAGGCCATTGGACGTTCCTCCTTCACTGTCAGCCTCTTCAGCCCTACCAGGAAGACCTAAGAGCTCCACCAAAAGATACCAAAAGCATGGGGCTGGAAGCGGGAGGTTCCCTGTCGACAGCTATCCATTTCTTTAGGGAAAACATGGGAAAACACACCTTCATGATCCTTCATGATCTTAGATGTAGATATTTGTTGGAGATTGAGACTCACAGAATAACCATCACCATCTCAGAACCTGTCAGAGCTTCCAATTTCAGAACATCAACAATTTCACGGCTAGAACCTCTCAGTGACACCTTCCAAAGATTTCCACAATCTAAGAAATCAAAGTTGAACTGCTGAGATCTGCTAAGAGATCAGATCTGAGATTTGCTGAGCCACTGGAAGCAGCAGTCCTTCTGCCATGGGCGACACCACCAGAACGACCCAGCGAAAGGTCTCCGGGTTACGCGCCAAGATTAGCATGGCACGACTGCCGATCATGGCCAGGATAGCGAAGATGGCAGTGCGTTTGCTCCCCACGTTGTCCTTGCGCCGGGGTGTGCATCCCAGTTGTATTGGGTCATAACCATATTCTACCCCAGTGCCCATATGACTCAGAAATGGGTCATAAACATTGATACCACTGACCAACTAAGATGCACATCAACGGGGTGACCACCCAAAATGCCACCTCTTTATGGAGAAACATGGCGATGAATCATCGGCTTCTTGGGGGTTCAACCCATGTTTGAGGCATCGCCAATGTTGGTCCCAGATTCAATGGCAAAGATGCTGGCAATGCTGGTCCAGATGGATGAGAGGATTCCCCACCAGCCATACAAAGCTCCAGCACCTTTGTCACTGAAGCCAAATTCGTCTGTGGCATAGATGACCAGCAAGACCGACATGACATGGTAGGCAAAGGAGGCGAAGAAATTCAGGAAAAAGATCCTGGGCTCAGGGCCGCCATGCGCCAATATAAGTCAATATGAACAAAACATGACAAGACAAACTGTTTTTTTCTGGCAGCTGTTCACACTTCATTCGCCATTCAGTTCAGTGATTACTTCCCTGGATCAAGCGAATGATCAAGTCGGAGGACATCCACACGCCGCATCGGAATTTGGGGCATCGCCATCCCATAGCAGGGACTCCCCGGGGCTGGTCCCTACATGGCGCGATACTCAACCCATGCAGCTGCTCAGTGGGTTCAAGAGGTTGTGATGGGCTTGCTATGCGGTCATGGGCTATCTCCGTTAGTACCCGGTGTTTAAAGCTGGGAGATGGCATCCAAAGGTTCATAGTTGAAAAATGTTGAAAAATCCAATGATCTTCAAATCTGTAACACTTTTTACTTCAGCCACTTGATTTCCACAGCTGTTCAGTTCTATGGTTCTACCACTTTTACACCATGGCTTGTGCTCGCTGAAAATCTCATCGTGGATCTACAGGATTTCAAGCTGCCGATCCAATCGGTTCAACCCCGATTTCTCCGACTCAATGGCTGATGGAAACATATGGAAAAAAGGGGCACCACCCCACCAGCTCACCAGCCATAGCCAGCCATCAATGGACCCATCGCATCAGCCAGATCAGCCAGATCAGCATCTGGGAGCCAGGCCCATCGTTACGTTGCACGTAGTACTTGGTGATGGGTGAACCACCATCATTGGTTGGTGCCGTCCAAGTCCTTGGGCGATTCATTGGGGAATTGGGATCTCAATGGCCACAGATTTCATGAAATCTGAGGCTTGGGGCTCCATGATTTTCAGATGCCAACACCTCCCAATCGAGAAGAACCCCTTTTGCAGTTCTTTGCTGAAGGGCAAACATATTACAAAAAAAAAACGTAATTATCCAACATCTATCCAACATTTTCCGAAAATCTCATGTCCAAATCCCAACTTTTGATCAAGGCATCACCAGACTGGGCCATCCCGGCAGTCCAATACTTCCAGAGGACCCGCCCGAGCGGGCCAGGTTGCTGGGAGCATCCGGTGCGGCCTGAAAAAAAACGGTCCGCCATCTGGTTATTTGTTACATAGCGAACTGGAAAATCACCATGCTATTAATAGGTAAACCATCTATTTCTATGGGCCATGTTCCATGGCGAACTGTTACATTACCAGAGGGTAGATTTGGATTGAATTTCAGGAATGATGAGAAGTAGTACATCAATCCATCTCAATTTTCAGAAACACTCAAGTGGTAAGGTCTTGTAACCTTCGACCAAAAATCAGCTCAGACTACGCCACGACTTGGACACCCGGCCGCAGCAATGACGTAGATGTCGCTGCCGGATCCCGAAAAGCTGCCCTCAGTGCATAGATTTGATGATAACATATGATACCCTCCAGTAAATTAACATAGACCCTGAAAATCACCACTTTTTAATGGAAACTAGTCTTCCAACCCCTATTTTCAGGGTCCAACTGTTAATTTACCAGAGGGGAATCGATATGTTTCGATGATCATATGGCCTTGAGGGATGCAGGTATTTGGAGGTTTCAGAGATGGTTTGACATCTTTTGTTTCTCTCACAGATTCACAGGAAGCTTCTGCTTCAAAAAGAATACACCATGGCTTTGGCGGCTTTGGTTTGGCATGGTGAAACAAAAAATGCTGGTTGGTGGTTGAGCCTACCCCTCAGTTACCCCTCTGAAAAATATGACTAAGTCAGTTGGGATGATGACATTCCCAAGATATGGAAAAATATATAATTCATGTTCCAAACCATTCCAAACCACCAACCAGTGAGTCATCAGAAATTGGATGCCTGATATTCCTGGTTTTATGCTGCAAGCAAATTGTTCGTTGATTCACCCGCTGAGTATCGGCAGCACTGGGCCATCAGACAGACACCTGGGTTTTGAAGTTCTCAGCCAAGACCCGGAAGACGAAGCTCAAGTCTGGACTTGCTGGCCTTGGGGAAATCAAGGGAAATCAGACAGGTTGATGGTTCTGTGATCTTGATCTTCAGGAGATATCAAGCGTATCAAGAGATCCCACAATTCATCCACAAGTTCAAGCGAAATTGAAAAGACACCTTGAAATTGTACGGGGTACCTCAAAGGCTATGTTTAAAGAACCCAAACTTACGGCAACGTCCCCATATATTCGATGCTGAAAACCGCTGTTTCCAGTCGATGTGCCCCGAACTCAATTGTCAATCCAGAGTTTAAAATTCTCAGCTGGAGCTGAGATGGAATGAGATCTTGGATTAAGATGTTATGACTGTTATGAGTCCCAAAAGGGCAGAACCACAATCTGTTTTAATAAGAAATGGGGCTGCGGAGCTCCCAAAATCTACCATCCAAGTATCCAACAGGATCCAGGTGAGGAGTATACCACGTATATCCCGTGTTCAGAGACACTCCTTTGTCCAGATATGGCGAATACCCCAACAAAAATCATTTCGATGTTCAAACACCACTTTTGTTCAAAAAATGATTGAAGAAACACAAACCCAACAGAAATTTTACCCAACTGGAGCCAACTGAAAGCCTCATCTTTACCGTCAAACATCTCCCTGACCCGAGCTTTAAGGCCCTTAGGCGTGGGACACGTAGTTGTAGGACGTCTCTAAGACCGATGATGTTGAACCAATCTGGTCGGCGTATCGGATATGTGTTGGACAATTTTGGGGATATGTATTATGGCATAATATACTAATTATACGATATGATGGGGTTATCATAGGGATATTTCTGTGAAATAATGTGCATCATACATATCATATATATATATATCATTGGGATATCCCATATGAAATAATGAAATAATGTGATATCATTGTAATTATTATGTCATATCCCTGTAATAAATATCATTAATATCACAATATTATGATATCATTGATATTCCATGATATTCCCATATGAAATAATGATGATGATATATGATGATATCATATCCCATTATTGTACAGTAATTATATCCCATATATATATATATTATACACCATTACCATATATTGACCATATATATATCCCATATATATCCCATATATATCCCATATATATCCCATATATGCCATTATGAATGATGAGAATGTCCGGCCTTGGCCAAAGTGAGAGTGGAGGTGCCTGCCATGACCTGATGAAATCAGGCAGTGCTGCTGGGAGCTTTGGGATGTCATGGAAAATCTCCATGGAACATACGGAAATGATAGGCAAATCATCTACAAATCATCTACAAACCATCTACAAATCATCTACAAATGGGTCATTCCACATATTACCATATTTCATAATCTAGAATAGGCACGAATGGGCGATGTTACTCGATCTGGAGGATTTTGTTGGAGTCAATGATTCTTGAGCTGCAGCCAAATGTTTCTCTTGTTTGGACACCCATAGCTCCTTAGCTCCATCCCAACCACCATCCACAACAATGTTGCTCCAGATACAAGGCGGAGGAAATGGATAGATAAAGATGTAACATCACCAAATTTCCCCTGTGGTCATGTTTCCCCAACATCTTGGAGCCCTGATTATGGTTAGGCAAAATCCCTATCAATCACCATTTTTCCATGGCTCAAACATCACCAGCCCAGTCCCCAGTCCCCGATCCCTTCCAAGGCACCGTGTATCCCAGGATGGGACACTCTCCGGTGTCGGTGGGCGCATCCCAGCCCAGCTGCACCAAGCTGCCGGAGCGTTGCAGGACCCGCAGGTTTCCGACGCTACCTGCGATCTGGGGAACGTGGCAGTTGGAAAAAACCATGCTAAACATGACATATATATATATGGACTACACGGCCATGGTTTCGTATGATCATAAATGTCCGGACAGCCAGAAAAAAAAAGCATGGTGATCTAATGGTCTACCCCAACTATCCGTAGTATAAATATATATGTTGATCCAATGGTCTATCTAATGGTCTATGGATAGCCACGCCATGCCACGCCTGGCTCGTTGCAGGGCGACACGTTGATCACCTCAAAGGCTGGATCTAGTGATGTCATCTGATGGCTCAGAATCCTTCGCCTCACTACAGGCATGAAAAGATATCAACCAACATATTGCTATACAAGCTACAAATGGCTATATTTATGTACATTAATGTTATATAAGTTATATAGCTCAAGATATAACGACAGCATATGAACGAACCATCTTGGGATGGTTCATTAGTCCCCAATTTGCCCCCATGTGGGCATCGACCTTAGGGACGCCTATCCATATGAAAAGGAAACACCACCAAGACACTGTCATTTTTTCGGAGGCAAGAAAAACCAACTGGTTTCACCATGTTTCACCAGCATTAACTCAGAGTTGATTTAGAGTCATCTTAAATGTCATCAAACATCTTAAATCTTTCATGAAACCACCATTTTCCCTATAGATGCTAGTCCTCCACCATCCCCAAACAGCCCAATTATTTCTCGGGCTGCCCCACGGCGGCCGCTCCCTCGCCCTTGGCGGTGAAGGCTCTAACCTGCAGGGGGTGTCATCAATAGTTTAATGGTGATCCTTGATCCAAATGGAAATAGCCTTGAGTCTCATCAATACTCATCAATACTCATCAAACATCATCAATACTCATCAAACAGGTTTTAAGCTCATGTTTGCTGATCTTTCCTAACAAAAATCCCCCATAATTAGTCGCGATTTTGAGTTCTGGTTTCGCCCTGGCCCCCCTAAGGCGGCCTCGGTCTTGTAGATATATCCAGTGGCCAAACCCACCTTCTGAAAGCTGGTGGCTGTCCCGGAGTACTCCTCCACCAGTGCTCCGCCCAAGGCATCGTCCATATAGACCTGGAAAATCCCTCGAGGTGCACGGTCACGTCGTTGTTTTTTAATGGATAGGCGTGCCGGGTCAGTTAACATAGCTATGCAAAAATTGGCCAAGAAAACAGGACTTAAATTTGATTGAACTATTGATGACTTTCCATAGCAAACTCTTAAATCACCAGAAGCTAACTTTCAGATACTGAAACAGATCAAGAGTCAACAGAGAAGGAGTTTTGGGGGTGTCTTGAGGCCTCACCAAGGTACCGGTCAAACTTGGGCACCCCAATAATTGGATGCTTAATACTACACATATGCTAAAATCATCTAACCCATAGGGGCTTCAATTTTTTGACCTATCCCCAGCCCCAGCCCCACCAGCCCCACCTTGTATCCCAGCACCGGCAGCCCACCGCTATCGAAGGGGGCGCTCCATGCCACTGTGACGGACACCAAAGTGGAGGCCTTGGTGCCAAGCCATGGATCAATGGATCAATGCATCGTGCCCCGAAGTTACTTATAGGGATTTAAGCAACAAAAATGCTGATTTAACCATCAAAATTTGGATTTCAGAAAACATGGGAATATAGGATATAATTGGATATATCACCAATAATATGACGTGGGTGGTACCCCAAACAATATGTTTCTTGGTTTATCACCAACAGTTTTGCCCATTCACTAGTTTGATATACCTACCAAAAACCCAACAACTTTTTCGCAGCGATGTTTACCGACTTGGCTCATGATCTGTGGCAGCATCTTAACCAATGAATCAATGGGAGTGTTGGATTCTGCCTTATCCAATTCAGATGAATGGATGATGGGAGACCCGAATACCCGTTCATGATTTTTCATGATTTTTTCTTACCATCCAAAAAAAAAAATGGGGATGTCATGTAAATTGTTAAGTCGAATTCTAGGAATGGAACCCCCCTAACTAGTGCAAAATGCGGGGATCTGAATGGAATCAGAACATCTCAAATCAATTGTACCGCATATATACAAAAGTTCCCCACCCAAGAATTAAGATATGTTCAGAAACTGTAACCTGACTGGCTGATTGGTCGTGGAGTCGCATTTATTCTTGTTTCTCAATAATCATCATCATTTGTTTAGGAGTGAAACATGTTTTTTTGAGTCGCTGATCATCCACTCCTTTTCGAGTTTTGTGCCACCCATCCCAACCAAACGACAATCAAACAGTTAAGGTGTATATATAGATAAATAATTATATATACATACAGTATATATACAGGAATATATCGCATGTCCCCAGTATCTCCTGTGTTTAGACCATCCATTTTTGATTTAGTCAAGACTGCATCAGTTGATAAACCTCCAAAAGCTTTCCTCGGTAGGTCCCGCGCCGCCACATTGATGCTGGTTGGCGCTGTAGACAGCTCAGCAGCATAGTAGATCTGGCGTGGACAGCGCAAGGTTGCAATAAGCCACTGTTTGCAAAAAAGGTTCCTGAAAAAAAAAAAACAGTATATAATTAGATATAATTAGTAGATTATATAGTAGGGATGCCACGTTTTTGTTTGTTTTTGATCAAACGACGATAAATCATTGATGTTTTGGGCTACACTGCATGGTACAAACCCAAAAAGGCGTCCAACATCTCTGCACTACTTGTTGTATGATGTGGTGGTGTTCGAAATCAAAATGGAGTCTCGACAATCAAAAACGACTCACACTTTACTTTAGCCCAGTTTCACATGTTCACATTAGCTATCATTAGCCCAAACCCTTGGAACTTTGTTTGAATCCATCTTGAATCCAACCAAAAAGGCCATTGCTACCATGCTCCAAAAGGGAATTACAACCATAGTTGCACCATAGTTCTGCCCCACATATCAGGCTGCACCTGAGTATCGCTCCTGGTTCCAGCCAAGGAATGCTGTTCTGCCTGGCTTAACCGCAGAATGGGACGGATCATTTGGACGAATACGGTATGTGCATTTTATGTGCTGTACCCAAAATATCCGGCAAGGAAAGTAATGATAGTAGAGACCCTGAATTTTGAGACACCAAGCCGCTAAAACTGCATAAAACTGCTATAATTTCTATAACATGGGTGAACCTTTTGGGGTCCCTCATGTGTCTATCCACAGGACCACCAGGGCATAGCAGCCACAGGTCACATGTCAGGCCCACCATCAGATTCACGGCTGCCACCTGATCACCCCAGAACTTGTCTGTTTTGAAAGGTCCATGTTTAATTGACTTAATGAGTCTTTATGTTCATAAGGGGAAGGCGATATTGATTTAATATGAATCAACTTCATATTGATAGGACAACAAAAATATTGATATCAGTCAACTTATAGAATGTTGTTAGGGTGAAAAACCGAGCTGAAAAACTGAGCCTCTGCATTTTTTTGCAGAAAACATGGCACCATGATGTCAACAACTCATGATAATCATGGCACAAGAAACAGTTCACTGACTCCAAGTCGCACTGGGCCTCCACTTGCAAGGCAGCTCCGGTGATGAAGCGAATGGTATCCGACATGGTTCCTGGCGAGGAACTAGCAACTGCCGAACCAGAACATGGGATACATTATGGAATGTATCCATCTAGAGCATTAAGAAACCGATTCCTGGTTGCGTATGCACATCAGAGAACTCAGAGTTGTCAAACTTTGACACAATGATTTCTATATAGTCTATATATCTCTATATATATAATAGATTATCAATATGATTATAATTGCGTATACACACCAGTGCTCGATCGTTTCTTAACCTTGGGCTTCATCCCAAGGCGACCTTTCTACCCGGACCCCAACAGCCGGCGATTTTTTTGCGCCGACTCCTCCGAAGATCTCCGAACGTTGGCTGTTGTGCGGCATGCCATCAGGTGCCTTCAGCACTGGGAATTCACCTGAAAAGCTGGAGATTCACCAGAAATCATGGGATTTCACCAGCATCCTTTCTCACAGGATATCCACTGAATATGCTGATTGCTGGTTTTCCTGGAATTGAAGTGTTGTTCTTGGCATGCTGAGGCACAGATGAAGCAACTTCTTTCATCTAAATGTAACTGGGTTGAGCACCCTTCTGTTCCATAAATCTCACACATGTATTCGGTCAAGATAAAATGAGAGCTGAAACTATCTCATGTACAGCTCAAAGTCAAACCGTCTGAGCCTTAAAACCACTCCTCCAATCGCTTCAACAAAAATGCTGAAGGCACGTAAAGGCCATGACTGTGACAACTGGGAAACTTGACCTGTTCAAGAAGTCAGTGCTCAACCTTGGGAATCTTCGGCGCTTAAGGAAGCTCCATACTAAATTAAAATGTTGCTTGCCAATCTCATGGGCAAGCGATGCCACTCATGTACAAACTTGGCATTTTTTGGCCCACTGGACCAAAGGAAACTGGCCCACCAGGGCCTGGTTGGCTGTGCATGGCTGGCAACCAATCCTCCGTGATGCTTTACCAACACCTATCTTGAGAATTCCTGAAAAGAAACATTTGCCCATATTCTTGAAATAAAGCTTGATACTCAAAACACAGCCCAAACAAATCAGCCACCAATAGGATCCCTATCATCTGCACGTCTACCAGCCGTGAAAATATGGGATCTTAACCAACCAAGGATCATCCTGCTATGATCATCCTGCCGTATCCTGCTCAGTCCATTCGTTGGATTTTGGGATTTTGTCGATCTCCTCATTGATGGCCTTGAGAACAGACTTCCGATCATCGTCCGGGGTCAGGTGCGCCAAGCGCCCCCGCAGCCACTGCTTGGGTGAGCGGTCCTGGGGCGTCAAATGCTGGGGATATGCTGGGTTTTTCCATGGCTGTGGGGGGTCAAAATTGGCGAATCCCAAAAATTGGCCAAATCCTGTGGTCCCGTGAATTTTAAAATGTTGACCCCAAAATAGTGCATATCCACCTTGAAACCCTGGCTTGGTAGTGGATCTATTCATTTTATAGAACCCCAATGGATATGAACTGAAGATATGCCTGAACAAATCACGGGGTTTTTGCTTTCATCCTTCATCCCGGTCCAAGTCCCACCTGGTACTCCGTGGTGATGGTGCGGTGCTTCATCTTGATGCACATCAAACCCAGGCGCTTCACGGCTGCCAAGAAATGCGCTTCGTGGTCAGTGTTTTTCGCCTGCCACATGGCTGGGGGGTTCGAGATGGCTGGGGGAACATAGCTGGATTTTGCCTTTCATGGAAAATCCGATACATGAAAATATGGATGATTTAGGGCTATACCTCCATTTTAGGAGACCTCCAAATTGGGCGATGTACGGATTTCTCTGAGACGAATGAAGCCTGAAAGGTTGACAGAACTCAGTTCAATCCATGTTTGCTTCCTATAGCATTTTCCTCTCAATGGTTTAGGCCGGCGCTCGAGGGCTGTAAAGCTCGCACAAACGTTTGGGCTGTTGAGAGATGCAAAAAGAGCCGAGCTCTGCAGCATGAGGGGATATCTTGTTGTAAACGCAGTCTGATTTAGGGACATTGATTCTTCAGCAATGACCTGTAATGTTCACTTAATTGTCCTGCATGACATTTTGGGTACATTTATTACCCGTGAATATAATTCGGGACGATTGTTGTGCACCAACAATTGGGGACATTAGTTAAAGCTAGGCAATGATTCCATAACATTGAAAGAGATTTGTTTTCTTGAAACTTGCAGAAGCAGCGTATGATCAATGGATAGGTTTCTAAGTGAATACTTCCTGGATTTGACAGGAAACCTATCCATTTTCGGCCCCGAAAAGTATAGGGGTTCCTGTAAATGCTCGCATCAACCAAGTCTGGGATATAATCCCAGGTAGGGGGACAAACCCAGGTAGAGGTTTCCAGCGATTGTATGATCCAAACACAGAATTGGGGAGACAATTCAATGTTGAAGCATCATTTCGATGCTAACGACCTGCCAAAACTAGCAGGGTAAACGGGTAAACAAATACCAGAAGCAATCCGTTGAGTTAGCCATTCCAGAAAATATGCAGATCATCAATTGGGTACGGTTCAGAGTTGGGCACGGCAAATTCAAACGCCCATGGTTTGTCATAATGCTCCGGATTGACAGGTAGTGGTGGGGTATCCCACAGCCCATGAGAAACGCAACTGGGATCACCATCACAGGTACCAAGTCCAACTCACTTGATTTTTTGAACATGTTTGAACTGCAAATTCCCTTTTGCTTATGGTGAACTGGAGGCTTTTTGTTCCGCTGGTCAAACAAATATTCTGCCAGCTCATCCCCACTATCTTTAGGCTTCTCCTTCCCCAAATCGGCCCTTCCTAGCTTCGCCTTAAACCAGAGCTGTTCTAGCGCCACCTCTAGGCATCCGAACATCTCGTCGCCCTCTTCCTGTCGTAGGCGTATCTGCCGTGCGTCACGTCTTTTTTGGCCACGACTCTTTGAAGCGACCAGGTGGGTAGGATGATGGCAGAACCTGAGACGCAAAATGAGGTCCCTAAGGGGAAAATCCAGGGATGTGCACAACACCCACAGCATGTTCAAGGCATTCTTTATACTTGTTATGATATGTTATGATTTGTTGTTAGTATTGAACCATCCATTTTGGGCTGTGGCAATCTTGACTAACCTCACCCAACTGAGGACAGATTGTCTCTTCACGCCTCTTCCAACCCTCCAATGGTGATGTTTGGACCTTGAGCCTTTCCAGATCTGTTGGAAACCTCTGGAGCACTACAGCCAAGACACCGACACACGCCGGTAACTTTTTTCTGGCATGTGGGGCCCTTGTTGCAAGGCTTGGAGGCGCAGATGTGCAGTGGAAACTCTGCAGCTCCACAGCTGTTGGCAAACATCACCAACACCATGTACACAATGGACACAGAAGGATGTTCTTGTACCTCCTCGCGGTCTTCAGCCACCCGGATCTTCGCTCGTACCTCCTCGCGGTCTTCAGCCACCCGGGCCTGCCTTAAAAAGAGAAAGTCGCTTGGGATCATCTTTAGATCTCTGGATGGAAAATAGAAAGGAATTCTCTAAATGCTTTGGCTGCACCACCCAATATATGGGGTTGCACCTCCATTGAGTTGTGTTTCAAGCACATACCAAATCACCAATTTTCTGGATAATCATAGCTTAACTTGTCCATTTTTATTGGTTGGAAAAATGATAGAAAACATTAAATTTAAAACCACTGGTCCTCATCCTTCAGACAATTGGAGTACTCATCATCTGTCAACAGCTCCTCAGGTTCTTCCGTGGACGTCGATTCGAAACCCATGGCACCCGTTTCTGGCGCGTTTTGGGCAATCCGTTGGATGCTGAGGCGTGGATTTTTTGAGCAGCTGAACAACGACGAGTTTGGCGAACGGCCAGGGACTTGCGCTGATCTTCAGCCGTGAAGATATACTATTGACATCTATATTGACTTGAGTGTCCCACCGGTTTTGTGGCTGGAAAACAAAGAAAAACAAAAGATTACCATGTGGTTCTTCATGATTATCCCACATTTTTATCCATATTATTTATCCATTAGATTCCCATTATCCCATGTAGATATATGATAATACTATATCTTCATGACATTATATTATATATATTATATATATATATATTATATATATTATATATATATATATATTATCCATATTTATCCATTATATCCCATGATAATCCCATGATATTAATATCCATTAATATCCCCCTTACAGTCCCATTCTCCCATGATTATTCCGCCTGTGCCACTCCAGGCCAATCGATCGATGGGCCCGGCATCCAGGCCGTCTCGGTACCAGACCTGTACGAAACGGGTCCATGTGAACCCCAAAGCTAGGATTTAAATCAGTTTCTCTTCATTTGAGTGTTCAGTCTTTAAATATTCCCTAAAGATATATATATATATATATGACATACGTACATATAGATATTCTCAATTATTCGTCAAAGGATAGTGAAACTAGTGTTAGTGAGTTTAGTGAGTAAATTATTCGTGAAACATATGTCGTGGAATGTCGTAGGCCTCCAGTTTTGCTCCACGATCTCCACTGAATCTCAGCTAAACTAAGATGAGCACTTAGAAGTCACAAGAAAATGGAAACTGCGTACTTGTGCCAAGCAGACCCTGAAACATCGAACTTATATATATATATACATTATATATATATAATTATATGTATATATATATAATTATATATTATATATTATATGTGATGGATTCTTGTTGACCTCATTTGCAGCTGGAGGATGTCATTATCCTAAGAATTGCAGGATTCACCATAAAAAGAGCTGCAAAAGGCTGTGGTTTTATCCATCACATCTTCACCAACTGCGGCCTCATAGCGAATGATGGGAGAACCACCATCATCCGATGGAGCAGTCCAGCTGACAACCGTTTCAGTACCTCAGTTGACGCCCCAATAGATGGGGGGGTGCCCCCAAAACCCGGTGGTTTCTCATAAGTTTCCCCATTCAAATGGCCGATTTTTGGACATACCCAAATCAATACATCTATTCCCATGATATCCGCACGAAGTGGTTGGTTGTATACGTCATCTTTGTGGGTTCAATTCACCATTTCTGAAACACTTGGGTTTGTCATGGTTTTTCTTTGTGTGTATACCTCCCCAAACGGCGATTTTAACAGAGAAAGTGGAATAAACCACATAATGTGAGGGCTATCCTATTTTCACACAAACCCATTTCCATCCATTTCCCTAGTCGGTTCAGGTGATTCCTTGTTGATCCTTGTTGGTCGAATGATTCTATCCACCACTAAAAATCCCAGTGCTGCAGCTGTCACCGTTGTAACCTTCGGGCGCACGCGAGTTGTCTGCAAAGGTGACTGCGGTGGGCTTATGGGCTTGCCCGGCACAGAGCATCGATGCCTAGGAGACCGAGATGACAATGGTTAAGTCATGTGGCTCACTGGGTCAAAAAAGCTGGGAATTCTAGGGATTTTGGGGGGACTTGATATGGATCTTTTATGGATTTTATATGGATGTTGTGTTGAAATACCGGCTTTTGAGGGAGATGACCAACCCTTTTTGTTGGCTATGTGGAAACAGGTCAAGATCCATCAGAATCCCATAAGTTTTGAGGGATTTAGTGTGATTTAATCAGCAACAAACATGCCATGAGAGCCATGGCAACCTAACATGGGGTAAGAGCCAGGCATCAACCTCCAAGTCGAACACTGCTTGAGATGGGTCATGTTTTTTTGTGTCCAAGAAAATTGGTGCAAAATCCCAAACATTAGCAAAAAAATGCAAACAAGTTGTTTTGTATGGTCTTTCATTTTGATCCATTTCCAAATAGCAATCGAGGCTCACAGACAAACTGCAAGAACCCAATTTCCCCCATGGTCTCCCCTGGTCATTGGACATCCCAGTTGGTATCCGTGCAATAACATGCGACCATGGTTGCATCGGTATAGGTTGTACCATGCTATCCAACATGGGATCCAGCCCAGCTTACTAATTACATACAGCAGGTGAACATGAACAATGAATGGAAATGCAGGGGCCAGTTTGACATAGGTGAACAAACCACCTACGAAGTGCCTGGCACACCCTGAAGCAAGCCATCTTGGGAATGATTTGGCTTCAACGGATATGGTAAAATGTTGGGAAAATCTTCACCAGAAAAGATGGTTTCCCTGTTTTTTCCTGCAGATTTTCCCATCATCCAATGGTGTTGGTGGACTTTGAACCGTCCTTGAGCTGCCACACTGAATCGGATCGTTCACCCTCACCCGCAGCGTTCACAGCGGACACCTGGTAGTGGTACCTTGCGGCAAGGTTGTCATGGAACACATAGGTCATGTATATTGGATCATATATGTGGTATCTATACAGATTTCTTCCAACATAGTCACAACTGGGGACCTATTTCATGGTGGATTGATGGATTCAATTGGATTGAATTTTCTACCATATTCAATATTTTGGTGGATGAAACCCCTATAAATCCCAGCTATTTGGATCTGACTCACGGGATTCCAGCTGGCGCACGTGAAATTGGTGGTCAGACTCAAGGATTCCATGGCCAAGGCGTTTCCCTCGAAGATCTGATAGTAAGCGCCACTCTCCAAGGCCTGGCAGGCTTCGGAGACCTTTTTAAGCGTAGCTTCGGAAAAAGTCAGGCAGTCACTGTCACAAAACTCAACTACAATGCCTTATTCTTAGCTTCAAAAAACCAAATCTGTCCCAAATCCCAGTTCCGTCCTTTTTGGTTTCTCTAAGTTCCTCTCCTGTTTTCCCCATGAAACCAGAGAAAAACTGGTCGTCCCGTGCCACCGTGCCGTGCTTTCAGGGCCCTGCGAACCTCATACAACCTGTAGCTGGTAATGGACGCACCCATGTTGTCCGGAGGCGTCCACCTGAGGAAACCCGTTTGAAACCATGGAGCAAAACATCTGTTATCTATAGATTTCTTTGGATGTCCAAATATCTACATATGTATGATATATATATACACAATATTATATATATATCATATAATATATAATTATATATATTATATATCATATCATATGTATTTGTTCATATATATATATATATATCATTACACATACGCCTGTGAAAAAATCCTTTCAAAACAACACATCCACATCCGCTCGGAGCCCCAACACAACTGTGATGGAGGTTCGCGTTGAGGTGGAACGGGTGGGAGCCGCCATCCTGGCGATTTTGTCCCCAAACATCAACTGATATGATGCTGATGATGGTGGTACCCTCTGGTAATTTAACATAGCTATGGAAAATCACCATTTTTAATGGGAAAACTCACTATAAATGGCCATGTTCAATAGCTATGTTAAATTTCCGGAGGGTAATTGGGATCAATAACTCACCCATTATAACCACGGTATTATGGTGGTTAACATGGTATTATGCTGGTATGATGTTTATGATGATGGTGGTCATTGGCCACAACCATCACAACTAGTGATTGCGCCAAAACCGTTAGAACCATCGGCCATAACTGTTTTTCATTGGCAAACATCACCACCATAAATCACCATAGTAACCATAATATATAACTTATATAGCCATATCACATTAAACAATCATTGATAAAAAAAAATATAATCACCACAATAAATCACGATCAGCATTAATCACCAGATTCAATCAGTATTTCAGTGGTAATATCATCAATTCAATTAATAATGATTGATTCTGTGGTAATATCACCATTTTGTATCATCATTTTCACCAACGGAGCGTCCATTTTGCTTCGACTCTGAGGACACCACTTCGCAGGATAGGAAGCACACACAGTGGTCACCTGACCACTGGAGAACTTGAGAGCTCTGTGAATGGAAACCAAGATCCATACCCAATGATACCCAAATTGCATATCAAAATGCAGAGATACCAAATTCGATACCAAAATGTAGAGATGTCTATAGAGTTTTATATATAATATTATATAATATTATATAATATACATATGTAGCTAATTGTTTTAAGGTCACTAAAGGCATTGTTTATGGGTTTTTTGGGAAGCTGAGGACGCTTGCATCTCATCTAGTTACACCATCATCATCTATATGATATGGGAATCCGTATACCAAAATCCCTCTGTATTCTGTCACCTCAGCAGAGATTTAAACCAAATGCTCAAGCCACACCACTCCGGTTTGCATCCCGAATCGAGATCATCTCATGAAATGTGGCTTCCATTAACCAAAATCAATGGATTGGCTCATGGGAAGACAAAAACAATCAAGAGATTAATCATAATTTTCACATCCATATATCCCCCCATTGTTTGGACAAACTCACAGACCCAAAAAAAATGTCCTATTCTTGGTTGTATATCTCATATCTCATCTGTAATCCATAGGGGGGTCTTAAAATGGGGGATCCACCGCCCACCTCGGAGCCATACTTGCCCCATCCAACGGCATTCCGTGCGCGGATGCGGAACTTCACATCGTTGCCTGTGAGGAGGTTGATGCATTGATGATGGGTATAATATATATATATATATATTTATATATGTATACATATATACATATATATATAGAATGGGTAAATAAGTACGTATACGATACTGTGTATTCTATATTATTCTATGATAATCCATAATGGGTATACAATCCAAACATGTTCATGAATTGATGATCATCTCCCAATACAGGTATTTGACCCAAATCTTGACCATGGCATAAATACATCACTGGATATGCAACAAACTTGATTGAAAATTGTTTGAAAACAGCTAGATATTGATGATTAAGCTTTTCTTCGTGGCTGAAACAGGCAGCCACCACGACCATCATGTGATTGGGATACACCTTGTCGCTCTCATCACAGCAATGTCCGGGAAGACCACTGGTATAGACAACCATAGGAACGGGGAATGAACCTATCATTTTCCCATGTGAATGGGATATGAATGGGGAATGAACATCCATTATCATCGACTATCATCACAGCGATTTTGGGGTGATAACCCACAAAATTTCCCATGGCTTTTGACGCAGACGAGCCTTTGGTGCATCCCTGGGTCAGGGTAGATAGGTCTGTGGCAGCATTAGTGGCCACCTTAGGAGCAACCAGGCACATGAGTATGGTGGATTTAAAACAACTAGAATCAACTAGAGTGTGGAAGATGAACCCGCAAAAAAAGACAGATACTATCTCTGGTAATCAAACATGGATGGAAAATCGCTGGACCAGCAATACTTCGATGATGTTCCCATTACCACGAGTTGCCACGTTTAATCCCTTCAGCTCCAGCGAAACACCTCCGACAGGGAATATGGCAGGGGAAAATCTGAAAAAAAAAAGTGGTGTGGTTCAAAGAAAACGACCATACTGATCATACTTAGGATATAATGGTAATAATCAGATGAGATATATCACCACTAAGATGAAATGGATGAAATGGCAAACCAGGTGTCTAAGCACCCAATGGCAAATGTTTACTGGGAAGAGGATAACCAAACATTTTGGAGTTGGGGAACCGTTTTTCCAAACAAACCCAAATTGCAGAAACATGGTATAAACATGTATGCTTCTTAGTCCACTTCGGCCGTGATACCAGGCCCTTCGGTTTCCAACAATTGCGAACCAATCATCCAAATCCCACAAGGTTTCATGATCCACTGAAGTTTACTATCATATAAGATCATCCCACAAGTCACCAACAAAACTATCCAGACTATCCATTGGTTTCTCCCTAAAAATATCACCTATCACCTATAGATATCCGCCATAAGAATCAAGCAATCTGCCGAGGCACCACCGTCCATCCTTGGCTGTTTTCGTTCATGGAAACTTCATAAAGGTCCACCTCAGACGGTTGCATCTTGGGGGCCGTCTTCGTCCCATGTCTGGGTCGAAATCAGTGACATCCCAAAGCATGAACCAATGAACTAAGGATCAATGGCTTGGAACATCTACAGGAAAACCATACCTGTTACCTTGAAGATATGTCTTTCCTGTCCATTTTTCGGTCAATCCCACACTCAGAAATCCAGCCACACATCAGCTTTTGCAAATTCTTATGGAAAAAGGATTGGTGATCACCCCCAGAAACGTCTAATTGCAATTGGCTATTTGACTGTATAATAATTATATCTATACATATTAATACTATTATGTGATTTTATGTTTATATATTTATGATTTTTTGTATGATTGTATATATATATATTCCGTCAGATTTGTCATTCATAATCCATTAAATCCACATGTTCATTGGTGATCTCTTAAACCACGGCCCATTTCTCTGGCGCAGTTGAGTTGCAGCCACTCCACCGTTCACCAGGCTAGGGGGGAAGTCCACCTGGAATAATTTTTTGGGATATCTGGGGATCCCCTGGGAGGTTTGATATGACATAGATTATTGGATATATCATCATTATATCAGTATAATCTATGGATATATCATATAATATCCATAGATGATACTGATATAATCTATGGATATATCCAATAATCTATGTACGGGATAATGATCGGATGATTGGATATCTTTGACATCTATGATTGGATATTGGATTATGTTATTTGTGGATATAGATCATGATGTTTGGATGGTTGGATATTCATGTTAATATCTATATGAATATCTATGGATATCGTTACGTGGGATATCTATGGAAAGTCATGGATATTGCATGGCTCTCTCAGGGGGGTTGATGATGCCTAGCTCACAGTTTCACCAACAAAATCATATCGGACAAGTCGATGAACAGACCGGTGTGTGAATCAAACTAACAAATTGCTGAATAACCCAACCATAAAAATATTAATGACCATATTGTTCATAGCAATCATAATATTAAAAATGTAGTAATGACCATTAAGAAATATAAGAACATATAAGAACTATTCACATCTACTAAGTTTCATAGCAATATCAGGGATATTTAAAGCAAAACAGGTCCCTTGAATCTTGCCAGATCCACACGCAGGTGATCAACAAATCATCCACGAAGCATCGACCTTTCGTTCAGACGCCTGGATGTCTCCGATGGCTGGGTATGCAAAGTAGATGGCACCTAGGCAGGGCTGCGCCTCTTGAAATGGGGAGATCTTGAAAAAAAAACCCATGAAATCAATTGTTTGGCCGCAAAGATCGGTTTCAAATCAGTGATCTTCACCTTCAAGTGACTACAAGAAATTCCACATCACTTTGGCAACAGCGTCTGAACACCATCACACACCTGGTGGATCTGGTGCTTGGGCTGCATGACCACACACCGCATCGCTCAGCCGGGGCCTCAATGGCGCCATCGTTGAACGAAGCTGTACAGGAAGGGATTCCTCTGGGATTGATGGTGGTTTACTATGTTTTCGTGGTAAAAAATGGACAAAAATCGTATCTCTCAAGGAATATCTTGATTTTTGGCTGAACCCTATCTGTCTCAAGATGATTTGGGCTCGTCTGAAAATATTTGGGGCACCCAGAACCCCTGTTTCACCAAGGAACAAACACATTTTTTCTACACCATAGCTATGTTTGGACACCTAATATCATATACACACTATGTTATTACATATCAATATTACAACACTATGTCATATTAACATACTTATATACATATTATGTATATATATATATGACATATGTATAAATGAGATTTATACAATGTTATACCATGTTATAGACATAGACTACAGCAATTATCGAACTTTATGCCATCATTTGGATCCAGTGGATCATCGCTGAGTAGCTGTTGATCCTCCAAGGCGTTGCTCTCGGTGACGTAGTTCAGGGCGGCCACCTTGAAGCAATAGCTGCCTGCACTGAGAACATGGGACTGGGCTTGAGAGGTTCCAGCGAAAAAAACCATGGTTGGTGGTTTGGAACATGAAATTTATTTTCCCCAATAGTTGGGATGATGATCCAATCTCAGGCAGGTGATAGGGTTTTGTGATTGTTTTTTTTTTTATGTAAGTCGATAGAAAGAATGGCGAACGTATTTCGAGAATTTTGGTTTTATGATTTAAATTTTAATCAATGATTTTCAAATCTAGATTGTCAGATCCCTGGTGGTCTATGGATCGACTTCACCTTCAAAGCTTCTGATACTCTGATTTTTTGTGAGTCCTGGCCATGTTCGGCATGAAACAACTGAAGCCTGCACTGCAATCAATGCTGGGTTTCATAGCTTTCATGTTGACAGCTGTTTGCAAATCAACTGCAGGTAAAACTTTCCTATAGCTCAAAGGTGTTCATCAGTGACATCATGTGACATCTTGCCAAGGTTTTTCCTACAGTTGCATTTGGTATTCAAGTCTTCTGAAGGAGGCTGATAATCCTACGACTTTCCCCTGGCTTCTGGCTGTTTTGAAAATTTTGGGGAGAAACCACTCGCCACTTTTCCACCCTCCGCAAACGCGTACGCGGATCGGACCGCGGATCTTACGCCACAGAGAAACATGGCCGATCACAGTTTCGCGGATCGATCATGGGTGGTGCAGGTTCTCCAGGTTCTCCCTTTCTCTTTCAAGGTCAAGCTCCTCGTGGTTCATTCTGATCCAAAACTTGACAACAAAATCTGGTCATGAAAGTTGATCAATCTCTGGATGTGCCCCTCATCTGAGTGATCCTGAGTGGCAACCCTCACCCACACCGAACTTTCGTCAGGCGGTTTTCTCCCTTTCCACCATCAGGTCTCTCTGATCTGAGGCTGCCTGGCCAGCTGTGATCGAAAAAACATCAACGATATCCCCATCTTCAGCGGTGAAAGGCCAGATTTCTTTGTGAACAACAACTTTTTGTGGTTAAAACCCATTTATCACATGGTTCACACGTTCACACCCTTATTTAATGGTTCAAACAAAACCCACACTTACTGCCTATAGAAACAATTGATCAAACGGTTAATTCACCATCAAATGCTCACCAATGGGTGATTTTCGAAGAATCATCTAGAAGTGGATGATTTGTTCATTAAGAGTCTGAACATTTCAATCCCGGGGAAGTGATCATAGTGATCGGTACCACCAAAGAAACGAACGGCCATGTGGAGAAATGATGATCCAATGATGATATCTTAAAATCCACCTGACATTCCGAAAAGTACTGGGTGGATTACGTCATAGGCATTCCCAGTTCACGGATGATGATCCCACTACCATCATTAGCATGAATTCATAAATCCTGACTATCAATTGGGGGATTACCCCACCCCACAATAGATTGAAATTACTTGCTACGACTATCCACATATTATAAATTGGTAGGAGAATGAACTGGGACTTAGGCCAAAAAAAACAACAGGTAGTTATCACTGTAGTTATCACCAATATTAGTATCTGATAGTATCTGATAGTCATCAACCAAGGATAGTTATTAACATTTATTAACCAATTAAATCGGATGGTTAACAGGATATTGGTTGATAATCCTGTGGATCCCTACGATCGCCTGTATCGTCTCGGCGACGTCCACACGACTGGCGCAACATCCGAAAGTGGAGTGGTATGGTATCTGGTGGTGCAGAATCTGGTCGACACACCATGAATCTCATGAATTTCCAAAAAACACCAAATCATAGCAAATGGTGATTAATGGTGGTTAATGGTGATTAATGGTGATTAATGGTGATTAATTAATGGAGGTTATTAATGGTGGTTAATGATGGTATATTAATTACCTGGTTGGTGGTATACCTACTCCTCTGAAAAATATGAGTTCGTCAGTTGGGATCATTGTCCCCAATGTATGGAAAAATAAAAATGTTCCAAACCACCAACCAGTTTTCTATTCTTCTATCCAATTTCAAACAGCTCATCCAGGAAAAACAGGGTCGTTCAGCGCCTCTTTGGAGTTGCCTTGGCGAGCTGTGAAGCGCTCGAAAAAGGCCATGACATAATGTTTTGGTGACACCACAGGAGAAAGGTAAAACACATTCAATAAATACATGCCAACAATCAGGAAAAAATAGTCAAATAATAGTAATAATCCAAATTAATGATGTTTGTAGTAGAATAATATCAATATGATTCTATATATGTTTATAGTATTAACAAGAACCTCTCATTCTTGGCTTAAATGTTTGCTGTAGATCACACTTTAATATGTTTCATCTAGACCCTTTCAGAGTTCTGAGTGATCTTTGATGATTGGATTCTGGCTCAAGAATGGGTTACCAATGGAACCACAAATGGCTGGCCAGATCACATTTATCAAATCGTGGATGGGATGATGAACCATAGTTAGCCACTTTTATAAGTCTAATATAAGCCATAATCAGGCAGGTTAGTTAGTAACTGATATGATATATGACATGAACATATCATATCATTAGCCACAAAAAATATAGTATAGATAAGATATCATGACTCTCATCCAATCCACTAAGAAGATATATACTCCATATAAGATAGTTTAGTGGATTGGAGTCATATATCACATGTTCACCACATTGAAGCCACGAATAAATCATCGCTGCCTGGAGATTCAATGCTGCCATCGCCCCCTCGTCTTCCTGACCCGTGGCGGAGTGCTGGGAAAGCCTAAAATCTAAGATGAAACTGGATGAGCACCGCAAAAAAATGATTATGTTGATATGTGTTAATAATAGATCCAATAGATAACTATATATTTATATTATATATACTATAGATAACAATAGATAAGTCATCTTCTAGGCAACATTTTTCAGGCTTTGTTAGGACTTCCAAGGGAAAATCAATGGGAAACTTCATCAATTCAATGGGAATTTCGGCCACATCCCTGGTCGGCAGCTCAGCCTCCTCTTCCTCCGATGAACAACTCTTATGCATCCTGAAGACTAACCTTGGCGCATCTCCGGAGTCACACCTCTTGCAGGCTATTCATCTATCCATCCATATCCATCCAAAATTCTCTGACCCACTTCGAATGGATTGATTTTCATGATGTTCCCCATGGCCACTTGTAAGGTCTACCCTCATCTCCCCTGGGTGCCCCCAACGGCGTGCAGATTAAGAAGATGGAGCAAAGGACGAAAACCTGCTCATGTCACAAGACACTGGGGGGTCAACAGTAAAGAAATTGGGATTTGGCCCATCAATGAGGTTTCAACCATCATGAGAATAGGGATGGAACCCATTGAACCCTGAAGAACTTGGGATTGTACTGATTCAAACCCATCTTAAGTGTCAAAACATTCTCTTCGTTTGTCCAACCATAGGGGAAAATTCGCCCAATCTGTTGTCATTCAAATTGGAGAATTCTTTTCTCACCAGATTTTTGGGTGCCTAATTTTCACAAACCACATATGCCCAGCTAAAAGAAATGCCAAAAGAGAGCATTGACAGCAGATGGATAGCTAAATGATACCAGTAGATGGCCCACTTGACGCTCGATGGGTCTCTGACGCTAAGACAAATTACAAACTTTCTCGGTGCATGTGCAATTTGGTCATAGATGGAGTGGTGCCATCCGACAGCTTCTTGAAACAATCACTGGTTGGTGGTGCAATAACCATCTTGAAAAATATGAAAGTAAATGGGAAGGATTATCCCATATATCATGGAACATAAACAATGTTTGAAACCAGCAACCAGATCATAATTGATGGTCATTGTAACCTGTAGAATTCACTATTATGATCGTAAGTTTTTTACACTTACATCTTTTGGAGGATTGCTATAAGGCTCTGCGAACAACTTCGATTCCCCAAGTCACATGGGATCTGGCGCAGCCCGCGCAGCCCCGGCCTTGCAGTATCGCTCGATTACGATCATCTTCTGCCTACGCCAGATCCAACCGGATCTTGGAGTGGTTTGGGATGGGAACAGTTAAAAGAAGCACCAGCCATTGGGAAACTAACAATGGTTGGCTATCATCCATCATCCAGTGAAAAGTATCCATCATCCACAAGCTTATATTTTTTGGGGGGGATTGATTTTTGGGGCTTTTGGTTTATGGAACTATTGGAGTTGGCGCACAGGAAAGCGACGGGAGTCGTAGAGTGACCGGTTCCAAGCACCAAAATTGCTCAATTTCCATCTCCAGGTTTCCTCGGCAAATTACTATGAGATTGTGAAATATCATATCATTACGACAAGTCATAATCATCGCTAATTACTGTTATCATCTGTTATCATTGTATATCATTATCATTGCTAGGCTCCAAGACTTGTTCAGTTGATCTACCCTCTGGTTATTTAACATAGCCATGGAGAATGGCCCATTTATAGATAGTTTACCTATTAAAAATGGGGATTCTCCATGGCTATGTTAAATAACCAGAGGGTAACTTGCTCCATGTGTGAAAATCAGCAGCTACTCAGCTAGGGCCTCTCAGGAGACAACGTCTCTTGCTGCGGGATCACTGGAGCTTCAAACGCCTCACCCCCGTTGGACTTGCGGAAGATGATCCCCTCCGAAAAAAATCCAAATGGATTCATAAATGGACCAACATACCACAACTGGATGAGTTATGATGAGTTCCAACAGTTCCAACCTAAAAATATGTTATGTTCAATCAATTCATATCAATTCCAAAGACGTTAGAATTACACTATGTTGTTTTGGAGTCCAAGACCTTGACATCGGATTTTTTCGGAACTTGCCTCCCACTGCATCGCCACAGAGTGAAGCCTCGCACGCTGGCAGGTGACTGGGAGCATGCCATGGCATGCGTAGTGAGTTGATGAGTGTTCAGATGGGATCCATCATTGGATATGATATGTGGATATGATATGAACATATATGAACCATAGTTGTATATGGATATGAATTGAAATTTGTGTTCCATCTTTTGATCATGTTGGACCCATTGTTCTATATTCAGAGTCATTCATCAAAGCACCTACCATCATCCAGTTTTCCATCAATTTTCGCCGAATGTATCCATCAGCCTCCTTGAAGGACCAAAGGGCTGAACCTGGCGGTCGGCATCTGACAGGGATGGACATGGAATCAACATATGAATGAAACAACAAATCAGCATTGGCTTATCCGATATCATTTTTTCTTTCGCGGGGAAGAGGCTTCTGTTCCAACCTTCCTCTTTGCAAGATCGGACAGGATAGAGAAGTATGGTTGTCTGGTCCATTTCACCATCAATTCAAAAAAGCGGCCTGTTTTGCTCCAGTTTTTTTATACTCCACAGCACACACCTTCGTTTTTTTGAAAAAAACATGGTTAATTAATTGATCGAATTAGCGTATGTGTGTTTCTCACGTGACAGCAAAACATCCGGTCATGCGCTAGTTTCAACAAAGGTTGACCCAGGCCCCCAACCTGTCTAGCGTTACCATGAACAGAGTTGGCCAACTGTGTCTCCTCTAAAAGCACGGACAACCTCGGGAAGTCTGAGACAACGGGAGATGGATATCCGTCGGATGTCTATTTTAAGACCTACTCGTGTTGGGTTTTGAATGTTTAAACGACATTTGTAGGGTATTTGTTGCATTCTTGGGGCGTGTCATCAATACTACAAGAAATGCAATAATTTGGGGTAATTATAAAACAACAAACATGGAGGGATGCCCTCTAATTTACGTCCATCGAACGTTGGGAATGCATGATTAATTTTGCGGTGTACCTCATTCTGAGACAACTCCAGAGTAGTTTGCCCAAAAAAAATGTAGACCTCAACAGCCAGATGTTTAGCAGAATCTTCTCAAATTGGACTTGCGATAGATACTGGAAGTTGGGGTGTTTCAAGCATGGGAATTCTCCGACACAGAGTTCGAGGATTTTGGGGAAACGCAAGAATCGTAAAGACAAAAACAGAGCTGAGACCTGTGGAACATCTGCTTTGAATGAGTAGTTTTAGAATTTCAGGATCTTGTCTCATCACATTTGGTTCAGTTTCCTTTACAAATGGGCTGATCCTGGCTGATCTGGTAAGGCCATAAACCATCCCAGCAACCAATCGGTGCTGGCTGAACAAGCCGGGCTAAGCTGCAGGCTGTTTGATGTCAGCAGGCTGCGGTTCACCTGCCAGGCATGGATATTTCACCAAGAAAGTCAAGTCAAATTGAGCAAAATCATCATTAAACTCATCAAGATTATGGAATGTTGATGATTTTTGATGATGTTTGATGATTTTTGGGTCTGTCCCTCCCAAAGTGTGGCGTTCCCTCCATCCACAGCAAGCACTCCGCGTTGCGCCGCAACGCCAGCCTAGCACAAACCACCTGACGTTGGGCGTACAAGGAGGTCGAGGCACACTGCCCTCATAACCTCAGTGAAATACGTGACATTTCTGGCACGCGCCTCCTTGTGAACACACGCCGAAAAAGGTTGATCTTCCGGCGACCTTTTTCGTGCTATACCGGACTATACCTCATTTTTTGGACACTCCTTTTTGAACCCGCACAATGTTGCCAGCAAAATGCTTATATATGTCACTCATGTCCTCTCAGAAATGCACAAAAAATCCCATTCGGCCCCATGCCATCAACTACCTGTCCAAGCACAGAGTGGAAAAAGAAAGTCATGTCCAGCACTGTGCTTTGGCTGCATTTCCGGAGAATGGACTGCAGGTCCATGGCTGAAACTTTTTCTGAACCCAACATCTGGGTTTGACTCAGAATAGGGCACCAAAAAAAAACGTCAAGAAAGTAATGGTTCAGAACATCATTTCCTCCATGGTTTTGATTGTCATAAGCACATTGCGGACGCAATCAGCTGATGACTCGCACTGAAGACACATCACCAACGTGGAATTCATCACTTTCTGCCTCACTGGTTGCTGGTCCCCATCTTCATTGAAGTCCAAAACTGGAAGTGCGATCGAAAATTTCTGCACCCAGCAATTTTCAGCTTCAGCCAATGCAGTGCATCACCATGCCTATCAACCCACCAGCTGCTACAGCACGGTGCCGAGAATTCAGCACCCTGCTCAGCAGCTGGCTGTCGAAGCACAGAGCGGAAAAAGAAAGTCATGTCCAGCACTGTGCTTTGGCTGCATTTCCGGAGAATGGACTCCCGGTCCATGGCTGAAACTTTTTCTGAACACAACATCTCGGTTTGACGCAGAATCGGGCACCACAAAAACGTCAAGAAAGTAATGGTTCAGAACATCATTTCCTCCATGGTTTTGATTGTCATAAGCACATTGCGGACGCAATCAGCTGATGACTCGCACTGAAGACACATCACCAACGTGGAATTCATCACTTTCTGCCTCACTGGTTGCTGGTCCCCATCTTCATTGAAGTCCAAAATCGGAAGTGCGATCGAAAATTTCTGCACCCAGCAATTTTCAGCTTCAGCCAATGCAGTGCATCACCATGCCTATCAACCCACCAGCTGCTACAGCACGGTGCCGAGAATTCAGCACCCTGCTCAGCAGCTGGCTGTCGAAGCACGGAGCGGAAAAACAAAGTCATGTCCAGCACTGTGCTTTGGCTGCATTTCCGGAGAATGGACTCCCGGTCCATGGCTGAAACTTTTTCTGAACACAACATCTGGGTTTGACGCAGAATAGGGCACCACAAAAACGTCAAGAAAGTAATGGTTCAGAACATCATTTCCTCCATGGTTTTGATTGTCATAAGCACATTGCGGACGCAATCAGCTGATGACTCGCACTGAAGACACATCACCAACGTGGAATTCATCACTTTCTGCCTCACTGGTTGCTGGTCCCCATCTTCATTGAAGTCCAAAATCGGAAGTGCGATCGAAAATTTCTGCACCCAGCAATTTTCAGCTTCAGCCAATGCAGTGCATCACCATGCCTATCAACCCACCAGCTGCTACAGCACGGTGCCGAGAATTCAGCACCCTGCTCAGCAGCTGGCTGTCGAAGCACGGAGCGGAAAAAGAAAGTCATGTCCAGCACTGTGCTTTGGCTGCATTTCCGGAGAATGGACTCCCGGTCCATGGCTGAAACTTTTTCTGAACACAACATCTCGGTTTGACGCAGAATAGGGCACCACAAAAACGTCAAGAAAGTAATGGTTCAGAACATCACTCCTCCATGGTTTTGATTGTCATAAGCACATTGCGGACGCAATCAGCTGATGACTCGCACTGAAGACACATCACCAACGTGGAATTCATCACTTTCTGCCTCACTGGTTGCTGGTCCCCATCTTCATTGAAGTCCAAAATCGGAAGTGCGATCGAAAATTTCTGCACCCAGCAATTTTCAGCTTCAGCCAATGCAGTGCATCACCATGCCTATCAACCCACCAGCTGCTACAGCACGGTGCTGAGAATTCAGCACCCTGCTCAGCAGCTGGCTGTCAAAGCACGGAGCAAAAAAAGAAAGTCTCATTGTCCAGCACCATGTTGTTTCACAGCTGGTTCAGAACTCTACCCTCTGGTAACTTGGTATGGTTTACGAAGTGGAAAATCTTGGAAGCCATGGCCCTGTTTAGTGATGATTTACCTGTTGAAAATGGCAATTCCCATGACAAACACATAGAGGATATCTCAGTTTTTGGCTTGGGCCAGGCCTGCGGGCTAATTCACCATGGCTGAACCACAAAAATTGTGAACCCAAGATCTGGGGTTGGACATGAACATTAGATCATTATTTGGGTAAACATTGAAGGGTGAAAATTGATGGGGAAAAATTGGGAAAACATTTGAAAATCCAAATTGGGAAACCAAAGTTTTCCCAGTATAAATAGCCAGACATTGAGGATAAATCATGATAAATCATCCATGTAAATTCCCCTAAACCCCCTAAACGTTGGGCTCAACTCTGAGAGCTCCTCCCCTGCAGCCATGACACTGTAGAGCTTGTCATTCTGCCCTCCGAGCACCGCTCTCAGCTCCAAGGGGGCCGAATCCTGGGTAACTTAGAGCGGAATCCAAGGGGTTCCATGGTGAAACCCATGGTGAATGCAGGGGAAATCCATAGAAATCCCATAGAAATCCATAGAAATCCCATGGTGAATGGGGGCTGTTTCATCCGACTGGGGATGGATTGCTCCATTGGGATCGTTGTGATGGGGACTCGCGTGACGTTTTGCAGTTGTCGTTGGGGCAACTCTCCATGGCTGGCCAGCAGATGGCTGGGGTGATGCGATGATCCACCATTGTTTCACCCCCCAAATTTCCCGGCCACTTTCCACACCTTGGCTTTGGACAGGGCCAAAGCTTTATGAAGCCACCTTCCAGGGCAATTGAAGCCGTTCATTGGGATCCCAAGGATGGGTTGGATCAGCCCTTGGATCAGCCCTTGGATCCCTCCCAATTGGCACGTGGCGCACCTCACCAGAGCCGTTGCCGTGCCGTTCATTTCTCCCAAGAAGACTGGGGAGGCCCGCAGAACGAACATGGAAAGAACCTCGGGCTCAAATTCCTTCGGATGGTCACTGGATGATCTGGATGGAGTTCCACAGAAGTTTCGATCCACATATCTTTGCTTCATGACATTATATATCTTCACAAAATCTGCCCATGCTTCATGATGGTTAACCGGTCAACCTTAACCTCCTATGAAACTATCCCAATTGTATCCCCATGTTTAATGCTGATAAAAACGACACTGTGAGGCTCCCACCACACGATGTCCAGCATACTTCCGATTCTGGGCCTCCACCACTTGTCTCACCTGCAGTGGGAGGTACCATGGAAATTCAACAAATAAGCCAGAAATATGACCAACATAGAACCAAGTTGATACTATAGGAACTATACTATGAAAATCTATGATATATTCTGATATCTGGTAGATACAATGTGGATCATGGGGGTACTAACAAGTAACATCAGCTAATATCATCAAACAGAATTGGTAGAAACCCAACAGCAAAATATCTCTGCAGATGCCCATCTCTGGGCCTCGTTCTGCAACTTGTCGGCATGGTTCAGGACGACCTGACGTCACTGGCAAAACACAAGAGATGAGGAAGCCCAAGAATCAAATACTGATGGTTCATCAATGGTTCATCTATTGAATCTATGATCCATGCCCAACTGCATCATCAACAACTTCACTTAAGAGTTATGGCTCAAAGAATCCCGAAGATAGATACCTAGATATCCCAAAATATGGACCAAAACAGCTAACTACTCAAAAGGGTAGAAACCCTGAGGCATTCTTAGGCCACGTTGACCATCCTTGCCCCGTGGCCCTCAAGAAAATCTCACGCAGCCTTCGCATCCTGCTTCAAAAGCGATGTGACCTCAATCAAATGGGCCATGGGCCCCGCAGCAAAAATCCCTCTTGGGCACCTCGCTTTTGTCAAGAAACAGGGTATGGGTCGATTTTTCTTCCCCGGACCACCCATGTTTGGTGATTTGAGTTCATGGTTTAGTGTGGTAAACCGCCAAAAACCATCCCCCAAATTACCATAAATGGCTTGTATAAACCATCCCCAATCGTAGCTGAGGGCATGGAGTTCACCTTCAGAGGTTACATCTGTGCCATCCAAATCAGCGTCCCAGGTGCAGCAAAGACGTCTCCCTTGGCAGCATCCACCCAATCTAGAGCTTGCTTTGAGCTCCAATATCCTGGCACGGCAGACGGTGCTGCCCCGAAGATCTCTGGATAGTGATGGTGGAATGAACATGAACCCAATGGCAAATCCGTGTCATTCGATGGATTTCTTCAAGGGAAAACAGGAAACCATGGATTTTCCCATGAAATATGGGGGGGTGTTCTGTACAATTTCCCTCAAACCAATCCATTGAGTGACTGATTCGTTGATAGAACATATTGACAGATCCAGCTGTGGACAACCATTTCTTGTGTGTATTTCCAAGGTGCTGGTCACTGCTCGACAAATAATGGGATCTTTATGGGATGTAATGGTAGATAATGGTAGATCACGTCATGTTTGGGCACCGCGCCAAGCTACCCCTATCACATTACATCCCCTAAACTTGGATTCCCCATCCGCGAATGGTGTAACTCTTGTGGGAGGAATTGACACCTACGTCTGGTCTCCCTATGTTTAAGTGGTTTAAACAAACAAATGATAAAGATGATATGCCCAATACTGTGGTCAAGGCCGTCACCATCGTTAGAGCCCGTCCAAAAATGGCGATTTCCCTCCCAATTTTTTATGTCCATTTCAAAGAAAAACGAAAATGGGGAATAACACATCAACAGGGTACCATAGGGTACCCTCTGGTAATTTAACATAGCTATTGAAAATGACCATATATAGTGGATTTTCCCATTAAAAATGGTGATTTTCCAGTTCGCTATGTTAGTTTACCATAGGGTACCCTTTTTTGCACAAGCAAAACAGAGCCATCTGCACCTCCCACGTGATCGCTCCATGCGGGCGAGGTGTGGCCGTCCAACTGATTGCGCAGTGACGCCTGGACAAACAACAAAACAGCCTTGACATCATATCATATTTATTTATAGCATTTTATAGCCATGCATTATCTATCCAGAAATTCCATGAAATTCTATATCTATCTATATCTATAGCTCAATCTATGTCTGAATTCATCCAGTTCCAGCACCCCTCCCAGTCCTCCGCACGATGGAGAGCTGCGACTCTGCTGGAGGCATCATCCAGGTCCTGCCAGATCTCCTCCGTGTACTGCAGCAGGTCGTCCGTTCGCCCCAGAGGCAGCGGCTCCTCAGGGAGCCGCGGGGACCCTGGTTGATTCGTGGAGAAAAACGCCCAAAGGGGTGAGATCATCTGCGACTGAAAATGATTTTTCCCCTCCAATTCAAACGGCGGGATTAGGCCGTGACATGATCAGATCATTCTCAGTAATGACTCTCAAATGCTTCAGCAAAGATAACATTTCGAAACAATCATCCACTTTCCGTCCATTCTTGTTTGGCCGAATGTCAGATCTTCCAAATTCCCAAATGTTTCTGACGATATTCCCCAATGTATCAACTGGTCCAAAAATCATCCAAGACTAGATTTTCCAGCAGTCCAAAATCTTGGAAACTATATCATGCTATATCTATATCCCATTATATTCCCATTCATATCCCAAAAAAACACAATTTTCCATGGTTAAATCACCCGTTTTTCTCAGCTCCGCACGTGCCAAAACTGCACTTCCATGGCCCAGGACGCTTGTCGCAGCGTGTGTTCACTGGGCGCATGCACCTGGCTGCGAAGTTCCTTGGGGAACTCCTGATTTTGGCAGGTTTATCATGATAAACTGATAAACCCAAGATTTTTTAATGGATTTATAAACCCAGGAATCAGATTAAGAGCCTCTCAAAAAAATGGGTGAGCAGATTTGTCATGATTTTTTTGAAGCTCAATTCACCAGCTATGGGTGGCACTGTTTTCCGCTGCGCCTCGATGGCAGAGAGGAAGTACTCATCAAAGTCGTGGTAGCCGCTTCCCACCTGCACCTGGCGAGCCCAACATGATCCACCTTGACGGGGGACTTGACGGGGGACCCCACCATGACACAACGACACAAACAATAGGCCTTCTGTATGGAAAAAAACACATGAGAAACACATGTACCTATTTGGTCAAATAGGGTCAAATCATTTCACAATTGGGTACCTTCAAAGCATAGTTGATGCATATTTTCAAAATTGGGTACCTTCAAAATAGGGTCAAATCATTTCACAATTGGGTCAACTGATCTCAGTTGATAGCTGATGGCCTTCCCAGGCGATCGTCCTTCCTTGAAGCGGATGCGGGGCACCCCATCTTCAATGCCACCCTCTTTCACGTCCTGGGACCATCGGCTGACCATTGGTGGTCTCAAAATCTGAGATGAGGCACTTGGAAATCCTATCTCACTGATCTCAGGTTGGAAAATTCAACAGGTTTGAAACCATCATTTGATTTATATTGATTTATGATCTACCCTCTGGATATTTAACATTGCCATGGAAAACCGCCCGTAGAAATAGATGGTTTACCTATTAATAGCATGGTGATTTTCCATGGCTATGTAACAAATAACCAGATGGTATCATTGGATTTAATCTCCAATGAAAACTCAGGTCATTGACCATCGCCAATGACCTAAGATCGCCGGCAGTCCTGTATTCGCCATGGCGAATAGTTGAGTCGAATCTGTAAATCACCTTGGCCATCAGCATCCAATGATCCATTTCCAATTTGATCCAACGTTTCACAAAATCTCTATCTGTTCAATCCCTGTAGAGTAGTTTCAAGAATATCATAACTCACAACATTCAAAATTCAAGTAAGTGGGATGTTGCTTTGCTTGGTAAACCTATTATATCAGATTATATCATACCATGGTCTACTAAAGATATATAAACAAATATGCCAAACCAAGGGCCGTTACCTTCCCAGTTTTACCCAATCATCCCTGGGCCAAGCTCGGGCCGAGCTCCCCTGCTGGGCCGAGCATTCTTCGGCTCGATATCGATGGGCGACTGGAAGTGTCCCTGACAAAGATCACCCCAGGAATCTCCCTCGGCGGCGACCAGGCCAGTGGGCAACGTGACCAATGAGGAATAAAAAAACATGGCATGGTTTAAACCATGGAAAATCATGAAACAAATCATGAAAAAATCATGGAATACCATGAAAAATCATGGAAAACCATGGAAAACCGTGGAAAACCGTGGAAAACCATGGAAAACCATGGAAGATGACGGAACCAATGACTAAAAAGGTCATGGAACATCCTGGGGTGGCACCGAGTCTCACTGAAAACGGGTAGCACAAAGGTTGCACACTGAGCATCTGACCTGCCGCGCATAGTCCCAGTTGGTTGAGGTTTTTGCCTGGTGGAAACGACCAACGGACGCCTGTCTCTTTTGGATATCACGTGATAGTAGGATAATCATAGTTTCATTGACATGATTATACTCCTCGTGGGATCTGATGGAATGTCATAGGATTTTAATCAATTATACTCCCATGATATTTGTGGGATTTGATGAGATGTTTCAAAAATTCCTACTGTTTTTTCCCCACCTGTCAGGTGAGGGTTGTTAGATTTTATGTCAGTTGCTTCCTCCTCGTCCTCCTCCTTCTCGTCCTCCTTCTCGTCCTCCTTCTCCTCCTCCTCTCCTCTCTTCTCCTCTCCTCTCCTCGTCTCCTCTCCTCGTCTCCTCTCCTCCTGCTCCCTGCCGGACTTCAACCGCGACCATCCACGCCCAGTGTGCCCTGCCGGACCTGAACCACGACCATCCCCGCCCAGTGTTCCCTGCCGGACCTCAACCGCGAGTATTCGTGCCCAGTGTTCCCTGCCGGACTTCAACCGCGACCATCCACGCCCAGTGTGCCTTGCCGGACCTGAACCACGACCATCCCCGCCCAGTGTTCCCTGCCGGACCTCAACCACGACCATCCACGCCCAGTGTTCCCTGCCGGACCTCATGTAGGAAGATATGGGACAAAGAATGTGCAGAAGAAAGTTAGAAAGAATGTCAGAAAGAATGTCAGAAGATATGCCAGAAGCTATGCCAGATAGAATGCCAAATAGAATGCCAGATGATGCCAGATAGAATGCCAGAGATATGTCAGCAAATATGCCAGAAGATATGCCAGATAGCAATGCCAGATAATAGCCAGAAGATATGCCAGATAGAATGCCAGAAGATTTGCCAGATAGAATGCCCAAGAATATGCCGATAGATTGCCAGATAGATATGCCAGAAGATATGCCAGAAAGATAATGCCAGAAGATATGTCAGAAGATATGCCAGAAGAATGTCCAGATAGAATGCCAGAAGATATGTCAGAATAAATGCCAGAAGATATGCCAGATAGAATGCCAGAAGATATGTCAGATAGAATGCCAGAAGATATGCCAGATAGAATGCCAGAAGATATGCCAAATAGAATGCCAGAAGATTTGCCAGATAGAATGCCAGAAAATATGCCAGAAGATATGCCAGATAGATATGCCAGAAGATATGCCAGATAGAATGCCAGATTGAATGCCAGAAGATATGTCAGATAGAATGCCAGAAGATATGCCAGATAGAATGCCAGATAGAATGCCAGAAGATTTGCCAGATAGAATGCCAGAAGATTTGCCAGTAAGAGAATGTATAAATGTCATGGTGGGGATCACACGAAGCAAAGTAATTTTCTATTTGTTTACTTTTCCACTGACACTTTACCAGCACCGGCATGTCCTGGCTCAAGAAGGGCCAAAGGTACAAGAGCTTCATGGCGCATGTCAGCGCGGTGCTCTGTTTGAGGATGACATGTGCCGGTGAAGCTCCCGGTATGTTTTTTTTTGGAATATCACTGTGTCATATTTATATCATCATATCATATTCATATCATATTCATATATAAACAAAATACATACATATGACTTGCATATACATGTCAATCATTGATGCTCCGGCAAAAAAGTTGATCCTCACCTTGAGCCGAGCTGAGTTGCCAGGAGAGATCGACCGTCTCAGAAGCCATCAGGTTGACATCGCGATGGAAGCCATGGCCCATTTTTGTAGATGATAAACATATATAAAAATCATGAGTTACCTATTGAAACTGGTGATTTTGCATAGCAAATCAGAGGCTACATGTCACTTCATATCACAAAATATGTTCTGGCTGGTAGTTTGAGACCCCGTGAACACCTATGATCATTGGTCATTGGTTCTCATCATACAGGATATAAGGATGGACAAGAAAAATAATCTGAAACCAATCACCAGTTTTGCACTTATCTTGCAAAACTATGGATATCTACATGGATCTAATATTAGCTTACCAATTCATATCCAGTTTAACTGATCTTCCCCATGTCTTGGTTAAAACCTGCCATCCATTTTAATGGGGAACTGACTGGGCCCACCGTTGTCTAACGGCCTCCTGCTAACAGCTTATCCACCAATTGCGTGGTGGTGAGGCTGTTGGTTTCTCCCCAAGACCTCGGTCTTTGGGCCCCAATGGGCCCATATCCCAAAGGTCACAAGAGCTATAAGATGTCATATGATGTCATATGATGTCATGATTTCATTCTGAAATCTCTATGTCAAGATATGTCAAGTACATTTTTCTTCAGATTTCTCATTGTTCCCAAGTGGATGTGATGTTGGTGTCATGTAAAATCTCCACATCCTATGTATCCTTTCTGGCTGGCAATCAAACGATCAACTTATATCATCCCCCAAAAAAATATAAATGTTTCTCATAGCATCCAATCCAAAAAAGCTTGGTAAATTGAACTTGTTCTATTTCTATCTCTGGGGTGTCCTAGGACTCCCAGCGTGTAGGCAACGTCCACTCCACCCACATAAATGCGATAGCCCGTGACCGGCACCTGCGATTGGGGCGAGATTTTCTCAAGAAAATGTGAGCTACAAAAGCATAGCCATTATACTCTATTAGTATTTGATATACGCTATTAACAGTAAATGTTATAGAAAACGACACGCTTATCATCACAATGATTGCGAAAGAGTGCAAAGCACTACAATGATCTATAATGCACCGTTGGGTTAGTGCTTATAAGGATGGACCATTGACCATGGATGAAATTTAAAGCTGAGAAAACTCCAGATGCGGTCCATTGTCGCGCATATTCACCTGCAACTATCTCAGCAGGAGGATTTTCCCATCCGAACAAGCTGGGAAGAGTTCTTTTTGCTTGAATCAATCGCAGGACTGAAGCAGAATTTCCAATAAATCAGCGAATTTCTCCAACTCCTCAACAGCTGGCGATCAACAGCGGTTTTCTCTACATTCAAAGACTTCAAAGTAGAGCTGAGCTATTTCGCTCAAGACAGAATTTTCAAAAATATGTCAACAACCGCCACCTTCAGATGTTGCCATCCAGTGTTGCTCAACATCAAGGGATCACCAACAATTTCTGGAATCACCCCATGTCTGATCACAGGATTGGGTCAAAAGATGGTGTTATCCCATCCTCATCATCCGATGAATAATTTGCGGCATGACATGGCATGACCCCATCCCGGATTTAAAGTTCTATGGTGTTATCCCATCCTTCATTACCATCATGTACTTCCTCCATGGTTTCCTTTCACCCCATGGCATCACTCAGCAAAACCCTGTCCGTGTTGTGAATGATTGATCAACAACTATCTACAAGCGATTTCAAATAGCAATGGATTGGCATGAAAATCAAGAGGGAACTTGAAATTGATTTTAAATAATAATATCAAACCGAAAAGGATGTTTGATTAACCCCAAAATGGCTAACTACATGGATGATTTCGGGTTCCCCAGGTTGCAATTATCCCTTGACATACCGCGACTGTTTCTTCGCAATGGCTTGAAGGAAGCCGGTGTTGCGCCACCTGCGACAACGAGGCCCTCATGACATGTGGTACACCATGTTGGATATGTTACTTAGCCTGTCTTGGTATATCACCATCAACATCGATACTGGCAAGGGCGTGCAAGTGACTGACTTCAAAGCAAAAGGTCTGACAAGCGACCAAGTGCATGGACACTTGAGAGAATTCCATGGACATGGGTGGTGAAATCATGTAAAATGATGAGCATCACCACTTCATGGAACAGTTGGTCCAGGGCAAAAAGTTCAAAGCTTCGCAAACTCACATCAATTCCCAAGGGTTTCTGGTTGAACCATTGAAACTGGTTTCGCCCATTGCATTCGCAGCCCTCATCTTTCAGAAACTTTCAGAGAGAACTGCCAAAACATCCCGCTGGCGGTTTCCTGGAAGCTTCACCTTCGCGGATCCACAGCTCCACAGCGGATCCTCGTGGCGCTTGCCTAGGCTCCCAAAACTGGTGGAATCTGCCAAAAGTGCCGATGACATGAACTGAACAAGGTCTGGCGTCGCAGCGCACTTTTTTTCAATGTCAGACAGCCGATAGACAGCACCATCTCTCAGCGTGCAAATTCAGGTGCCTGGCTCTCTCCTATGCCGAGAGCAAATCAGCGATGCTGGCCGCAGCCTCGTCTCCACCTCCGCTGCAGACATCATAGATGCAGTCGGAGAAGAGTTCGGCATCCAATGTCTTCTTCGACCCAAAATGCTTCTCACAAATGCCGTGAGCCATGTCTTTCTCAGACTCAGTGCATGTCGGTGAAGTAGACAACAAAGATAAAGACCCAGGAGGATGGTCCACCGTCTTGGCCTTCAGGAACAGCGCTGCTTCCGCAGATCCTCCAAGACTGAGCCATTCACCGACCTGCAACTTTGCACTCATTGCACTCGGTCCAACTCATGACGTCTTGATGGAACGTTTTTCAAGTTAGGTGGCCCTCTTCATTCCGTTTGGCCCTACATAGATGCAACATGATGCAACATGATGCAACATGATGCAACATGATGCAACCACACTCCCAGCCCCGCCTGAAACTTCGAATCAGTCTTCAATCTCGTCAGGCCAGAAGACAATATCCTGGTTTTCTGCTCATCCGGCGCAGCTCCCAACTGACCTCCGACGTACTGAAGGTCCTGTTTGTGCAACATCTCAACCTTGAAGTCGAGGTGGGCACCAGGCTTGCACCTTGTCATCACCTTCGCCAGCTTGTTCAGGAGTATGGAGGTGTGCATGTAGAGACGTCCCTGGCCCTTGATTGGTGGTTCAACTTCCAAGTTTGACTCGGAAAAATCTTTTGATTCGGCCTCCACCCATTGGCCAGAGCTCTTGGCACGCCACTGGCAATCCTGTGCTGTGATTTCTAACATCTCTGCTTTGGATCCCTTGATCTTCAGTGCCAACGCTTGGGTCGTGAACCTGCGTAGCTTGCGAAGAGCTCTGCTTCGGTTTCTCCGGTGCCCTTGGAATATGACCATGCCACAAAGTTCCCTTGCGACAACAAGGTATAATGGGCGCCACGCAGGGAATGGATATGCGGATCACCATCCGCCTGACCTGCCCAAAATGTGACCATGAATTCTAATGACAACGGTTCAATTTTGTTGGGATTCCAATTTCGTGGTTCCAAACTTTTATAAATTCCAATCTCATGGATTGTCGCAGACATCATGCCTAAGAAACCAAACAATACAATCATAATCCCGCATCAAGATCATCCACCCATGGTGTTTGAACGTTTTTGAAATGGTTCATATTTCGGTCTTTGAAGTATTTTGTCTCACAAAATCTCTCAGGTATCTTCACCTACCACGTCATCGTTCGCATTCGGATCGCAGCATTTCAGGAGGAAGCTGAAAGTTCTGGTCGTGTAGTTGGGCAGCTGGAACGTACTTCAGGGTTGATGGATCTTGGCACACATGGGAAACAACATCATGAGATCTGAAACGCTCAAGAGACAAGACCCCAGATGGGTCAATGTGCTACAGTCACATTCAGTCACTTCAAAGTCGGGTCAGACCCTGAAACAATCACAGAAACTTTTCGCATCCCATCTAGCTGAAGACTAGGCGAGTTGATTCACGATTCGTTCGACTCATCGGCCAAACCTCATAATTAATACTCAAAGTGTGGATCTAATGAGTGTAATGGAAGAATCTGACCGAAGACAAGAACAATCAAACACTGAATTTAGTGTGAATGCGTTGTTGAATCATTGCTACTTTTTTTCATAAACCTCAGTTCTATGACACTTAGTAATTAGGTAATTTAATTTCAGTAGACAAATATGTTCATCTCCGTACTCAATCATATTCATATTATTATATATATATAGAGAGAGAGAGAGTCATATAGCTACAGAGTGTGCTTGACATCTTCATTTCACGTTGGCAGGTGTTTGGCTTGTCACATAGAGCTGCTAAAACAGCCTAACTAACTTTGCCCTTCTGAAACTGCAAACAAACAAACCAACTCGATGTTAGCTTGCGCGGTCCATTGGAAGACAGACTGGAGCTGTCTATGATCAAAGCTGACGCCTTCGAACTTTTTGAAGGTCTGTGAATTTATCTGAAAAACCTGAAAGGTTGCACAAACGAAAAATCAAGAGTGTGATAAGAGCCTCCGAAGAATGTTCGGGAAGCACGGTCGAAATATATTCCTGCCTGGATCTTGAAACAACCCCCTTTTTCTGCTCGAGTTTCTTTTGCAATCCCTGGAAGTGTGCGGTTTCAAAAAAAGAATGTAATTACGGTTTATCAAAAAGTGCTTGGATTCAATTCCTTCGTGCTCAAACTTTTGTTGAACAAGCACACTTTTTGAAATTCCGCTTGTTTGCGCGAAATTGCGCTCGTTGTTGCACACTGCATCTTCATTGCTGATACGCACATAAAGCCACACACAACAAATGAATGTCAAAAGTGCAAAACAGTTTTTTTAATGTCTGTTTTGGCAAAACCTGCTCGTTTTGCAAACAACTGCGCGGTTTATGAAACGAAGTTCGAACTGTAAAACAAATGGCTTGATAAAGAAAAGAGTGCGGGTTTGAAGATCCAGGTGCTTGAAAGAAGGTCGAGTATGTTCGTGCTCGGCGTCCAAAGTAAAGGTGGTTTTAAGCCAAACAGGAAATCTCGGAGGTACAATGCTTTGAGCGATTGCTGCAACACAGCCAGACAAAGAAAACTCGGAGATCGTCGAGATCGTCGACTAGGGTTACTGAATCAGGTTCATGGAAAGGAAAAAGTGTTGATATGGGAGATATATGGAGATATGCTTTAATCATCTTTAGTCAATGTTGCTCAATTTCCGAAGGTCTCACGGCCGAAGTGCATAAGCGGAGGGGAGTAAAACAAAGATGCCCTTTGCGATCTGAACAACTTTCCTGTCGAAATTGAATCTTTCAGTGTCAGCTTGCAACGTCTAGAGTCTAGAATACGTGTCTAGAATACGTGTCAGACATACTCGCCAGGGCCCCCCAAACCAACAACTACCGCGCAAGCACGACTTGGCACATCTTTCCCAGTTTAACATGCATAGTTTAACTATAACTTCGACAACACTTTCACGGCTATGGATTATGATGATCTGCCGCGACTTCCATGCACCCTGTCCTGACGTTTGATGAACACTGAGCCGGCTCTACCATTTCGCAGGTGGAGTTGTAGTTGCGGACTTGGAAATTTTCATTTGGGTTGTCCACCCGTTGGACACACAAGCCGACCACTTGGGTATTGGGCGGAACTTGCTGCAGATGCTGAGGCGGGAAGGCACTGACGTGATTGAATGTGCAACTCCTGTGTGGATCTCGGCTGGTTTTGTTGGGGGTTGGGTCCTGGCATGAGAAGTTAAAGCCACTAGGCATAACTATCTCCGGGTCATTCACTGGCTCTGCCCGGAAGCACCGCAAGGCACTGCTGGTCGGCTCTGCTGGGGTGATGATCGACCAATCCACACCTGGGAGTGAAGTATCTGTAGTGTCCCGAACAAACTCAACATCGGCGTCTCCGCCTCCGTCAGTCTTCTGGAAAACTTGTCGCCTCACACTCCCAAAAGAAAACGCCTGGCACAGGCAAAAAGCGGTACTGGCACCACCATTTGCAGAACCCTCCGCACGGCCGCACTGCGAGACGGCCTCTACGGCCGGATTGTTTGGCGTCGGCGTGGCCACTGCGAACGGGCCACCATCTACCTGCACAGAGGAGTAGACTGATTGAGCCAAGGCATCGCACGTTCCATCCGTGGTCGTGTCGTTGATCATCCCTGAGGCGCGGAGTTGCATCAGCGCGCCTTGGTCACTGGGACTCGGACAGCTTGCTGCATCCACACTCTGGCCCATCAGAAGGACGGCAAGGATCATTAGAGGTGCCATGGCGGATCGAGCTGAAGAGATGACACGGTATCGAAATTAACTATCGCTACTGAGGCCCAAGGAGGCAGTCGCATGTCTGGCCAAAACGAATGCACCCCAAATGCAGAGAACAAGGTCAACATCGATTCGAAATATTCTCTAAGAATTTCAAAGATGTGCTCCCATGTTCCCCCGTACATTTGGCTGTGCTGGGTGCGATCAAACATCACTCAACATCCATCCGCTCAGCTGAGGCAACAGACGTCAAAACTCCGCGCGTGCGGGGAGCCAGAGTTGGACACCTCAGCTGTGCAACCGACGCCATGTGACCAGCCACGTGACAAGATTTTTTCCGTCAAGGGCCAACGTTCACATCCGTGTGACCCCAATCGTTCCCCGATACCAGCATGGTGTGGCACCTGTAACCTATGGAGACCCTGTGGAAATCACCAAACTGACCTGGTGGGAAAACGACTTGGACGCACTTCCATCTCGTAGCGTCTGGGCATTGTGTTTTGACATCGAAAACAAAGACAAAACAAGAATAGACGAAAGTCTGTCTGTGAATCTCTGACTTCGCGAAGACAACTAAGCAAGAATTGAGGCATCAGCAAAGCCAGTTCTGGCGAAGATCACTGACACACAAACAACGACCAGAAACCAAGTGCTGAAGCATCAGCGCACCCCGTTCTTTGAAGCCCGCCCCCCATGCCATGTTATGCTCAACATGTTTAGCTGGGTGGTTCACCTGAAGATGTTCAATCAACGGACTTGGTATGGGCTGACAAAATGTATCAAAGTGAAAGTGGATGAAAAATGTCAAAATACAGATAAAACATGACAAACCCCCTTGAAACCGGATGACAAACGGATGAAAAACCGACGAAAATCCGATGAAAATGCTGAGAATAAGACCTCTTCATATGGCCAATTCTTGCAACGACGAAGGATCAGCTCTCCGCCACTCCACGCCGGCAATGGCCAGGATTTTGGTTCTGGAAACTCCCCACAACTTTCGGGTGACGGTGACAATTTTGCAGCTAAACTGCCCTTTAAAAACATGCCAACCATTTCAAATAGTTCAACAAAGTTTGCCAGAATTGATCAGAATTGGCATCAAATCCCACCACCATTCCGCAACATCCTCAACCGTCCCAACCCCTTCCATGTTTCCCATTATTCTTTTTGCCCAGCTGCAACTTCACCGTGTCCTCACATTGCAGCCTTCGGTCCGCTCCCGTGGCTTTCGGCAGCGCCCAGAAAGCCAAGCACTGCAGGGCCCAGCGCCAGCGGCTGCGCGGGTCAACATGGCTACAGGTGAGCCCAAAAAGTGGGTGCTGGGAGTTAAGAAGAGTGTTGTGGATTTGTTGGTTTCAAGTCGTGCTGATGGTGATGATCTGTGCAATCTTTTTGGTGCTCTGCTATCTTGGAAGCCCACAACAACTTTGAACAATGATGTCTGGGTGTTGACGATGGCCGTGATAAACATGTTGTGTATGCTGTGGCCTTTGCAACCCATTTCTGTGCTGCTCCACCACTTTCAGCTCAAGCTCCAAGCTGTTGATTGGCGAAAATGGTATAAACTATGCATATAACTAACCTAAGAATCTAGGATGTGTAAACCTATAACTGTTTATCAAGAATTTTCTGAGATTGCTTCTTTGATTCCAATTCCTACGTCTATGATTTAATCGAACCCAATTGTTGCAGGATTCCTGAACGATTGTTGATCATTAGTAAACCCAATGATTGATCAAGAATGATCTACAATTGATTTCAAATAGTACATCATTGGCATGATAATCAAGAGGATACATGATTTTGGATAATGTCAATCCAGGCTTGATTCATCCCTGGTTTATGAATGGGTGTACCAAGCTTGATAGGAATTACAAACATTTTGGAAACCCCCCAGATAAGTTAGCAAGGGTTTATCAATCTGGGGAAGTCCCACCAACCATTCTTACAAGAATATTAAAGTATCAGACTCAGACCACTGATCAAATTTCACCACATTTTCATGTCTCGCTCCTTGCTGCGATGTTTTGAAGTCAGCAAGTTGGGGCATTTCTTTCCAACTATTCCACTAAACTCTTCACCATCGAGCACCACAAACGGTGTGAACCGAAAGACCCAAACAAAAATGCTAAAACCATCACAGGAATCTGGGATTCCCCTTGATGTGGTGTCCTCAACCTTTGGTTGGACCACCCACAATTTCCATTATTCAATGGATGGTTTTTGACCCAAAAGCAGTGACACCTAGTTGGAATGATTCAGTGCCTACTATTCTATATATCGATTATGAATGATGAAAATCCAATCTGTCTGGAGGTATCGTGGGAAATTATCACAAAAACATCCGGATAATCATATAAATTCACCAGGAGGATTTTCCCATCCAAAGAAGCTTGGAAGAGTTCTTTTTGCTTGAATCAATCGCAGGACTGAAGCAGAATTTCCAATAAATCAGCGAATTTCTCCAACTCCTCAACAGCTGGCGATCAACAGCGGTTTTCTCTACATTCAAAGACTTCAAAGTAGAGCTGAGCTAGTTCGCTCAAGACAGAATTTTCAAGAGTATGTCAACAACCGCCACCTTCAGATGTTGCCATCCAGTGTTGCTCAACATCAAGGGATCACCAACAATTTCTGGAATCACCCCATGTCTGATCACAGGATTGGGTCAAAAGATGGTGTTATCCCATCCTCATCATCCGATGAATAATTTGCGGCATGACATGGCATGACCCCATCCAGAAAATTTGAAGTTCTATGGTGTTATCCCATCCTTCATTACCATCATGTACTTCCTCCATGGTTTCCTTTCACCCCATGGCATCACTCAGCAAAACCCTGTCCGTGTTGTGAATGGAATGTCCGGCTTGTGGAAATTCGTGAACTTGAAGTGACGGTAGAATCGATTCCTGCATATTGGCACCACAATCCACTTGAATAAAACGGAGCCGTTGATCTTGATCATTTTCTGAATCATTTTCGGGCAGCAAAGGTCGGTACAAATATGCTCAACGCAACGTACCTCTGGGGTATCGGCCTGAGTTGTTAATAAAATTCAGCCATTGTATATCCTGCGGAAAAAAAGACCTGGACTACGCCCTAATACAGCTGCTCACACAATGTATGATGAAATTCAACACCCCAATGCCAATATTTAGGTGTAGCCCACTTTTTATCTTACAGTTGACATCCTAAAACTGCCCGAATGCAGAACCCAGATTCCATGTCTCGTATGCCACCAGGAAGTTTGTCCCAGGAGCAAACCGTCCCCTGTGAACCTGACGAAGGTGCCACCACTGTCCAATCTCTGTCACAAGTTTCTGAGTTGGAAGTTTCGGTGCAATTGCAACGCAAAAAACTCAAAGTTGTTCCAACCTCGATGTCGATGTCGATGTCTATGTCTATGTCCATGATGATGATGATGATGATGATGATGATGATGATGATGATGATGATGATACTCATGACATTATAATTCCCAAAGTGGTTTCAAGTGTTCAGCCAGAAAGAAGGCACAAAACCTCCGCCAGAACTGGATCACCCCAGGCCCCAGGCTGCCATGTGAAGCCGTGCAACCCGCGACGCAGACGTGCACAGCAAAGTTGGCACCCGACGTCTTCCATGCTGCAATCTGCTGAAGGCTTCTTTGGCCTGGTGGGAGTTATATCGGCATCGTGGAATGGACTTGACACATACAAAAAAAAGAAATATATCTAAATATAGTGTGTTATATATTATATGTTATAACATGTTATAACATGTCATAACATGTTATAACAATTTACTCTCTATCCACTTTGGCTAACACTCAAGGTATGATGTTGGAGCTGCGTGCTCTTTCTTTCAATGTTCCTTGTTCAGGGTGACTAGTGACTAGGGCATTTCACTTATCTGCCCTGTGTTTTCAACACCGGGCATTGCTTTCACAAGCACAGGAAATGACTCCTTGCAGTTGTGGATGCATTTTGTTCAGCCCAGCATTTTCAAGTCGCATGCCTCATCATCATCATCATCATCATCAATGAAGACTTGGGACAGAATCTGCCGGTACACCAGGCGAAGCTACCAGCCTTGTACAGAATTCAAAACAGTTTGCTTTGCCAAATACCTCGGTTTCATCTGTTCAATGACCATGTCCACTCTTAGACACCCAAATGGTATTTCCATTCTACATCAGTGGCAGGATATCACCTGATACATCCTTAAATTTTATAACAAAAACCATCAACCGTCAGGTATACCCCCATCCATCCCCTCCATCCCCTTTGGTACTGCGCTTAAAATCTACTGAGGAGCTGGGCGAAAGGATTGATACAGCTCCAGATTTTCCCATCTTTCTCATAGACTCGGGGAGGTGAGCCAACAAACCAGCCATCCACCCTGTCAGCATCGTAACCTGAGGTCTCCAAAGGTTGCAGGACATCTGAAATATCGAGGATTGTCTCTGATACTTTAGGGGAAAACGCCGAAAATCCACCGGTTCATCATCACCATGAAGTGATTGGCCATTCTGTGGGTATTTATACCTTATGAATTGTTGACTGCAGCCTCACCAGCCTCTGAATTTATGATCTAAACAAATCACCAGATTTCAAAGTCTGTGAATCCCAGGGGTCCATTCCCATCCCTGTAGATTTCGCCAACTCAGGTCCCTGCCAAATGAAATCAACGTTTTTCGGGCCGATTCCTTGTTCAGCCAGGCGGGGTCAAAGTTCTTGGACACCCAAATGGAATGGTTTGATTTAAACATATCGAGTCTAATAGTGAATGAAACATCTAAAAATCATGGGTGATGAAATTTTAGTATCAAACCTATCAAACCAGTCCAATATATCGCTATTTTTTCAGGCTACAAACATCCCCAAATTTCCAGCTTGGTGGACTGGTACCACAATTTTGACCGCTATCGCCTTGTTGCGGCTGACCTCCAAGCACAGCAGCGTATACCCCCATCTCCAATGTGGGTAAAACAAGAGTAAAACACCATAAAAAGAGGTGGTATCAACATGTTTTTCTACCATTCCCGAATGGGTGATATATTATTGTTTTACCATGTTTTAGCCATATTATATGATATTCCTCATGCCCAAAGGTGAAATCCACATGTGTTTCCGTCCAAAAGAACTGTTAACGACCACTTCGTCGTCATGATTTTTGGGGGGGTCCGCAATGTTGCTGATTCAACTGCCATTTCTTGCTGTTCAAAACCAACCATCAGCAAACCGGGTGTCAACTTCTGGTTTCAAAAAATCTCACATCCAAAGGTCCGAGGATTGAAACTCCCTGGAAAAGTGCTGGCAGTTCTTCAACTTCTCTCCCTCCAGCACTGGATAGCTCCGCGGAACGCAGTCCTCGGTCGATTGCCAAGCCAATGGATTCCGTTTTTTTTTTTTCGCCCATCAAGTCATCAAGGGTCGAATCTGTCAATCCGTCCTCCCACTGGTTCAGAGACAACTTCCTCTGCCATCAGATTCGAATATATGGGGACGGGTCAAAACCCTGGTACCTAGTGAACCCCAAAATAGCTGGTAAATGGATGTTCATCCCACTAAAAATGTATCTATAGGTATTGACCCATACCCATATAGTTGGACTCATTTTGCTGTTTGGCCAGGCCGACAGGACCTCCATTTGGACGGGTCGCCATATCCTCGATCACCAGCAAGTTCAGATCTTCCGGATAGTCGGCTGCGTACCTGGGCACCAAAACCAGCCCTGAAAAATGGTCATAGGATGTACCGACGGATCCGTTGAATTTGTACAAATAAAAAACCATCAAACCATTTCAAAAATATCCGAAGAAATATTCAGATACTGAGCATCAAAAGTTTGACAAATGATGTTTATCAAGATTGCCAATATGTGATTTTTGATCACACCCCATATAGCATGTTTTGACTTGGAAATGTGTCAAACATCAAGGTCCCGACTGCATGGCAATGCGGCCGCCCATGCTGTGCCCAACCAATGCTATCCGCGATCCTGGGCCCTGCACCTGGACAAAAACCACTCCCCTGGAAGATGATGTCCATCCAAACCCATGGTTTTCATGATAAAAAGACATGGTTTTCATGGTAAAACCCATGGATGAGAATTTAGCGGATTGTTGATCCAGAAATGTCTAAGATATTCTAAGATCGTGTCTTCGATTCCAGTTCCGACTCTATGACTAAATCAAAGCCAATTTTCGGATTGGTGAACGGTTAACGATACGTGTTCTTTGACCCATTGTCATTTTTTAAGCAATTGGCTTCCTACATGGAAAAAAAAAAAGCTTTACATAGCTTTACTATGTACAACCAGCCATGAATTTTCATGGCTTACTATAAACTTTATGGAAAAACATCTCTAAAAGTACCAAAAATCCCTAAGTTTTGGTCAGGGATCGCCTCCACGGCCGCCCTCACATCCGCCGCCAGCTGCTCCGGCGAGAAGTCCTCTGGACGTCCCAAGGGCGACTCGCCATGTCCTGGCGAATGAAATTTTATGGATCTGGTGGGTTAAGGCATTAAAGACCTGGCAAAACCACAGATTAGTAATGGTTGAATTATTGAGTAATCCACAACTAATGGATATTAATGGTAATTACCTGGCATGGAAAATCTCGATTTTGAGATTTTGTGAGTATTCACCATCCAAGATTTGTTTGGGGGACCCTTTCTTTTGACCCATCCCATTCCCGGTGTCTGAAAATGGGGCATACATGGGCCATCCCAGGGCCCCTGGGCGCCATTCTCCTCGCAGGTCCAGCGCCAGAGTCGGAACACCACGCTTCGCCAGAAGCTCCATCAAGGCTTGCCAAGTGCCTGGGAGCTCGAAATTTGGGTGAAATCATACAAGGTGGTTTATAACTCCCATAACTATGGTTTATGGTAGATATAACTATAGTTAATGGGGTTTAATAAACCAACTTATAACTGAGGGTCACCATCATGTAGGGAAAATCATGAAAATTTGGGGAGATGATCTGATCTGGATATGGATCATGGAAGAATCATGGAATATGAACCAGCCATAATGGGGATATATGGGGATATTGTTCATATTGTGGGAAATAATCATGGCCGGGGACACCATTGGGATGGATTGAAGGAACATCTACACTTCACCAGCCAAAAAAATGGATTTCGAAGTTTTCAATATCCTTCAAACCTATATGAATGGTGACAGGATCACGCCAATGATTCTTAAAGATTCCTGAAGCAAGAACCAACAGTGAAACGTACTCAAACCATCTTTAAATCAACAAATTCCTTGCAAAGATCTCTGAAACATGATGGGACAATCCTAATTTTATCTTTGTTGGTCGACGATATGATTGGATCTGCCTGAATGGATCCGCCCTTGGTTCAACAAGTTGGTCTTGATCTCTATTGTCTCATTCTGTGGTCTTAAAAACTGGCACCCAACTCTGTTTCAAACCTATGGCTATGTGACCAAGACTGGGAGCCCAATAGATTTTTTTGCTTGTGCAACTCAAAGAACGAAAAACGAATCCATCCTGCAATTCCCAAGGCACAGAATTAAAGATTTCCCTGAAAGTAGGGGTCCCACCCTAATCCTATGGTTCATCACCATTTTCCATATCAAAATTTCAATAAAATCATTAAGTTGGTGTATATATGATGTATCCATATGTATCCCAATGATTCTCCATATCTCATGAGACATTCATTACTTTAGCCAAGGCACCGGACCAACTGTCCAGGCCATGTACCAAGACCACCAGCTGCTTTCCATGTCCAGCGCTTCGGCTTTTCCTGGTACGACCATGACGCCATGGAGTTGAAATCATGGGAATTTCCCAATTCTGGTTGGTGGTATACCTACCCCTCTGAAAAATATGACTTCGTCAGTTGGGAGGATGATATTCCCAATATATGGAAAGTCATAAAAATCATGTTCCAAACCACCAACCAGGTTGGGATATGATCCCTGAAGAGTTTGCTGTCACCCCTTCAATGCCCAACACTTGGATCTGTTAAGAGAGATCCAGCATTTTCGTGATGATTCTTGGGACAACACATCCCAAGCACTGAACAAATGGAAAACCATTCCGCCATATTCCGCCCAGGTGCAGCTTCACCGTGCGTTCCTCACATTGCACCAGCCTTCGGTCCCTTCGGTCCCTTCGGTCACGACCGAAGTCATGTTGCTCCGCTCCGGTGGCGTTCGGCAGCAGCCAGGAGGCCAGGCAGCACGGCAGCGCCCAGCGCCAGCGGCTCCGTGGCACGTTCAGCGGGACGGGGCACTGCGGGGTCCAGTGCCGCCATGCGCAGAGGGGGCCCCGGGGGCGGGCCAGGCGCAACGGAAGGCGGGTCAACATGGGGAGCGCAACGGGGAAGTGATTAGAAAGTGCACAAGACCAAGAGTGGCTGAGAGATGCTGAGGGTTAGGAGGGGTTGTGTTTTTTGACGGGTTCAAGTGGTGGTGATGGTGATGGTGATGATCCATGAAATCTTCTTGGTGCTCTGCTATCTTGATGACAACTTTAACAATGATGTCTGGGCGTTGACGATGGCTGTGATAAACATACTGTGTATGCTGTGGCCTTTGCAACCCATTTCTGTGCTGCTCCACTACTTTCAGCTCAAGCTCCAAGCTGTTGATTGAACATGGTAACACCATGCATGAGTTCGCAACATCTAGCCACAACCTCCTTCATTTGCCATTTCCAAAGCTGCACAATGATTCCTCAGATTCCCGCAGCAGGGGAGGGGGCACCCCTCCATTGAGGTTGCTGGGCACTCCTTGCCATTGGAGGGTGATGCCAGTAGTCGCCATGGAGGTAATCTCCAACCCAACCACCTGGCACAGACACAGCCACCTCTGGTGTCATCAGGATGGATTTGGTCTCCCAGTTTCCCATTGACATGGTTAAATACGAGTACCAACAGGCAGAAAAATCATCAATTGATCATCCGGTACACGCGAAAATACACCCAATCAATCAACTGAACCACGGGATCTTTTGCACAAAGGGGTCAGAATCCATCTCTGGCTCGGGGTCGGCAGCTGCCAGATTCACAATATTTCACAATGCTCACACATCCAACAACAAAAAAATCTGCACCCCAACTACTTCCGAGTACTTCCCATGTTTCTATACACTTCCCATGTTTCTGAACCAATTTTCGTGGCCTTGGCCGGTGCTTCAGCCGCTACCACGCTCAGCGTCAGGGTGCTGGGCGAACTGCCAACCTCTCGGTTTCACCGCAGCAAAATCAGCAGGACACAATGGGATTCTTGTCTGAAAATGCTGTGGAAAATCCCCAATTCCAATGGATTGTCATCATTTCCCTATTCTTTGATGGCTATTTTGTGAGTTTACCCCATTTTTCAGACATAGAAACTTCAAATTTCCAACTTCCAAGACTTCCAAAGCCATTTTCTCATATTTTTCTTGGATCTTTGAAGACTTCTCTGTTGTGAGAAGTCATTGATCCATAGATCCATAGCCCGGCCATGGCCCATCCGATGTCCCTTAAGATCCTTAAGGCTTGGACCCGCGTCTCCGCACGAACGGTGAAGCTGTAGGTCTTAGCGTGGCAATTGGTCGTTGCTCCAATGGTTGGCTTAAATGGACATTGTAAAAATTAAGGGTTGGTCCGTAAATATGCCGAATTTCCCCAACTCTTCCAGTGGATTCTCATCATTTTCTCATCATTTTCCCCATGTCTTTGATGGTCATTGTGGGGTGAGACCAACCGTAGCTTGCACCTGAGCTGGCACCACCACTGGCAGTGCAAACCTGAGCAAAACTAGATCAGCAGGGCCTCTTTTGATCTTAAGAAAAGCGATTGGTTAGTTCAATAAGTCATAAGTCATGATAGAGATCATATAGAGATAATTTAGAGATTCCATCTCTTAAATTCTAGTGTCATCTATTAGTTTTATATTACCAATCGGTTTATATCAATTCAAGAAGTCCCTTGATCCTCAACAAATTCCAAGTCGCTGCACAACTTGGTAAGTCCTGGGTTCACCTTACTCTCTCTGAATCTGCGTAGATGCGACGACTCCATCCTGCGGTCCGCAGGTCATCGCAGGTCGTTTACTGGTCGTGGCTGGAAAATCACGGCACGAAGGTATGGAAGGTATGGGAAAACCAACGTTTATAGCTGGGAAAATTGTAACTCAATGGGGGTTTTTCCAATTTTTCCAGCCACGAAACGGAGTGCCAGAGGGTACTGTGGCTTGCCATGGTTTTTCACGCTGATTTTTTCTGACCTGGATATACCTGTATCATCCTGTATCCAAAGGATCCAACTAGTTTCAATCACAGTGCAAGTTGGGTGGGCCTGGGTGACCGCATAGGCCGTCACCGGGCATCCGCCTGATTGGGGGGCATCGAACTGGTTGAAAATCACGGGCTTTTTTCAGGGCATATTTATTTGCAGCCGGACTAATTAGTTCAAGAATGTTCAAGATATCCTGACTCATCTATACACACATGGTTTGGGTACAGTACCTCTGAGATTTTCCAACGCTGTATTTTTCAAGTCTGAGCCCAAATGGGCCATGGGCCATCTTGGGCCATCTTGGGCCCCCCTGCCATCTGCCGAGGGCGGGTCCCACTCGATGGTTACACCAAGGGTTGATCGGGACTTCACATCGAAGCTGGTGGGCATCGATGGCCTTGGGAGGTGCTGTGGTGAAAATTCACCCGCAGATGCCTCAGATGCCTCAGATGCCTCAGGTGACCTGGGATTTCACCTGACCTTTATTTGTCTTTTGGAATCAGGAAGAATCAGGTTTTACATGGTTTTACATGGGTTTTTACGGTGTTACCAGTCTCAGTTAAGCCAATCAAGTCCAAGTCCAATAACTGATTACTAACTGAGTTGAATTGAGGGAAGATCCACGGGAAACCATCGTTCGACGGAGTTTCTGGAAACTTTCTCAACTGATTCTCCGATTAGTTCATATCCTGCATGTTTCCTGTGTATCAAAACCCATATGAAAAGAGATTGGCTGAAAATGACTTGCTATTTGCTATGATTTGCTCTCAAATTGAATCATTGACCATGAATCAATGAACCATTGTGGATTGCCGTCGCCATCCAATAGCGACAGGGTGAACCTCCAGCGGATTGATTGAAAAACAGCGAAGTACATGCACGTATTACCACGAGCTTTTTAGTGGTTACCCGTCATCAAATGTGGCTGGAAAATCATCATTAAATATGTCCTGGCTATTCCCCTATACATTAAATATCTATAAATGGAGGTCTATAGCTAGGAAATAGCAGGGAAAATCATCGATTTTCCAAGGTGCGTCACGGGGGGACCTCCACTGAGGTCAGGGCAAGACGCAGGCAGCGGCTTCCCGCACGGCGCTACGTTGACCTTCACCTGGCAGCGGGAAAATCATTGGGTGATATTACCCTCTGGTAAACTAACATAGCTATGGAAAATCACCATGTTTAATGGGAAAATCAACTATAAATGGTCATTTTCAATAGCTATGTTAAATTACCAGAGGGTAGGTGTTTGTGACCAAAATGTGGATTTGAAGAAAAACTCAACCTGAACCAACCCAAACTAGGGGGCTAAAGGGTTAAAACATGTTTAAAACTGATTCTACCCAACCAGAATGCAGATCTTTTCGATGTTCGAAGCGTCTCTCAGCCAAGCTTGAGATCTCAAGTCTGGAACTGAGGCTGCAGCCGATGTGATTCACAGCCGCCACCCGGAAGAGGTAGATGGTGCCAGTGGTCAGCATGGACTGCAACAACCCAGTGGTCAGCACTGTGGGTCTGAGAATAGACCCATTGGCCCATTGGTTCATGGTCCATCATGGTCAATCATTTGCCTATGGACATTGCCATGTTGGGGTTTCGTAGATGGACAAATCCAATAATATTACATAATATTACTATCATTTACTATCTGTTCTTGGACAAATGTGACAATTCAGACAATTCATTCAATTCAGACTATCCCGAAAAACGATGAGCGACTCTACTCCTTAAGACTTCACGTTATTTAGCCCAGAACATCACCTTCTCCCAACAAAAACAGCATCGTTTCAGCGCCACAGATCCACCTTGGTATAGGCGGTATCCGGACCGTTGTAGATCTCCTGGTAGACCTGCACATCTGAGTTCTGGGAGGAAACCCTGAAACCCTTCCAAAAACCTTCCACTTGAACTGCCAGTGAAACAGAATTTGTGTTCATCAAAATCAACTTCGATTTCTTCAAGCGAAATATGGATTTCATTCGATTTCTTTGGATTTCCTGAATTTCCCTCATGAAAATCCAATCTGCATGTCCATCAGGCCAGAAACCCCGGTGCATCTTAGCATCCCACACCACCGTCCAATGGCCCGGACATGAAGAGTCTGTAGCTCCTTAGCACCATGAACTCCGATGCTTCACCAGGCATGTCATGTCAAACTATGTCACCCAAACTCTGAAAAGCAGTATAAACCCCCGAAGTTGGAGTCGCGCCTATCTCACTAGCTTCAAAGATCATTTCTGTTTCACGTCAATATGATAGATATATGTTCTCATATGGTCTCATTTTCAGACCATCCAAGAATTCCCCGATTTTTCCCTTAGCTCAAAGGATTTTCCCACTACCAGGTCTCTGGATTCTCCCGGTCTGACGAGTAGCAAAATCTCGGATCCCAAGGGTGATGGCGGGGCCCACCTCGAGACCGACTCGGGGGAGGCTTTGGAAATGGAGGATTTATATGGATTTATGGCCAACTCCACATGAAAACCATGGGTTTTGGATGGTTTTGGGGGAGATGAATGAAAACCATAAGTTTTTTTGGGGGGTGCCCAATTTTCAAATTGTCCGAGAAATCCATTTAGCGATATTTAGCGAGCATTTAGCCAGCCATTTGTCATAAGACGATTGTGGATCCATGTGGATATGAGATGACATAATATATTACCCTGCAATACTTATTAGGTTTCATGGTCCCAACACGATCAATGATCCCCTGGGTCACTGAAATGAAAGTATCAATGGCCGTCGCTCCCAATTCCCCCTTGAGAAAATCACCCAAAATACCGCACTCAGAATAATTACAGACATTTAATCCATATTTTTCTGGTTTCTCCTTCATAGTTTCATCATTCCCCATTTCCTCTGGGTGCCATGGCAACATCCAGGATCCTCATGATGGTTTCCTACCAGCTCCCATCCAAGCGCCACACTCCACCGTGAGGGACGTCAGCGCGCGGGAAGCGATGATCGGCAAGGCAGGTGCCGCTGGCACATCTGGCACCGCTCCAGCTATTCACATCGACAGAGTGTGGAACTGATCCACATCTATTATCATCTATTCTACTATCACAAGATGTGCAACACTTTGGAAATTGATGATGTCGTTCTAGGTCGTTCAGTTTGAGTGCCAACATACGGTCAAGAGGCAAGATTCCTGGACGTACCAAATATCACATCAAGATCAGAAAGGATCTGCCAAAAAATCTGAATTCACAAGAGGGGCATCTTGTAAAATCAGATCAAATCCGGAAAGACAAAGGGCTTCATTTTGTTTGAGATGCCCAGACTGGATAGACTGTTCCTCAAATTGTGGTACCTATTCATCCCATTATCAACCATTACTAATGAAATCTAATGTATATTTTTTCCACTATTATATAATGGATCTTAAATTACCAGAGGCTATTCCAAAAGTTTCATCCGCAACTTCCGAAGGGCATTATCCCATGAAAATCCCGAAGTCCCATAGAATTCCATTAAAATCCCACACTTTTTTTTATTTACCGGAGGGTAAATGATCATTAAATCACCATTAAATCCCCATTAAATCCCTATTAAATCACCATTTATAATATTTATAGTGGTTAAATCCCCTTCCAAAGTGAGAAGCCCGGCTCTGAGATTCCAGACTTCCTGCTCGGATGGAAGCTGATGCTGGAGATGGTTGCCTTGGTTGACAGAAAAAATGATGGTGAATTCATGGTTGAATGCTTAAGCCTTAAGCATCATTATTATATAGAGGTTTTTTGACCAGAAAAAACATTGAGAGAATTGATATACCCTTCGGTGTCATAAAACATGGCAATGACAAATCCCGTATTAATGGCATCGAACTAAATGGTGGCCTGTTTCCACTCAGGAATTCATGGTGAAATTCCAAGGCTTTGGCCCAACACCAATGAAGTTCACCGCCCTCACGTGGTAGACGTAGTCTTGCCCAGGCTGCACCTTGTTTCAACGTGCAGCCGGGTGCAGCCGCGATGCAAGCCGAGGTCAGTCCGATGCAAGCCGAGTCACGGTCAAATCGGAGTAGCTTCTGGCCAATGGATCCTGACAGAACAGATCCAGTAGATCTCCAAATTTCAACAATGGCTGTCCCCACCTCCACTGCTGCAGTCAGTGGCACGGTGATCTCCACGGAAGACCAAACACCCTCCTTGGCCCAGTGCCAGGGGGTAACCAATGGAACCTGGAACCTGGAATGGGAACCCACTTCAAGCTGGGAGGGAAAACCTGATAAAATGAGTTTTAGATATGATCGTATATAAATTTAGATGACAGTAAAAAATCATATCGAAGGGTTGGGAAAGTATTCGTCAAATGGGTCTATCGGTCTACCATTGGTGTTGATTTATAGGAATGGATCATCTTAATTACTCAAAACCATGACCAGCAATACGCCTGGGAACCATGGAAGTAGAATCTCCACAAATGGGTACCCTCTGGTTATTTAACATAGCCATGGGAAATGGCCCATTTATAGAGGTTTACCTACTAAAAATTGTGATTTTCCATGGCTATGTTAAATAACCAGATGGTACATCTGACAACAGGAGTGATCTGTTTGCCTTAAGCTCCCATGGTCTGAGTGAACCACCACATCTCCGACGACTTCTTCGATGTAGACGATCACGTTGTAGCTCTGACCTGTGCAGAACTTTGAGAAGTGTAAAGTCTTTGGACTGCCTCAACTCAGCAGAGTTTCTAGATATTTCAAAATTGCAATCGACTATATATTATTATATATTATGTACATGGATATTAATACATTATAGTACTCAAAGTTTAATATGTTCTGATCCACCACTCATTCTGATCTGCCGAAATGATCAACGTTTGTCATCCAGCCTGGAATGAGACTGCAGTCTGTGAGCTGCAGAGACTGCCTAACACGTAGGATCTGGTGGAGGGGACCTCCCAATTATTGGGAAATGTCCAACAGTCCGAAAGATTGGTTCGTCGCCACTAACTATGGTGATTTTAAATCAGAGACCCTCTGCACATCATGTGCCTGACATGTGAATCCTCAAAATAATCTCAGATTTCATGGTTCTTTCCCTGGCACTATAGCCATATCTGTGCAATGGATGGCCCAGAATCCTGTATATATACCCCGGACCGCTCACCTCACTGCTCCATTCAAGCAGTGGATCCCATCATTGCTTCTGAACATTCCATAATATGAATATTTAACATCCATATGGTGTATCCATGTTTGTTGATCCCTGGACAACTTTGGGATGTTGCAACATCTGCGCTGGGCTCCTGGAGTTGTCGATGATCATCTCAGAAGGCTTGCAGCCTCAAGCAACGAGCCGGGTTTTTTGAAAAAACGAGCCGGAAGGTGAACAAATAACTATGGACCCTACCAGAAATTGCTATTCAAATGCTGGTTTCATGCCCGTTTTCTCACTTCGTTCTTTGGATTGGTTTCAAATGTTGCAAGGGATGAGTTTCACTTTGTTTTTCCATGGCAAACATGGTGGGCATTTCTGCTCCGACTTAGCTTCCAGCCAGGTCCACCCACGGAGTATTGCCCCAACTTCACCTCCCGGCAAAGGCTGCCACACCATGGGACCCCAAGGGAGAAAAAGGCCGTTTCAAAAGGCAAAAAAAACCAAGGGGACAGGCGAGTCTTTTTCCATCTATTTCTCCATTGTTGTAAGAATGGCTCATTTTTTCCTCGCTCGAAATCACTAGAAATCCATGAACCCCTTTGGAAAAATCAATAAAAATCATGAAAAATCCACTGAACCGTGGTCTGATTCCAGCCTCTTTGCTGGTGGTTGGACTCGAGGTGGCTACCTGGCGGCCAGGTCGGACAGTTGGCACCATCCCGTTTATAAAGTTTATCATCATGTTCCCCACTAAAATTCCCCACTAAAATGGCCATTTCATCGCCCCTGACTCCTTTGAACCAGGAGAAACAGGCCTCCAGAATCATGGCCCAAGCACGACCAGCAGCAGCATAGGCTGTGTATGCCAAGGTGACCTGTGAGAGCCCCAAAAATGGACCATGAAATACGGGTTTTGTCTGAAGATTTACGGAAAAACCCTCAAAATCAAGTGGTTTCGCATCATTTTCCAGACAAAACTCGCCGGGTACCCCCAAAGTTACGCCTGGTGAATCATGGTAACTAAACAACACCATTTCCCCTAGTAAACTGGCATTTTTTGGAGGGCATACACGGCGTACCCCATTTCCAGACACACCCAGTAAACCTAAGGGATTCCCCGACCCTCAGGTTAGACACATGGTGACATCTCAAGGCCCTCACTCCATCTGCAGCGATGGCCGAAACAGGTGTCCTCACAAACGAGGGCTGAGCACTACACGGAACTCACAGCTCCTCTTACAATCCGAAGCTCCACAAGTCTGAGTGAATTCTCAGTGAATTCATTGAAACATATGGAACAGTTGTAGCAAACCATCTCAAGCACGGCATCTTGCCGCAACTGCGACATGGGCTCCAAGGTCCAAGGCTTTCCAAGGTCGTGACGGAACTTCAATGAAGTAGTTGCTGGTGGTTGCTGGGACCACCTGAGAAAAGCCAGCTGGTGGTTTCTTGGCCATTTCTCCATTGCAAGGGTCAAAATAAAGGCATCACGGTACCCTGGAACCTCCCCAAACATCAACAGTAGACCAGAAGTTGGCTGTTTATCCACCAGATCCACCATACCAGTAGTAGAGTGGTTCATCCATTTCATGCAGTTCCTCCATCTATATATCCATCTATACATATATATATTATATACACAATTATACACAAATGTATGTGTATATATTATTATATATGCATTTATGAATATCCATGTATATCATTCTATATCCATCTACAAATATCCATCTACGATTCCATCCATATTCATTTCATAAATCTCCACATCTGAGCCCAAGGCTGTCAAGATGTTGTAGACTGTGCCATCATTCAGCCCTGCCATGTCTTCTACATACAGCACTGTGCTGTATTGCACTGCAGCCAAAAGACCTCGTACGGTGGCTGCATGGAGAACTCGAGTGCTTTCTAACCCAAGTATTTCATAGTATTTATTTCCGAAAGCAAAAAGAAGTTGGATAATTGGATAATTCTAAACTTTGTTCAATCCAAATTTGTTCAATCCAAACTGCATAGACATTCCTGACAGAATGAGATACAAAGAATAGATACAATCGGATTGAGATGATTGAGGTGAGTCGACCACAGAACTCGCGATCGATGTTCGAATGTCCATAATTCAACAAATCACCAAGGGAAAACATCAGTTAAACATCACCCCAAAAAAAATTGCGGCAACACATTCTGGTTGGTGGTATACCTACCCCTCTGAAAAATATGAAAGTCACTGGGAAGGATGACATCCCACATATTATGGAACATAAAAAATGTTTGAAACCACCAACCAGCATTTGTTGATGTTTTTCTGTGAGCTCTGAGATTCGATCTGCATCCTGACAAGCTCCAGTAGAGCATGGAGGTCTTGGCACGATCGCGGATCGGCTGCATGCAATGATCCTCCAATAGATTCTACTGATCCGAACATTCGGGGGAAAAAAATATTTTGTGATGATGTGTGGATTGTATTGTGACATATTGTGACTATTAATGACGGAAAAGAAAACCTCTCAGCAAATTTCTCGGATGTTCTATGGCAATTGCTGAGAAATCCCAGGTTTTGTGCGGGTCTCTGAGCGTCCAACTCCAACGTTCACATCGACCTGTCGGCAGTTCACCGCATCGCCCACCGCGTAGGTCGCCGCCTGGTCCGGATGGAAATACCATGGAATTCCATGGATTCCCCACAGATTTTGTGAGTTGTAGTGAGTCTTCATGAGTTGCTGGAAAAAACCTAAATTTCAACCAGGTTCAGCTTAAATGCCATGATCCTGAGATACAAGTTACCGTGTTGAATGTGAAAAAACATACAAAAACCACACCATCCACTTGTAGGACCTCCAAGGAGCTGTCGGCCTTGATGTTGGCTGCTGTGGCCATTGGCAAATTCGAGGTCAAGATGATTTGGGCCTTGACCGTCGCATGTCATTTGGCCCTTCCAAAACCACTTGGATCACTTCGCAGAGACACAGAAGAAATGATCATTCTGTGGATGAACATCTGGTTAATGGTTATTAATGGTGGTTAATGGTGGTTAATGGTGGTTAATGATGGTAAATGTAAATGATTATTAACAATCATTAACCACCATTAACCACCATTAATGATGGTTATCAATGAATCTAAGGGTCGTGTTAATCCCCGAACTCATCATCCCATAGGGAGTTTCACAAAACTTCCATTTTTCCCATGCTGCTTGGTGGTATACCTGCCACCCCTCTGAAAAATGATGGACTTCGTCAGTTGGGATGATGACATGACCCCAATATTTTTGGAAAGTCATAATCCAGCCATGTTCCAAACCAGCAACCAGCCGAAAAATCCATGAATCAAGGGTAGAGTTAATCCCTGAACGAATCATCCAATAGGGTGTTTGAAACTTCCAGCAGAACAGGGCCGACCATGCAATGGGGGCCCCTGGGCCCCTGGGGCCCCTGCCCATGCCCTTCCAATGGCCACGCCCGCCGCAAAGGAGAAGGACACATCGCTAACCTGAAGTTTGGGATGGTCTAAGATCTGTTGATCTGTTGAAACTCCCAAGAAAATGGAATGAAGTATGATACAGTTTCTGGTTCTTGTTGATTCATCCAATTTTCTGAGAACATCTAAGTCTTGATCCTACCATGGTCCTACCGGAATTTTGAGCCACACCAACTGGGTTGTTGTCCCAAAGTCACCATTTGATCTCCACTTGATCTCCCATTTGAAGGTCAAATCTTCTCTGAAAGCCTCTCCCAAAGGCGACACGGCTCCCACACTTCTGACTCCCCAGCAGCATAGGTCTCCCCACAGTGGGTGTGTTTGTCAACCTCAAGGGTGTGGCCAAGTAGTTAGAGGCCGGCACGCTGAAGGGGATCGCCTCAGGCAAATCTCATCCATCGAATGACCGAGAGGGACCATCCATGAACATATATTATAATATCATGAATATAATCCCAGGATTATATAATCCCATTCAAGAATAATATCATAAATATTCATTGATAAATAATCCAATCCCACGATTATAATACCCATAATATCATCCCAAAATCATGAAATACCATGAACTATCTCTTGCTCGTTCAGACACTTGGATAATTACACTTGGGGCATTTGATCCTTAGATGAAAACTGTTTTTAGCTATGTTTATCCCATAAAGATAACATTGAAAACTATCTCTCCATCCTGGAAGCACAACCATCATCCACCAGCCCCAGTCCGCACCTGACTCAAAGCACCATCCTGGTTGCCGTTGCTATCCTCCGTGTAGAGATAGACCTGCACCGTTCAGATCTCTCCGCCAGCATGTATTGGTCTTCATGGGGGATCCAGTTCACCTAGGTGGAGAAAAAAACATGGATCAATATGGATCAAATCCCTAACCCTAACCGTTTTTTTCAACGGCAAAAATCCATGTTGATCGCTTGAAAATCACGGAATCCGAAAAGTGTCACACCACAATAGCTGCTCATCTTCCCCAATAAACAACTCCCTACTGGAAATAGGTGGTTTTCATACCATCCCCTACGCGCCTCATAGCTTTCGCCCTTTGTGAGGTTACACCTGAGCTCCGGCTACCTACATAGTTCAGATAATGTTCAGATGGGTTTGGGCCGGGTATAATTTCACCTACTGAAGCATTGTAAAATTAAGTATACGGTATCTAAATTGGCTTGGTATAATTTTTGGAACCCATTATCATTTGGCTTGTATATAGACTGATTTACTACTTTAGGAAGCCACGATTTACTACTTTAGGAAGCCACTTCAAATCAGTCTCTAAATCATGTCAAATCAATTTACCAAGTGCCCGGGCGATTCGAACATCATGGTGTGGGTACCACGCGCCACTGTTTCACCAGTCTCGGCACAGTCAACACCTGGTGAAAGTGCACACTTTTCGGGTAAATCGGAGCCACACCCTGTGGTCAACCAGCAGGTAACACAAATGAGAAAGGAAAATCATGGAAAATCCATACCTTGTCATTGTCGATTGATTTCCTCATGTGCACATCGCTGTCTTGAACACAGCTCTAGGATCCTGAAAGGCTCTTCTGCACCTTTCAACCTCTCTGAATTTTCAATAGTCCTGGGGTGGTTGGTGTCAGAACAAATTCATCTTCGTTTGTGACATTGCCATGTTGGATATATTATCTAGGATATTTTCTAGGATTTGCTATTATATGAATTAGGATCTATTTAGTATATTATCCAGTCATAGTAACTTACATATTAGTTATCTAGGATTTCTAGGGGATTTTCCCATGTTTCAGAGATTTCAGATCTGAGCACAGACAAAAATGTTGGATGTCTCCTTCCCAGCCGTGGCACCTCCAATTGCAATCGCCTTGGAAGTCGCCAAAAACCAATGGCTGGTACTTCAACCCATCCATGGGGAATTCAATGATTTTTGAGCCATGATCCATAATGATATTATATTAATCATTATCAATCCATATCCACATGACATATATGACATATCATGGCATCACCCCATTTTCCCCGTGGCTTTCAGACATCACCTTATCAATATGCGTTTCAATCCTGTTTTTTCTCGCATGAGCGCAGTACAAGCTTGACGTGCCTCTGCTAATGGAGAGAGCAGCATCTCTGAATGCTGATGATGCCCTGGAAATCTACGACAGTAAAGATATTCACGGCGTTCAGTTACAGCATCTCCTGTCATGGACAGCCTTTGCCAGCAGGATACCAGCAGGCTTTGATCGCCCAACGCCAGAACAACTTGTTCTGGCGTTGGGTAATCAACTACCATTCATATTCTCTCCACGACCAGATCTGGCTACATGAACAGACACCAGCCCTTCGGCGTAACGTAGAATCGGTCCGATCAGGTTGAGGACAATGTCTCAGTCTCCAATGTGTTTGCCCAGCAAATCCACAATGATAGCCTTTGGAAAGGCTCGGGGGAGGTGTTCTCACCTTCATTCGGCTGTCTCTCTGGGTCTTCATCTATTTGGGCCCACTGGTTGCGCGGTTTGTTGTAGCTTCCAAGTAAAATGATGTCCAGCCGAATCTTTGCTTGCAACAATGCCGCCGTTGAACCAGGATGACAGCTTCCATCAATCTACGCATTGTTGGAGAACAACGCCACTGTGATTTGCTGGTCATCATTGTGTGCGAGAAGGGAATTTGCGATCTGACCGTTTGCATGCTTGCCATGCCGAGGAAGCACATTGTAGTGCGCATGTGATTCTCTTCACTGCCCTTTCAGCAACTCCAAGCACTTTCAACTCTCTTTCCAACATCCTGTTCATCTCGCCCCTCTCACCCGGTCGCGCCTCAAAGAGCTCGTTGTCAACAATGCGCGTTGCGAGCAAGCGGGATCGGGTACAGGTAGGGTTAGATACTCTATGTACAGATCCCCTTAATTTCGAACTTCTGCCTCGTTAATTCGGGGGTGGCGGCGTGACGTCGACTTAAATCGTACAGATAGAATGGAGTCCATTTGTGATTGCAGATCACAGTCAGTCCCCATCAACTCTGCTAACAGTGAGTTGCCCACGGCCAAAATCTTTGTGGGGGGCAACCCCAACACGTTGTACTTCGCAGGCGTGTCATACGGATGCGTGGCTTGAAGGACTTGCGCGTACACCGAACCGTTACATGACCAGCCATCTCGAAAAGCACATTCTGTGTGGCCTCATGTGGCCTGTTTGGGAAATGTTTCGATCCACCTCTGACCAAGTCCTACAAGTTATTGATAGCCCATTGATTCGGCCCGTCCAATTCTCAAGGGTTGGATTCCACATGGCGTGATGCTCACCGTGATCCGGCTGAATTTCAGTTTTGACTTCGACAAAGTGGCGATCATGCATGCAACACGGCAAAGATATTATGGATTCAACTGCGAACAACACAATCACAACACAGTCACAACACAAACTGCACTCAAACTAGATGCGTACATCACGGAAGTGGTGGATTGCACGCATCACATAGCGTTTAAATCCAAAAAAAAGTACGTTCGATCATTCGATCATCACTTTCCCAATGTTTTCTGACATGTTTGGGTATGATGGCAAGACCCTGGTACCCTGCTCACAGCAAAATACAAATAGCTGATATCCATCCCCCTGTGGATATGGTCCGGGATGACTGCCAGTCCTGCCCCGAAAATCGAGCATGGAAAGCCCTCATTTTTTGGGTGTATGCCCATTATTGCTGGTGGATATCCCCATCTTTCATAGTTTATACCATGAGTACCACCATTCTTGTTGGTTGATATACCCAATCCATATCACCAGATCACTTGAATTTTCATCGTTCAACCATTTAACCGCCATTAAACCGCGATTTCTCCCCATTTTCCCCCACTAAACCACCATCTTCCACCATTCAACCACCATTCAATCATCATTTCCTGGTGTCCAGTGGCTGGATTGTCGTTGCGCACCATCTCAATGCTGGCCAGTGAGCTCTGAGACGCTTGGATCACACGTCCCCAGACCTTGCCCGTCAACTTGGCCACCTGGCCGGAGTGATTAAAGATGGATGATCATCCAGAGGATAAGATTGATGAGTATATAGATATCCATAGATATCCATATCCACCATTGACATCCATATAGATATCCATGGAACAAAACCATATAACTAATTATAACTATCCTATCTATGATAATTCTCATGATAATGAGAGTGACTATAACAATTACGTCATCATCTACAATAACTATATATCATAATGACAGTGACTATATGATGATGATATATCAGGCTATCATTGAATATCAATTGATAATCAATGATAATCATATTAGGCTATCATTCTAGTCATCATCATTATTATCATCAGCACAATAATAAGAATCTCTCTCTCTCTCTCATGATCATTACATATCATTACTATCATTTTTGTCTGTTATCATGAATATTTGGGATGGAGGTCAGCTATCAAGTATCATCAAAAGTGCAGATTCAAGGACAACTGTCTCCCAAGTCGCCTCATATTGCACGTTGAAGCCATAGGGCGTGATGCTGCTGGAAATCATCGCTGGTGCAACGAAGGAATTGGATGCTGGCACCGTCAATGGCAAATTCCTTAAGGACGGATCAAGTCCATGGCGGGCCGCTGGGGAAATCCCCTAGAAATCAGCAGTTTAATAGGACACTGATCCATAAATGGGGAATTGTCGGAATTGTCCATTACCATCTGGTTATTTGTTACATAGCCATGGAAAATCACCATTTTTCATGGGAAAAACCACGATAAATGGGCTATTTTCCATGGCTATGTTAAATTACCAGAGGGTACCATGTTTGATTTCCGGAGGGTGTATTGATCTGATTTTCATGCTGAGCGTGGCCTCAAATCCAGCATAAATCTGAGCTCCGGTCAGCGCGAAGTAGCCATCGTTGGCATAGCCATTGGCCTCAGATGCTGAATGCCGGAGCTGCAAATGAACCCTGTTTCAGCCCCATCTTACATTGTTCTGAATTGCGACCCCTTGACATGAGATTTCCATTGCTTCTGGACTTGGAGGTCGGATAAATATGATCATTGATGATCCTTCAACTCTGCCTTCCCTCAGGTTTCCTATGATTGATATGTATGATATGGCTAAAAGATGGTACAAGTGAGACCCAGCTCCAAACAAAAAAAACATCGAATTTGGCCACCTTTCAGTACCAACCCATCGCAGTTTGGGCCCCAATTCTAACCATCCCAGGCCTCCGTATAGGCCACCAATCGGGTTGCAACCTTATCCGTGCGGAGATACTGGTCTTTGGAAGGAACCAAGAGTATCAATAGTGATATAATGGACATCGGGTTGATGAGATATCCATTATATCCATAATAAATCCATAGTGATGATATTGATGATTCAGTGATGATATATACCCTCTGGTTATTTAACATAGCCATGGAAAATGGCCCATTTATAGTGGATTTTCCCATTAAAAATGGTGATTTTCCATGGCTATGTAACAAATAACCAGATGGTAAATATATTGGATACTTACAATTTCAACCCTGGATTCATCATGACCCTTTACGAAAAATCTGGGGGTCTCCCCCACTTAGATGGTACCGGGAGTGACATTGCTAACGGCTGGGGTTGACATTCGGTGTATGACATTCTGAAACCAGTTTCGAAGGACTCCTCTTTGACAACGATGGCAAGCAACCAGGCACTCCAAGCTTAGCTGCTCCAGCTGTGACGTCATCTATCAGCACATCTTGAACCAGATTGATTCATCTTAAGCAAACTTCAGCTGAACCATCCCCCTATCTGGGGTAAATGATCAGAATTCACCACTGGAATAGTGAAATTAGTTACATATAGTTACCCCCTTTTCGGAATTTACCCCTTACTGGAATAGTTCAATTGTGCATCCAGTGAGATCCCCCACTGAGGCATCCGGACACCAACCTCCAACATGCAGCCGGACATGGTCACGTCCAGCTCCACGCTGTTCGTCAAGGTCACCTGGTTTTCATGGAGCCAAGGAGCTTGGCAAATTTGGGACCCAAAATAAGTCGCCAAAAAAGGTCCAAACTCACCGAAGATGGTCCCCAAATCTTTGGGATTTCATGGATTTGGGGTCAGAATTCTGTGACCATCTGCGGAAAATATGTTTGGTAACTTCTTCATGATAGGCATCCCCCTGGCCTCTCCAGACTGACAGCCGGTGTCGCAGCCGGATTTGACGTCCTCACAGCCAGGCCACTGATTTCTGCGCCACCAAAATATGCGCAAGGTGGGATTCACCCAATAATAAACCTAGCATTTGGGGATGATATTTACTATTTACATCATTTTACATCTATTTACCAACCATTTGTGGCAATATTAGGGATACTCTATTCTTGGGCTTGCCATATGATATTCTTGATGGTCATGGATCTCATAATGGCACTCCAAATATTATGGACATATATGCAGATATATAAATCATAAATCCCTACATTTGTTGCCATTGTCTGTTGACGCCACTTTCCTGCCTGTCTTTCTCCGAGGGCCCGGACGGTCACTGAGACCATGGTGGAGTTTTCAATGCTCACAACACATGCCCAGGCCTTTCCTGGCCGTCAACTTGGGAATTTCAATGACTACTAGCGACTACTAGCGACTACTACTGACACTATCGGTGACTATTGGTGACACTATCAGTGACAATTATTGGTGACTATATTAGTGACTTAGTGACTATTAGCGACAATTAGCGACAATCAGCGACTGTAAGTGACTATATGAATAGTTTATATGAATGACAGTTCTATAGTATCTATTACACTTTCTATATCATCTATATCATCAACTTCACAAATGTCATGTCTCTTGCAGCTTGCCATGCCCTGACGCCTGTGGCCACTGTGCCCTTAAATTTGGTCTTCACGGTGCTGGTCGATGGCACCTTGCACCACTGGAATTTCGCTGGGACGGGGTATCGATGGTCATGTTTCAGGCACTAAAACCATCCATTTACCTTGGAGGTGTTGACAATTTTCATGTTTGTTGTGAATAAGTTTTGGCCCAAAGCTAATATTCAAAAAAAAATCAACTTCAGGATGCTCCTCATCATTGATGGAATCATGTTCCCCCCTTTTCTTTAAAAAGTATGACAGACCTCCGACAAGTACGGCAACGTGGAGAACTGGTTCGAGGGCCTCAGTTGATGGCAGAAATGTGGAGCTTCCATTGGAAGCAACAAAAATGAGGAAATGTGATGGGATCATTTCATGGGATATTTGGAAATGGGATATTGTGTATGTAGTATTATGTAGTTGTATATGTATATGTATGTGTATGTATATATATATATATGTAAATGGTGCTTCCATGATGATGATTAACATTCACAACTATAAGATTTGCTGCCACTATCCATCGCTTAGAGTAGTTCCAAGCCGATTGTTTCCTTCTATACCTTCACGATCAGCTTCAAAAGCCATTGGAGGCTTATCCCATCTTATCCCATCTTATCCCATCTTATCCCATCTTATCCCCTGGTTCATCAGATCATTTTTCCCACTAAAATCCACTAAATATATGATCTAAAAATTGCATGAAATTGCCATCAAATTTGGAGGGCTATGGCCCACTGGCTTCAGATGCAGGGTGTTGCCAAAGTCGATGATGCTGAGGCTCCAAGCTGAATGGTCAGAGGCACTGCAGCTGACAGGGTGCCATCGAAACCACCCGCCGCGTTGGCGATGTAGACCAGCACTGCATAATCTGTACCTTCCACCGTGTCGATGGGCTCCCATATGCTAATAACTACCAGGGAATAAGGTTCTTTATCAATTACGAGAATAGCTGAAATATGGTGAAATGGTAAAACACATCTAACTACCAGGGGATAATCATCACGATCAATTCGAACAAGAGATTGAATGGGATGTTTTCCTAAATTGGGTAGAAATACCGCAATCTCTGTCCCTTCCAACCACCCTCAGGCTTCGCTGTGGCCTTTTTATCATCGGCCACGGGGGGGAACCAACCCATCAGGTGGAACCTATGGCTGATCATCGGGGAATAACAACTCACCTGAAGGATGGGAAAGATGATATGTTAGCCTTTCCAGTTACCAGTTGTTATGATATGTTATGATACCAGCTGATGTTATTTGTCATATGCTACCAGAGCTGCTACCATGATTTTACGATTGGAACATGCCATGATTTCCAGTCGTCAGATCTATCCCAGCCCATGGCAAAATTCATCCGCAGAGGGCTCACCGGCTTGGAAGCTGCAGCCAGTCACACTGTAGGTCTGCGAAGACGTTCCACTGATGCTGGCACTGGCCAAAGAACCTGGAAAATGATGGACGACTACTGCACCTCTAAGGGCCTTTGGGCCTTCGGACTTTGGAAAAGGAAAAGGATCCAAAATGATGGAAACATATGGAATAACTGTTGGAAACTGGTGGAAATTTTGCCAAAAATGACTCTCAGCCATTTTCGCTAAAGGTGACTAGCTGGTTGATACTGTATGAAGCATCACTTCGTGGCTGTAGCCATCCACAGGCTGAGCTTCCTGGCAGATAGCGCTGCTGCCACTGGTCACTGTCACCATATCTGCAGACCTTGGAGGAATCAGAAAATCAAAGTGGGAGATTCCACAACCAGATCTGTTCTGCTTCATGATCATGGTATAGTAGCGGTTTGACTGCTTTCTGTGACTTTTTTGGCCATATTTTGACTGCATGTGCCAACATGTTCCAACATCTATCGTATTGTTGCATTCCATGTCCATTTTTCTCAGGGCCCAATATTTCACCATCCAGCCTCCACCAAGCTCCGCACGACGCCTCGTTGAGCGGCAGCGCAATGACGTAGGCCAGCCCCACATTGGCCGCAGCAAAGGCGACATCGAAGGAGGTGGTGCTGAGGGACATGGCGTCCAGTGCAGGCACCTGGTTGGTGCAATGATAGAGGTGAAAGGGGAGGTTAAGGGGACAAAACTAAGATATCCAAGAAACATGTTGAGGGGTTCAACCATCTTACCAAATTCAGATGATTCAGGATGGTATTTATTGAATCCCATTTTTGCGGATTGTTTGTCAAAACCACGTGACAATGGGTCAAAAAATTAGGATTTCACAAATAAGTTAAAACGAATAAATGATAGGAAAACCATGGGGGACCAGAGACAATGGACATGGGAAATGCATACGGCCTGCGGTGTCATCAGCTCCATGGTTTGCTGGAAAATCCTGGATTTTACCATCGGACTATCGCCTTAAAACATATGGAGGTTTCCTAAAGTGGGGGTACCCCTAAATCATGGATTTAAATAGGATGTTCCATCAAAAAAACATCAAAAAAACCATCCATGTTGATCCATTTTGGGGATTCCCCATTTATGGAAACCATATCCAAAACCTCCATGTACTTTGCAGATTTCCCGGCGCCTCCAAGAAATAGTTCGATGTGCCCGGCGCCACGGTGACGGTGAGGGCCGACCTGGTGCACCAGATATGGCCAGCAGGTGATCAGCAACGACGGTGTATTGCTGGAACCCAAGAATTGATGATAAGGATTTGTATATGGGGGTTTCCTAAAATGGGGGTACCCAAAATTGATGGTTAATAAGGGAAAATCCAATTAACATGGATGATTTGGGGTACCCCCATTTTAGGAAACCTCCATATAAAAGGCCACAAGACAAAAGACGTATTCCGAAATGTTCCCCAATTCTTGGATCAACGGGATTTTATTGAACCTGATGACAGTGAGGACGCTGGCCTCTCAATAGAAAATCTTCAGCAAATCCAGGATTGCTAGTTGAACATTGAAAATGATTGCACACCAAATAATAAACAACTGGAGTCGCTTTGGAATACCATATTCTCAGACCAGCACATCCGATCCCAACACTCACGACGATACAGTATTATGTCTCTCTGTTTGATATGCAACGGCATCGAAAATTGCAGGTATGTCACATGCTGCACTCCCCCCGGCTGGTTCCTGAGACCCCCTGCAGGGTGCCATCTACATCGGTAGGGCTTGAATCTCCCACGTAGACGTACATCTGTGCCATGGTGAAGGGTGTACTGAATTGCATCAACTGCTGCTAGAGCCGCTGGATTTCTCAGCATGTCAGCATGTTCGAGGGAAAGCCTCTTCAACCCTCCTTGCCACGGTTGAGCATCATGTTTATTAATTTTCTATATCAAACCAGCCATTTTGGGGTATACCCCACTTTTGACAAAGGGCCAGCCTTGTAATCGGTGCTGTGAGTGAGCGCGCATCCAGTCAGCTGGTGACTTTGTTCGTCCATCGCTACCTGGCAGGTCTGTCCGGAGGGCTAGATCCCCACCATCTGAATGGAAAAAATTATGACTGACCAATGGACTTTAGGGGTACTCCCTATTCTCAAACCCAGATGGAAGCTTTGGTGGAATAAAAACAACCACTTCACTGGCACTGCATCCAATCTCCCAACAAGTTGCAGAAAGTTTCACTCAAGTTTCTCCCAGTTAAAAAGTGGTAAGTGTTTGGCTCCTGCATTTCACTGAAAATCGGATACAGCGGTGCTGAAATGCTCCCTTGAAATGCTCCCTGGGGGCAAGGGGGCATGGCGCAGCATCTCACATGCATGATGAATATAGTTCATAGAGTTAATGTCAATTCCGGCCCCGTTCCCAATCTCTCCAGGGGTTAAGATCTCAAAATTCTCAAACAGGTCGGCCGCACCACGATGCTCGAGCTGCACATGACTTCGGCTGCAGGAGCCGTTCGCCTAAGGGTGGGGTCCAGGCTTTTGGGGGCAGCAATTGAAAAAACAAAATAAAGTGGTGGACCTCTTCAGAATTGGAGGGTCTTGATGGCTTTTAAATAGGTTTAGATGTTTTAGTTGCACTTGTAGATTGTAGATTTGAAATGGTTTTAGAGGGTTTTAGGATTGGTTTAGAGGGTTTAGATGCTTTTAGATGGGTTCGCAGGGTTCTTAGGGGTTTTAGATGCTTTCAAGATTGTTTTTCAGAAAGTTTGGGATCCTTTTAGATGCTTTCTAGATGCTTTTTAATGGTACAAGTTGCCCAAAATCGCAGGAACTTCAATAGGCATCTGACATGTTGACCATTATGATGTAATCGATATACATTTGATATACAGGGAACATCAGGGAACCCTATCAGCTCTGTTTAACGGGCGACATGCTGAAAAAAGGCCCTCTGAGCAAGTGACAAAGTAGCAATGTCCGCATAGGCCGGCGCTGAGTTGGTCAGAAGGTATAATTCACCTCCCAACTGCCACGGAAAACCCTCAGCGTTGCTGGTAAAAATCACTGTTTTAGTAGGTAAATCAACTACAATATAAATGGATACAAATGGGCCATCTTCAATATGTTAAATTACCGGAAGGTAGCACAGTCACTCAGTCAGCAGTCCCCTCAACTAGAACATGGAATCCAACAATGTCCAAGAGCGGCTACATATCCAACAGAATTTTGTGGCAGATCATGGCAGATCATTTCCTGGGGGGTTCCATGTGCTATCCCGCCCACGATAGTTTAAATTCTGACTCTTCAATACTCATCAATGGCCTTGCAGTATGTCAAGCTCAAATACATATGTATTGCTAGGCTCAAATCATAATCAACATTAATCAACCATCTATTCCACAGGAATTCCCCCCAAGAGTATGACTGATGACTTTCAGCGATTTCAACAACTGATTTACGTGACCTCCAGCCACCCGTGGCACCAGTGGCCTGCTCCGGATGCTTGAGCTGAGAAGGCCACCCACACGTCCGTCATCGTCGCGGTGCCTGGTTTTAGGCCACCTTTAAGCTGTTTTTTTAATAATAACTTCTTCCAATTTCCTAGTAAACATGCGGGGGGTTCTTATCATCCTTTTTTTAAACGCAACTTTTCTAGTAAACATGTTTGCAGGCTTCTGAACAAAAAAACGCTATGGCCCAAGTCTGGTTTTATTTTGCTTTGAGGAGATCTTTTTGTCCCAGTTTACAAACGATTCGTATGGCTCACAAACTGCGATGGTGATCCCCTAAGCTTTGGATCATGTTGCACCCCTTAAATCATCCAAAATCTAGAGGTGATATCATCTGGTTATGACTAACAGTTTGCCATGGAACATCACCATGCTATTAAGTTCGGTAAACCGGTAAACCATCTATTTCGATTAGGGCCATCTATGGCGAACTGTTAGTCATAACCAGGTTGGGTACATCCAACAGTTGCTATCCAACAATCTTCCAATGACATGTCCATGGTTGTATCCAAGTCCCTGAGGAATCAACTGGAAATGCGTGGCCCTGCTGTGAAGATATTCCTGGGCTGAGGCGTTCGAAGTCACCAATGTTTGGAAGTTTCAAACCATCAACATATGTCTTACTGGCTCAGTTTTAAGAATTTTCTTACCCTCCGGAAAATCAAAGGTGGCAATTGGTTTCCCCTATAAATGGAGGTTCAAGTGGGAAAAACGTCTATAAATGTGGGATGTTGCATTGCCATGTTTGATCACTGAAGCGCATGGGAAATCCATGTTTTGGTACCATCCAAAATATGGGTTGTTTTCTGTAGGTAAACTCCCTGAAACTGACACCCATTCTGGCAAGCTTACAGCTATCTGAACTGCTGAAAATCAGCCGCCATGTCGTGGCCAAAAAAGATCAACACACAGCGAGTCAACTGTCGAGACCTGATGCCTGATCAACACTTCAATCCACCTCATGCACGGGCTTGGATGCCACCAACGTTGAACTCTGTTCACTCCAAATCACCTGGATTTTTCAGGCAGCGATCTGCCTTTTTCCAAGGAACACTGGCCACCCATGGGAACCCCAAAAGCTCCCCTGAGTTTCCAAACGATGTGGGAGTCGCTGCAGGGGGGCTAGGTGCCTGAAAAAAAAGGCACAACAACGCGCCCTGTTGGCGAAACTCGACAGGAAAAATCGTGGCGATTTTCCTCAGCAAAAATGGTGGTTTCCCATAGATGTTCGTAACAAAACCGATCCATTCCATGGGTTTTTGAGGGTTTTTGCCCAAGAAATTTGACCTTTTCTAAAAGGCGCTTGCCTGATTTTAAGCCCTTCGTCCAAGTTCGGGATGCGGTTGACTTTGGTTGCAGTGGATTTTTTTCTGGGGAAGACCAACAACTGGGTAACTGGGCCATGACTACATCCATAGGCATGGCCTAGTATTGCGCATCACTTTTTAAATACCTACAGCTACTTCTCATCGTTGCAGTGAAGAGTGCTCATCCAGTTGATTCGCATGATTTTTGCCAGTAAGTGGGAACATCTCCCGTTGTCAATGCTTTGGTGCGTATCAGCTGGAAGAATTAAAGTACCATATCCCCCTGTCACCGCTTTTTGGACTACACCTTTACTGTTCCCAAAGGTGGATGCTCAAGAAACATTTGGAAAAGATGATTTTAAGACATCTAACGCACTATTGAAATTCTGTTGTTTATTTCATTACAAACATCACAAAAACATCAAAATTCCATTTAAAAACATAAATAAAACTCCATCAAGTTGAACATTAAAATATAATAAACCCCCATTTCAAAAAAAAATCACGTATTGAAACTCCATTGAAACTCCCTATCTTTGCGGCCACACAAAATCTAAGGCCCCGCACGGGCGAGGCGGGTGTGGCCGTGGGCAGCACATCCACCGCTTGGGAGATCATGCCGTCGCCCAGGCCGAGACCATCCTGGGGATGGAAAGGATGGGTCGGTGGAAAAACCAGGGGGGAAATCCATGTTTCATGCACTGGAAATGTAGTGGAAATGTAGTGGAAATGTAGTGGAAATGTAGTGGAAATGTACTGGAAATGTAATGGAAATGTACTGGAAATGTAGTGGAAATGTAGTGGAAATGTAGTGGAAATGTACTGGAAATGTAGTGGAAATGTACTGGAAATGTAGTGGAAATGTAGTGGAAATGTAGTGGAAATGTAGTGGAAATGTACTGGAAATGTAGTGGAAATGTACTGGAAATGTAGTGCAAATGTAGTGGAAATGTAGTGGAAATGTACTGGAAATGTAGTGGAAATGTAGTGGAAATGTAGTGGAAATGTAGTGGAAATGTACTGGAAATGTAGTGGAAATGTACTGGAAATGTAGTGGAAATGTAGTGGAAATGTAGTGGAAATGTACTGGAAATGTAGTGGAAATGTAGTGGAAATGTAGTGGAAATGTACTGGAAATGTACTGGAAATGTAGTGGAAATGTAGTGGAAATGTACTGGAAATGTAGTGGAAATGTACTGGAAATGTACTGGAAATGTACTGGAAATGTAGTGGAAATGTAGTGGAAATGTAGTGGAAATGTACTGGAAATGTAGTGGAAATGTACTGGAAATGTAGTGGAAATGTAGTGGAAATGTACTGGAAATGTACTGGAAATGTAGTGGTGTCGAATGCACTCCATGCACTCATGTCATTTACCATTTGCTTTCGCATGTCAGTTTCAACCAGAGCTGCCACACATTTTACCTGTGGCCATTTTCTTTCAACCATCCAGAGGGTGGGATCTTAGCAAAGCCCCAACGGCTACGCGTGTGCAAAAGGGACTTCGTTTGCCTGCACTTGCAACTACTTCTTGGTCCAGAACTTCGAGTGTCTTGACTACAACTGACTCCCTACCAGTTGATACTGGTAGCGGAGCTCAAGCTCCAGAGCTCACCACTGCGCAACTCCTACTTCCTTGACGACTTTGCCACCAACTTTCACTTCACCTCCTACCATCTCCTCGAGCACTTTGGTGCCATCAACTTGATTTACTGCATCTCTGAAAAGATTCTTGTGCCCAAAGATCTGCTGATTTCTGACCTCAAGAATGGCCAGCACTGCTTCAGCCGTGACCACAGATTCGCAGTTCACGAAGGATTCATACATACCCATTTTTGATGGGCAACCCAGTTCATACCAAGAATGGCGGAAAAGAATCCATATCTACCACTTGAAGATGAAGATTCAGAAACGTACTACAGAGTCTGTTTTGAATTTGATCGGCTCACTGCAGGGCAATGCATGGAAGTTGGTAGAGGGCTATGATTTGACAAAGGTTGAAGATGACCAGGCTTTTGACAAGGTCATTTCCATGTTGGATACGGCATTTCAATATGACACACGTGTCAGGATGCCCCAGGATTTCGATGCCTACTTCAACTTGTCCAGGCGCCCAGGAACTTCCTTGCTTAGCTTCGTGACTGAACACGATGAGAAGCTTCGCAAAATCACGGAGCACGGCATCAAGCTTCCAGACCAAGTTCAAGGATGGCCGTTGCTTCGCCGTGCAAACCTCACAAAGGAACAGAATCAACTTGTTTTGACTCAAGCCCCAAAACTTGAAAAGCTGCGTGTTCAGGAAGCCTTATTTGTCATTTTGGGGCAAGATTACAAGTCAGCAGTTTCCCATGACCGGCGACCATTTGCCAACAACCGCTTTCAACGTGGAAAAGCTTTTGCTGCTCATGATGATGAAACTTTTGATTTTGATGATTCAGACATCTATGAGGATGGATACTATGAGTATGATGACCAATATGAGACTGAGGTCTACGACGAAAGCTGGGCCGATGACAGCTTTGATGCGGATGCCGCCTACTTCCAAGAAGATGAGGCAGCCCTTGAGTTTGACCAGCACTCTGAGGCCTTCGACGTTAATACGTATGACGAGGCTTTTGCTGCATACTTGGATGCTCGTCGAAGGTTTCAAGACTTGAAGCTCAGTCGTGGATTTTTGCCAGTTGTGGCATTGGCTGACCAGAACCCTGTGTCTCCTTCCTCCAGTCCTTCACCTTCCTCACGTGGTCGTGGAAAAGGCTTTGGAAAGCCAAAGGGGAAATCGAAGGGCAAGGGCCGTGGATCCAATGTTGTGCGATACCCACCACGTGGTGAACGCAAAGCTCCAGATCCTCGAGCCAGAGCTGCAGCAGCCTCACAATGTTTGCGATGCGGTGCTTTTGGACATCAAGCAGCTCAGTGCCCTCGACCTGCAAAGCACAGTGGTTCCTCTCAGGTGTCAACCAGCCCTTCAAAGAAGCAGAACACAGAAGGCATGGCCGCAACCCAGCTGCCTGATGAACATGGACACGTCCTATTTGAGGACCAACTTGGACGCCCTCGCGTCGATTGCACCATGATGGACCCAGGAGCAAGTGCCTTTCTGATGGGCACTGGCCCATTCCACCGCTATGTGGAGCATCTCAAGCAGCTTGGATTTGCCGTGGAAACCATTGAGATGCGGCGCACTTGCCGGACTTTTCATTTTGGTGGAGACCATTCAACAGTGAGTCATTGGGTTGCTAGGGTGCCAGTTTTCCTCAACAACAACTTTGGATTTGCCCAGGCGTTCATCATCAAGGGAGAAACACCAATGTTGATGGGTCGCCCCATCATTGAAGCCTTGGGCATTGTCATCAACTTCAAGCGGCAGCAGATGATGTTCGAAGGACATCCATGGCGACAAATCACAATTGGTCGTCATGGCGAATACTTGCTGTCCTTGACTGAAGACTATGAGGCCGAGCTTGCTGATCAGGTGCCTTCCTTTGATCTTCGACTTGAAGACCAAGCTGATGAGTTTCAGTCCTCTGGCGAGGTCATGGATTTTCAGGCCTACCGGAAGCAGGAAGGTGTTTTCACTTCCAGCGATGACTCTCCGACACAGCCTGGAGAGCGACCTGTCCTGATCAAGCACTGGAAGATGCTCGAGAATGCCCTTGCTGCCGAAGAGAAACGCATCCATGCCACGCTCACCAGAGAACTTCATGACCCGACACCAAGACCCAGGATTATCTGGGAAGTCTATGCTGGCGCTTCAAGAATGTCAGAGGTGGCCGAATCACTCGGCTGTTTTGTTGAGACGTTTGGGTATGAGACTGACTATGACTTTGACCTTCCTTCACATCGGTCATACTTTTTGGAGTACCAAGCCCATGTGATGCCTGATGAGGTTTTGTATGCACCGAGATGTGGCTTGTGGAGCAGGATGCAAGCAATCAATGCAACCACTGAAGCCAAGAAAGACCTCCTGCAACAACAGCGACAGATTCACCATGATCACCATCTTCGATTTGTGAAGAAATCATACCTTGCTCAAGTTCATGGTGGACGCCAAGCACATCTTGAACAACCACATGGAGCCTTGTCCTGGGAAACCACCTCCTTGAAATCTCTCCCAGGACTCTATGTCACCTTTGACCAATGCTGCTATGGTGCAATGTGCTTGGACTCTGATGGCCAATGGAAGCTTGTTCGAAAGACCACAGGCTTGAAAACAACCAAGCGTGCAATGGCTCAAGCCATGTGTCTTCGTTGCGATGGATCCCATGAACACTGCAAGCTTGAAGGACAATTTCCTGGCCTTGGTCGCTCTCGCACCAGCTACATGGAAGATTACCAACCAGCAATGGCTGCAGTTCTAGCTGCTGCAATGGCAGCTCCTGAGGATCCAAGCGCCTGGGAAGACGCCAACGCTGTGGAAGAGGTCAAAGAGGTCCAAGGAAAGCTAGTTCAGCTCATGACTGGAAACCGAGCTGAAGCCACCAGAACTGTCCAGCGACTTCATCGCAACCTTGGACACCCATCACCCAAAGCTCTTTGTGAACTTCTGGAATCACGTGGTGCCTCAGAGACTGTCATGGAGATTGCACGACAGTTTCAATGTCATGCCTGCTTGCGATACCGAAAGCCAAATCAGGTAGCTCCTTCGTCATCAAAGACGGTGAGCAAATTCAACCAGATCGTGCAGGCCGATGTCTTCTGGCTCAAGGACAACTCCAACAAGTTGCCCATCTTGTCCATGATCGACGAGGCCACAAAGTTCATGGCTGCGTTCCTCCTCAAGAGCGAGAAAGCCATTGACTATATCTCAGCTCTGGAACGGTGTTGGATTTCTCACTTCGGAGCACCGACCAAATTGATCACTGATGAGGGACGTGGCTGGCTTCATGATGATTTTGGAATTTGGACTGATGAATATGGAATCCACCATGCAGTTGCTGCTGGCGAAGCCCATGAACAGTTGGCACTTGTGGAAAGGAGACATGCTGTCTTGCGAAAAGCACTGGAAGTCTATTTGGCCGACTACGGCATCAGCGGTGAGAAGGCCGTCAAACAGGCCTTGGCCTACATTGTGCCCCAGATCAACAACACACCTTCGACCTCAGGCTTCTCACCTGCTCAATGGCTTCTGGGACAGTCTCCTGACCTGCCTGGCGAACTTCTTGGAACTTCACTCACTCCAGTCCACCTTGGTGAATCCTTTGAAGATGAACTTGCCAGGCGAGCCACAGCCAGAATGGCCATCATCCAGGCCGACACAGACCAGAAGCTCAGGCGAGCCCTTCTCAGGAAGTATGCTGGCATGAACATTGCACTACTTCCTGGACAGCGATGCTACTTTTGGCGCGACAGCAGGTCACCAGACCTCGTGAAGATTCGCTGGAAGGGTCCTGCCACAGTCCTCATGAGAGAAGACAATGAAGATGGCAGACCGCACATCTACTGGATAGGATACAAGTCACAGCTTCTTCGAGCGGCACCACACCACGTACGTCCTGAGATCGGCAAGTCAACTGACAGCCTGACAGGCAGCCTCCAAGACGCCAAGGACGTGATCAAATCTCTGAAGTCACGTGGTGTGACACGATTCATTGACCTGTCCATCCAGAACAAGCGCAACATCGATGACATCGGCACTGATGAAGAAGTCATGGATGACAACAACGATGATGATGACGATTTGCGTCCTCCTGCAACTCGTCGAAGA